TCTTGCCATCTGGGTTGCTGGAGAGATTGCTGAAGATGGGGTCACCACAGACGCCCAACTTCTGCCTGTGCTCGGTGATTGAACTGGAGGAGTAGCCAGCTGCGATCCTGAAATTGCTGTCTGGATTTCGCCAACCATTTTCTTGAGTTCATCATTGTAGTTGGCTTGTGTTGACTCGATGGTCCCAGTGAGTGCCTTGATTTGTTCTTGCATTAACGCGATTTGATTTTGGTGTTCCTGCTCCCTCCTCTCAGCATGCTGTTGGAGGTGCTGGATCGCGGTCGCCTGATCATCCAGCTTTTCTAAAACCAGATGCAAAAATCTGGTAGAGCTGGAGGAATTTGATCTTGTCTTGTTGTCTTGGTTGTTGATCTGCTTTGTTGGGTTTGTTTTTCTGGTTCTTTTTCCGCTGAGGGACGCGTCGTGCGCCTGTTCTTCGCTGAGGTGCGCTGGTCGGCTCACATTCCTTCGTGGTCTTCCCTGGCCGGGAGAGGTGCCTGTTGACGCCTCTGTATCAGAGTCTCCCATTGCTTCCCTTTCGTCGGCTCCCGTAAGTCTTCTGAAGCTAGTTGAAGGATGAACATTGTCGGAATAGTCTGAATTGTAAGTATTCTGTCTTGATCGTCCCGTGACTTGCGTGATGCAATCGGCAGTCACTCCCGGGCCTCACAGCATCTTCCCCGGATATGCAGTCACTTATACTACGCCCTATTAACCTCCAGTCTTTTCGTCTCAACAGAGTACCTACCTGTATCTGTACGCCATCTTCCTCGCCTGATTATGGCCTCAGGCTTCTACCATCACGTGCTGCATGTATGCCTGAGGAATAGCATCGCCGATTCACGACTGCCGATTTCACTGCTTCTTCCTTTGGCTATGGAGAAATCTCCCGGGATTGAGCCTTGTCTCCGTTTTCTGCAGCCTTGAGAGGTAACTGACATCCCAGCGATGCCCATGTGATTTCATATGTGAAGCATCCGTTCTATCCTGGTTATGCCATTTCAGAATACGCTATGTGTGATCCTACGGGGTAATGGACAGGTTTTACGTGAACTCGACTCTGCCAAGGATAGATATTTGGCCTTTCTTCGAAGCCATAACATCAACGACGTCCATGTTGGAATCCGGGACGTGGACCTCAATTTCAATGCTCCGTTGTTCGCAATCCCACCAAACAATCCAATCATGACGATCCATGGGAATGCCAAACATGAGGTGGTCGAATTCTAAGCTAGAATATACCTCCCAGTGACGTCTTTTCTCTGTCTTGCGGGTAGGCTAAACGGAGAAGACAACGACCGTCTCATTTGTTGTCATAGTTGGCCCATGACTTCAGCGAGCTGATCCCAGTTCAGTCTGGAAATCAATTCTATTATCTTCAACAAATTCGGGCATCCTCTCCATGTGCATTTTCTGCCTGGGGATATTCCTTTGCTCAAGTCGCCGGGTGTCTCTCCTGAATAGAATGGACACCCTGCATGCCCGCGACGGGTTATCCTTGGGTCTCAGAGGTAACGAGAAGGCATGCACAGTTGGAAGCTATGTTACTTGATCACAGGATGAGAAGACAATCAAATGCACGCTCACGAACTACCACGTGGTGCGTTCCGGAGAGGAACTGATGGGGCTTAGTGGCAAGACAGTTCCGGAATTGGGCCAGCTTAGAGCGTCAGCAACTTTACCACCAGGACAGGACATCACTCTTCAGAGTTTCACCTACGAAGATCGCCAGGCAAGCTTAGTCCAAGCCAATATCACCATAAAAGCACCACGTAGCCGGATCTCTGAAACGCAAAACAACATCATCAAGCGTGATTCCTCCGTCATGAAGTCAACATTTCACCAGCTGCATCTTATGCAATGAAGCCAGGAGGCCCTCAAAAAATGGTGAAGAACAAGAATGTACTCATAGTCATGCCAAAAACTATTGGACGTGAATGCCGCGTCCGGCAAGGTGGTTTGGGAAAGCGGCTAATGGACTGGGCATTGATCAGACTGGACGAAGAAGGCAAACAAATTTCTCCATGTAAAAAATGTTCTCCATTTCATGGAATCAACACCCAGTAGATTATGGTGTCCTGGCACATCTTGTGCAGCCTGGCTTCCCAATTATCAAATTCGGTTCCCTCAAGGAGCGGGACTGGTACACAAAACTAGACCGAGCGACTAGTGTGACTACTAGCGTATAAAACGGTACCCTGGTCTGTTGCAATTCGAAGTAGCAGTACAAGAAATAGGATCACAATGGCTAAGGTATAGATCTAACTGATATAACAGAGTTTGTGGTCGTCAGCAGCATAAGGGGGAGACATCGCGAGGGAAGACCTCCTTCGCTGATAACGGTGACTCCGGCTCGTTTTTCCTGGACCACAAAGCTCGCGTTTGTGAGCTCCTCTTCAGAGGAGTACTTTGCGAATGCCGATCTAATGATGAACATGCCCGATCTTGCCAAATCCGTGAAGTTCCAAACCATGGCTAAGGATAGCAAGGGTTGGGCTTGCTCCGTTCCTCTATCCGTAAATAAAGTCCATCAACAATCCTTGTGTCTACAGATTGATCCGATAACTATACTACAGATCAGTGGGTCACGGTAATTCTAATAGGATCCACAGGCTCGTGGGGAGTGTTAGACATTCCAATGCCGTACTGTAGACAGCAGAAAAGGCATTGTGCCATACATACAAGCATTTTGCTGCCTTTGAAGCAAAGTGTTGCTTATACCAATATCCTGTAAATTGCTAGGTCAATTGCTTCGGTGACTGGATGACCACTTACTATAGAAAAGACGAGGTGCATCGTGGGAAAGGGCTGCTAGAATCTTTCCTAAGATTTCCCCTGTTCTATTTGAGCCTTGTACATATCAACACCAACCAACAAGACCCCAACCAGTGTGTCTGTCTCAATCCTATACCTACTCCTCGAGAAACTTGTATAAAAACCACCTTCAAAGCACCAAACGACCTTGTCCTCCTCAGGGATAGCATACACAAGGCATCAGCAGTTCTCGAGTGCAAGCAATGTTACCAGCTGTATTTTTCAACAATTTAAAATGCCACTATCTTTGGTTTCGTCTGCATGTATACTGCACAGTGCTACATCAGAATGCTCGAGACGGTCAATGGGGAAGAGACGTGCTTCCAGGATGGGTGAGGGAAGCAATTAGATATTTCTGGTGGGCTAAATAGTGTGGTTCCTCGTGGTCAGATGAGCTCTTTCCTAGATAATGGCATTCGTGTGTTATACCCGGTCGATATTAAGCCATCGAAACGAAGAAGCATAATGCGTAACATCGTGAAGGGTGAGATATTTAGCGTCAAGGGCCATAGGGAAATTTGTCTGGTGTCGCTGGTCGAGCGGTTGGATGAGCGTCAGAAGGGCTAGCACTAGTCACCTCTACGTCTGATTGTCCGACTAATTATCATTCTATGTGCCATTATCCGGATCGGATACCGACTTGTTTGATGCTTGTTGGGGATGTGCGGAATCTTACTGGTCATCTTGGCCTGTGGATTATTTAGATATTCCAATGTCGGACACGAAGAATGGGCAAGATTTTCATCTCAAATTTGCAACCATATTCATATTATGATCTATCTACATGTAATACGCACGCCTGATAGTATTCCACAAGCCCGGCTTGCCTTCGTTGCCCTGACTGTGATCAGGAACGCCAACCACTTGGCCATCGAGACCGGTGTTTGTCACTGCATTCTGCTGCTTGCCCAAGTAGTAGTCTAAAAAGAATATCAGCATATGATAGCTTCCAAAAAAAAGGAAAGAAAAGAAAACAAGAGAGTAAGAAGTTACTTACTCGGCATGCACAAAGAGAAAACCACGGGTAACGCTGCCAGAACCGTAGCAGTGATAAATATGATCCCATTAGTTCGTGTATACGCCCTAATAACGCCAATTCGTATCGGATCATTCCAGTCATAGTCAGATCGAAGAATTTTTATGGACCCGTAGATCTCCCTTAGAGTTGTCTCCGAAGTCCCCGGGGGACATTCCTCATGCATGTAATCCAGCATCTTTCCTGTCCAAATACCAGAAGCAATAGCATCACCCACTGAGCTACCCAAGAAACTCCAGAGGGAAAAGGCAGCGATAACCGAGGCCATATCTTGGTGAGGTACGGAAGCCTGCGATCCCACACGTGCACCAATCACAATAAACGCGCTGCCTCCAATGAGAATGTGGGCAACGGCCAGGATGGCAGTACTCTGTGTGCTTCTTTTATGGCTACCAATGCACATCGCATGGCCGACGAGCTTGACCAACGACCCAAAGACCATGAAGCCTTTGTAACGGTGGAACTTGGCTTGTAGTAGACCGGCTAGAGGACTGAGAACGCAGAGTGTGAGTGTCATAATTGCCAGGAATACCGTCCAGACATAGTTGGACCAGTTCTTGATTATATATAGATAGGAGGAGTAGTAGGTCTTTCCGGCAGCCGTTGCGACTTGCGTGAAGAAGCTTGTGAATAATGCAGCAAAAAACGCTCGATTTTTGATAATGCGTTTTGTCATGATGGGTCGTGGTGCGATGAACGCCTCGAATAGAATCCATACGATTAACAGAAACCATCCGACAACTTCCATGGCGATCATGCTCTGGTTAGCCCATCCTTGCTGAGCTGATTTGGCGAGCGTGAATGGGAGAAGGATCAGGGAGAATGCGAACCCCAGTAGTATGAGACCTGCTAGATCAATTTCGACAATGGCATCCCACACCTGATGCACAAAGGCAGAGATATCCCAAGTTCGCTTATCTCTACCGCTCGTGTTTGCCATTCCGACTTTGATAGCCTTGTGCTGCAGGCCGTATAACGTCATGATGGCTGGGAGTAAAAGAACTGGGACCATAATCGCAAACATCCCCAGACCCCAACGCCATTTTCCCGGGATAAACGCATCGGAGATAAGGCCATCAATAAATGTAGTCACCAAGAACGGAGATAGCAGCATTCCGGACCAGAAGCCGCGCCATTGTAGGGTTGTCAGGTCTCCGATGACAACTTCGCTGAGCAGGTCAAGTCCCGACCTCCCAAAGGAAGTCAAACAACTACCGACAACGTAGGCTGTAAGATTGGTACAGCTAGCAGCAATCGCAAATCCCACCGCATATGCCAGTAGAACGACTAAATACGCCGTGGGTCGAGAGGTGATGTCTGCCATTTTGCCGATAAAGGGTTTGGACACTGCGTTTATGATCTGACTAGCCGTGTTGACTGCTCCGATTTGCGCGTGCTTGCCGAACGACGAGGTCGCCATAACATCGAACTGGGGAGTGATTCCTTGGCCTAGAGCATAGGCGAACATGGTCAGGCCGATGGAGACGACAATGACCCAACGGAGGGCCTTTCCTGATCGTCCAGACTGGTTCAGGACCTTGTTGTAAGCTTCGACCTTGCCGAGGGCGACATTGCGGCCTTCGCGGGTGCCCGTTTGTTCAGGATGTTTCTCGGAATTATGGACCTCGGGACTTTGGGGGATGGAAATACCGATTTCGTTCATCTCAATGTGCGCATACTTTTGTTGTGGTTCCGAGCTGGATACATCATGATGCTTGGTGCTTGACATCTTATGGATTTGAACCACAACACAAAAATAGAAGCTGAGGGGAAGAACCGCCATACGTACCGTGGGGTGCTCTGTTTTATATCACCGAGTGGAGAAGTCGGCAATCGCCTACAAATCCCTTCAGCCCTATGATTGAACTGTATGATAAGCATGCCGACATCCGGCGGACAAATCACCCACTGCATAGCAAGTATAGTTTGCCGATTTGGCCGACATGACCATTAACCAAATAGAACCACCTGAACGCCGGTGCAAATGGAATAGCTAGGGGAATGTGGGGTTAATGGATCAATGTTCTGACAAAACAGTTTGCCGCTCGGTTCACATATATTTCCATGGTCTACTCACATGCTTAACGCCAAGCATGGTTGTCTTAGTGCCAAGTCCAAGCTAAAAATCTTGGCCGTGTAGTTTATTCTCAAGCTGAATCGACACTTTGACTCTACGAAAGTGAGGTGTGGTATGGGATATGTATCTAGATTTAAATCTAGATTCATCAATGTCATTGATATTATCATAAAAGGTAGGTAAATCTTTGCTCTTGTATATGCTCCGCCCCATGATCACCCATTAGAACCTCCCGCTCCTCACCACGAGTCTCCATTTCAATATCCATACCATCCCCAGTGCCTGCCCGATTAGCCCGCTGCAAAATAATCCGCAGCCCAAACGCCAGGAAAGCAACCAGCAACATGAAAAACGAGCAAACTACCATGCCTCGTACATACCATGGTCCATCACTTTCAGGATACAACCTCGTCCCCAGTAGCGGACCGCATTGGCCAATGAGATTCAAAATCGCGACACTAGTGCCCTTTCCTTCATTCGCGACGCGGTTATCCATCGTCCAGGCGAGGATTAAGCTGATAGCAGAGAAGAAGCCAGATGTGGCTGGGTAGATGCAGAGATAGCGGATGACGACATGTGTTTTGGTTGAGAAGTGGGTGTGGAAGTGACCAGTTGCTGCGATTGCTAGGTAGGATATAGAGGAGAGGAGGGCATGGATGATTAGGTAGGGACTACGGGTGCGGTTACGATCTGAGAAGTATGTGGTGACCAGCACCACGACGAATGCGACGAGGAAGGGAGGCGCGGAGAGTGCCTGCGAGGCAAGGGAGGAGTATCCCATGCTGCGAGAGAATTAGTTTGATCGCAGCCAGTGATTAGAGGACGTACTCCTTGATGATAGTAGGCAAGAACACTGGCATGGAACTAAATGCGATATTACAGCTGAAGAACATGAACTAAACAAACCATCAGTACTTCAGCTATTTGATCGAATGGAGAAAATACATGAGCACTTACGGCCGTAATGTACGCCTTCGGATCCGCCAGCGTTTTCCTAACCTCTTGCCAGTTAAATTTCCCTTTCTGCGGATCCCGATAAGCCCCTGCTTTACGGTTACGCTCCAGCCGCAACTCGGCTACCGTCCTCTCTCGAGGAGCAAGGAAATGGGCCTTCTCAGGCGAATCAGGAATCAACGCCCAAGCAAAAACAGCAGCCACGACACTCGGGAATCCTTCTACCAGAAACAGAGTGCGCCATGGTGCAATCGGCCCATCATGACTGAGTTTGACAATCACCCATGCCAAGGTACTGGCAAAAGAAGTAGCCAGGGGAGCTGCGGAGATAAACAGAGCAATTCGAAAAGCGAGCTCCTCGCGCTTGTAGAATAAGGATAAGTAGAACGGGACACCGGGGCCGAACGCCGCCTCAGTAACCCCCAGTAACATCCTGAGGACAAGCATGGCCTCGAACGATGTCGCGAGGGACTGGAATGACGCCACAAGACCCCAGCCGCAAACACAAAGCGAGACGTAGATATGCGGCGAAACGAGGCGGTACATCAATGTCATCCACTCAAAAAGGACGTACGTGATGTAGAATGCGGTAAGCAACCATTCATATTTCCAGGATGGTATATCCAGATCATCTGTCAGTCCGGCAACTTTCGCGTTTCCAATGTCTATCCGACTGATCATTAGCACATGTTTCAAAATTGAGTCGTAGGGACGACTGACTTGAGCGATCCAAAAAGGAGAGTAGATACAAGAGCGCCAGAAACGGTACCAATTTGCGATCGAACTTCCTCACAACCTGCGCCTCTTCTGCGGCCGAGTATTCTAATGAAGACCTCGTCCTGGATGGCTTATTCTCTCGAAGTTCCGGTCCAGAATTATATCCATTGTAGTTCTCATCATCATCATCATCGGAGAATATATCACTGAAATCCGTGTTATCGGCGCTTTCAAAATCTGTCTGTACCCTCAAGGATCCTTTTTCAGGGCGTCGTGAGTGCGAATAGGAGGGTGCGTCATCTGTCTTGTCCGAAACGGGGGTATATCGAGCGCTCGAGGAGGGCGTCGCGGAGTTGGAGGCGGAGGCAAACTCCGTAGACTGGGGGAACATGGTCATGTCATCTGTGACTGCGATGTAGATTTTATAATGTTCTAGTTGTTATTGGTTATAGACATTATTGCTTCCAAAAATGCTATGCCTTCGCCATGCAGTTGCCATAACAAGGGGAGGTTGATAAGTAATGAAAGTTGATGAAAGTAACATTGGATTAATAGTCGGCCCGAGTATCGAAAGCGGCCTGGTTTCCAAAAACGGAAGTATCCTTGTACTTAAATAAGGACACCATAGCATGCATTTTAGATAGTTAAGCACTCATTCTATTGTCAAGGTGTCTATAGATTTCAATATCACACTCTTCGTCATATAGCCTTGTACAGTCCGGATTATCGACTCCCCGATTCCCCGACCTTGAGCTACCCGCTCCTTTCAGTTATGAGCCCGAGCCTGCCTATAATCGTCTAACAAAAGCATAGCATCCTAGGGGTGCTATAGTTGCTTAACATCATCTATAGCCCGATCGATTGATCTTAACTGCCAACCTCACTCTTGCCTACCTTCTCACGAGATCATCGGCCAATAATCTGCTCGGCGAAGCCCATTAAGTCGTGAGTTTGCTATGATGGTTGAAGAATCTGATATCACGGGTAATTCCTTGTCGCGATCAACGGAAAGAGTCCAACAATCGAATGTACGGCAAGTGGAAAGAAAACCGTTGAAAGAGGATGGCATCAAGATATACCAGTTCTCGATAGATAAGTTGAAGGAGGAGAACGCTCGATACTGGTTCCATACAATGGAGAAGCAGTTGAAAGCCCAATTTTGTTGGCAGGCAATTCAATATTACTATGAGGTTGGAAGTGCCAGATATGATTTGATCATTGTCGACGATATAGATTGGTTCAAAAATGATTTAAAAGCCGATTTAATCATTGAGCAAGGGCTCACGCCAACGACCATCCTGGAAGTTAAAGACCAGCCGAATGCAGGATCAAAATGGGACTGCCTAAAGAAGATATTCCTGAAGTTGTCAAACACCAAAAAGGCTAAGAAGTTGATGAAAATGGCCAATTGGACATGGGATCATTCAATATTGAATGAGAAAGACGCCTTCCGAGAAATCAGCCAATTGGGAGAGGAATTCATTAATATGAATAATAGCGAGATGGTCAGTATCAAAGAACTGATTGTAATTTGGTATTTGCGAGGATTGGGGAGCCAGTACACCATATTAAGGGACACTATGATGAACTCAAACGCCACCTTGGACAAGGAATATGTCCTAAGCCGGATCGAGGATATTATGCAAATGAAGGAAGGATCTGCAGGGAAAAAAGAATCACGAGCGTACAATGATGGCAAGCAGAAGAAGAAAAAAAAAATACAAATGTTATGTGTGCTGCAAGGCCGGGCATTTCGCGAGGGAATGCTGGAACAAGCGTGTGGATGTTGACGATGAAGACCAACAAAAGCCCAGGGGTCGACAAGAAGGTCGACGAGGAAAAGCACCAACCAAGCAAAAGGGTAGATTCGCCAGAGTGCGATGATAATGATATCGATGAATTAAAAATCTGGCAAACGGGATAAACTGTTAGAAGACGATTATAAGATATGTCTCGCGAATGGGCGTCATCAATTGAAGCTATCAACGTTACTGGATGGACGCTACCGTCATATCTGATCTTAAGGGTAAGGTCTTTACCGAACCATGGTTTAATGACCTACTATCGGACCGGCATATCGATATCTCACCTAATTGATGGACTACTGATCAGGATGGTCTATCTTGGTTAAAAGATCGCTTTATTCCATTGACTAATAGTTGAATAACTGGTGATTATCGGCTATTAATCCTCGACGGCCATGGTAGCCATCTTACACCCTAATTGATCAAATCTGCGAGCAAAACAAGGATCTACGCGCGGTGAATGAGAAAAAGAAACAAAGCGAGTTATATGTCAAATCCCTTCAGTTGCATATAAGCGAGCTTCAAACCTTCAGTCTTCGTCTTCCAGTCCAGCTGAGCATTGGTAGTGCGTTGATGTGGTTCCATATAGTAAGCATCACCCACTTGCCACAGGGTTTGTCAGCACCACGGAAGGTCTTACGAGCATGTCTTTGACGGTAGCGAGTGCATAAGGGAGACATAATCAGGAGGAAATTCTAGCATTTTTGCATATTCACTTTCCAAGAATACATGCTTCGTCCATTAACGATTCTAAGGTGCCACGGCAGCCCGTTGAAGTCGCCAAAGAAAAGGAACATAGGGCTCATCAGCGATGAGGAACGGTCTCGTATAATTTCAACCGAAGCTGGAGGGAGTAGAAGTCGATTCATGCTGTGATAGCCGCTGCTAAAGCAGTGTTGGTAGATTCCTGTTTATCGACCCCGGATGTCGTATGCCACTTAGTCCGATGAAGATATAGATAACGCCGCCAATTTACCATTTGCCAGCTCGTAATTGGTTTCCCGGGGCCTGCCATTCGTGCAAGCTACCGTATTGTTTATATTGATGATGCTCGTGATGGTAACACTGGAGCAATTGGTGTCTGTGAATAATATGAATGAGCATTGGGGAGTTTAAGCGTATTAGAAATTCGAAGCCTTGAAATATTCTGACAAAAAATGACGCCTGCAAAGCATCAAATGCTTCTGTGTGTAAGAGACAAGGGATATATGCAGCATATATCTGCAGAGTAAAGGTCAGCATCATCTTGCAATTGGAGAAAGGGTGTACTTACAGAAGATGAAGAATATTTTCAGTCTAGTACTTTCACCCATTCCACCAGGTTGAAAACCTTCGTTCACGAAACCTTCTTCTTTGATCGTATCTCGCCGTTGCCGTAGTTCTTACTGGTCCTTTCTTGGCTTCTCAATTTTGGCCAATCGAAGTGTTATCAGGTTCTCAAATCCAAGCCGTTCCATAGATAAACAGGTAGTACTACTGCTCCTATATGTAGTTCACAGCGGTTAACTTCTGTATAATGCGCATCTTGAATATCGATATTGATGACGGTCGATAATAGGGGCCAATCGTCAACTCGTACCATAAAATAGGGTATCTCTGAAAGGTAGATAAATTGCGGTTGAAGGGAGTCCTCGGCAACTTTAGTCACTTTCATTGGTCTGGATAGTCTAAAGGTCGACTTGATTGTGGATTGCAAAGAAGGCGAATCGAGACTTTCTGATTTCTCCCGTAGGTATTCATACCAGTCGCACCGTGTAGATATGCTCGCCAGAAATGGCTTCATCGAGGCGAAGGACCAGCTGACTTTTGCAAGGTGAGAAGTGGAATAACTCTCGACAACCCTATTTTCATTCAAGTTAGGACACGCTTTGTATAGAAGTAAAGCATATTCACTTATTATGTAACTTGGGTGCAACAGGCATACTGCAATTCTTTCATCATAATCACATATATCCGTATAAATCTATCACATGCACAGAAGTGCGAGATAAGTGTCTTCGCTTCAAGGTCTGGACTGATGCTTTTTGCGAACAGCGAATATACACACGCCTGTAGAGAGCGCTGGCTGGTCACCGCCAGCAGACATCATTAACGGGGTGTTGTCTTGGGGTATCTCGAACATTGGTTGTAGTATACTGGGATGTTTAGGGTGTCTGAAGTATTTAATGGGGACGGTATATATATCAAAGTAACAGAAAACAGCACTAGCTTGAGTGGTCAATGATGATCGGACGTAGATATATAAACAGGAAGGATAGCGTATACGTTGATAGTAAGTGTTGTATAAGAGCCCAGGAAGTGAAGTGAAAGATTGTTAAAATAGAGAAGGGTTCAGCTTTGAGGGGTAGAGGGGCAATTCGCTGCAAACAAAGCATCCTTCTAGATGTGAATACCCGGCATATTTACAGATTATCATAGAACTGGAAGACTTTCATTAATTGTAAATTCCAAATACACATCTTTTCGCCATACTCCCACACTACCAAAAGCCATAACCTACATAAAACCAGGCCGATATGAATCAATAATCCTCCCACTCCTACTCCTCTTCTCCCCCCTCCACTCTCTGTCCCTCTTCTCCCTATCTCTCTCCCTCTCCCTCGCCCGATCATCATCAAAATGCCTCTTCCTCCCCCCTGAAAGTTGTGCTGCCTTATCCCTCGCATAATCAAATGTCTTCTCCAACTCTGGAATCAACCCATGATCGAATAAGCCATTCGTCCGCAGATAAAAGATCGTGTTCTCAGCCGTATCGCGGAGGAAGCGCACCGCGTGCAGAGGTTCTACGTTGTCGCGGTGCTTGATGCGTTGGTATTCTTCTTTGGCGCGGTTGTAGACGGCGAGCATACGGGTGACGCGTTCGTGGAGGGGGTTAGGGGTGGGTTTGGTGGTTGTATTTATGGTTGCGACGGAGGTGGTAGGGCTTGAGTGGGGTTCAGGTTTGGATAGTTCATCGTGTTTGATGCGTGGGCTGGTGAATTCGCGGTGAGAGGGGGTGATGTAGGGATTGGGTTCGGAGTCTGTAGCAGTGTCAGTAGTCAGACCTGAGAAACTAAGAAATAAAGAAGTATACCCCTCTTGCTCAACATATTATGCAACGCAACATGCTTCCCCAACGCATCTTCCACATCCTCCTTCTCATTCAAACCTAGAAATTCCGCCAAGTACAATTCCACAACCCCTGTCTGAATCGGATAACGCCCCTCCATAGACAGCTCCAGCAAAGCCTTGTCATAGATAGTAATTTGGCCATCCTCGAGTGCTTGGGATCGGCGCTTGATCAGGGAGATCTGACGGTAGAGCGCGTTGACAAGGAGAGCGTATTGGTCGGGTTTGTGGAGGAGGCCGAGGAGGGTAGAGCTTGGTGAGGCTTTTTGGTATTTGTGGACGAGGGAGTCGACAAGGGCTTGGAGAGGGGGGTTGGCATTGGAGTTGGGCTTGGAGGGTGGTTTGCGGTAGGCTGGGGGCGAGGCGGGCATTTTGTTGGCTTGGGATGAGGTAGAAGGAGATAGGTTGGAGAGGTTAGGTTGGTGCTGCTGAGATGGGAGAAGCATTGAGGCACAATGTTTCTACACATGGAGTGAATGGGAGACATAGCGAAGGGTGTGGTATTTTAGTGAATGTTGAACTCGCCACGTTCATTGAAGATAACTCGGAGTATCTAGACGCTTGCAGAGAGCTAGCTCTGTCATTATTATTATTTTAGGAGCAATCAAGCATAAACCATAGTCGCTATCGTATGCAAAGACAAATTCAATCTAGTGCCCATAAACCATACCCATCATCAATCATTAATCGAAAGCAGCCTAGAAAATCAATCATTCCTCTCGTATCGCTTCTTCACCTCTTCAGCAAGCGAAGACACCTTGCTATTCTCCTCATCTTTGCCGCAATCCTTCCATGACCCGTCGTCCCGGACACACCAGACCGACTCATCGACTCGAACGGTGCAGCTGGTAGTCACACCAAGCTCAGCGCTATGAAGAGCACTCTTCCGGAGCAGTGCAATACCGCTGAGCGGCGGGTGTTGACCATCACCGGGATCATCTTCCTGCTGACTTGCACACTCATTCAGATAATGGAAATCGATGCCGTGCTCCAAGGCACATTGTTCGACGAACTCCCGCTCGGGGATGCGAGAGTATTCGCTGATGAGGCAGGTGGCAAAGCCTAGGGATCGGATTGTAGGTGTGCGAGGGGTATCGGGGGTGACTTCATCGGCGTCAGGAGGGAAAGGAAGGTTTGCAGCGCAGAGGATGAGGATGTCGCCAATGCATTCTTCGGGGCCGTGTTTACATTCGATTGCGGAGGATTGGTTGGATACACTGAATTCCGAATCGGTTAGACACTGATAAACAAACTCAGTAGAAGGCTGAAAGCTCACCTGGCAATGAAATTCAGATCGAAATCCACCAGATCGCTGACTTGCTCCATCGCTGGCACGACCAGCTGCCGTAAACAATCCCGCGCGTCCGGGCATTTGCTCATGACGTGAGCTTCCAGAGGGACCTTCTTATTGTCGGACAGCTTGGGCTGTGGTCCCGAACCTTCGGAGGCAGGCCGAAAGAAATCATTTTCGCTTCCAGTTTTAAGGAATGTTTCGTTGATCCAGACGTACGCGCAGAAGCAGAGGAGGAGTGTGGCCAGGCTGCGTCCGAGGCCTGCGATAACCCGGTGGCGTCGCGGCAGTTGGGATGGGACAGCAGAATCAGTCCCAGGGACGTCGTAAGCGTGTGATGGAAGTTTTTCCATAGTGACGGTCGTTATTTATTTTTGTTGTGGGTATGCTGTTGTTGGACAGCAGGTGGTTGAAGGAGGGAGAGTTGCAGTGGCGAGATCAAAGACGTTGCGGAGAAAACACCTGACGCCAACCACCTGCAGACAGTTTGGTCAAGATCTCAAATCTTGAAGTTTCGCTGCAGACTGGATCGCAATGTCATCTATGTATATTTAGAGGTTGCTCTGCATCGTCAGGTTGCATTGCCGGAGTAGAAGTATACAGCTCTCTGGGGTATTATGTAGATGATGGCTGAGATTTACCCGATCGGGAAATGCAGCTCTGCTTGACAGTTGGTTGACAGCAGAGAGTCAGAAGTACCTTGTTCTCTATACTCCATACATGGCTTTAATACCCATGTCTGCTATAACTAACATCCTAGTCTCTCTCTGCACTCGCCCGTCTAGCGTCACATCGTCTCGTGCCGATCAAAGGTCGCATCTGTTGTCCTCCGTCTTCTCCGATATCTCACTTGTTCTTTCACCTCTATTCTCCGTTTCATTCTGAGCTTTCCTCTGTCCCTATTCTAATCTTTTAGTATATATTTATTCCATCTCTCTCTCTCTTTCTCTCTCTCTCTCTCTCTCTCTCTCTCCCCTCCATCTTCTGCCTATAGCAACATCGCAATCCCGATCTCCGGCTGGTCCAGATCTGATAATCTGATAACGTCTTCGACGCCGTCTGTTGCGATATCTCTTTAATCATCTAATCTTGCGCTCTTTTTTTGTCTTCTTTTTTTTCTTCGTTTATGCGAACTCGAGTATATCGGTAACTGGCGACGAGATTCGTCCTCGAATTCCCCTCGTCGGTTAATCCTGGTGCGTGATACGAGACCTGCGGTCCACATCGGACAGGTCTACTCTGTGCCTCCCCACGATCCTCCTTTCCCCTTTGCTGCATAATCTGTTTCAAGCATTAGTAAAAGCGAGACGTCTACTCCTTGCTCCCCTGACGGAATAGCGATTGCGCTGCATACGCGCGTCATTGCATCAATAACAATGTGGGTTTCCCGTTTACGGTTACAGTTGCTAATCAACGTTGTATAGACCAGGCGCGGTGTAAAAATTGCCACGAGTTCTTTACATTGCAACATCCGTTACGCAGTTGGCTGGGCTGGCGGACTCCAACCGTATCTTGCGAGACTCCGTTACTCCTCATCCGTTCTGTCGCATACTCCCCGAGCCAAGACCATTCTGCTGCGCAACAGGCAATTGGTCTGTCTATCTAGATAACGGCGCTGCACCTTCACGAATCTCCTAAATAACCCCCATGGTATCCAGGAATAATCTCGACTTTGGTTCTGAGACTTCTATAATGGCATCAATCCCACCCATCCGCACGGATTTTGATAATTACGAAGCGTGTGAACACCTGCATGATGAGGATCCAATTGAGGACGAGGAATATGAGGAAGGCTCGGAGATAGATCCAGTTGAAAGAGAGCGCCTGGCGCATCATCGGATGGTAGATGAGTTCCTATCACCTCTTTCCCTCGATGAGGCCGTGCTCTATCAACTTGCACGGCGATTCTCTACGGTATACCGTCATCTGGCCTCGACATCAGAACAGCAGTTTCTCCCGACTCCGGTAACCAGATTGCCCAATGGAAATGAAACAGGTCGTTATCTAGCAATTGACGTCGGAGGGAGCAATTTGCGGGTTGCTTTCATTGAACTGCTTGGTGAAGCTGCAGATGCGGATATTCGCTCTACAGACGCTTCTGAGAGGTCGCGAGATACCATTCGCAAAGCGCAGAGGCAGCGGGTACGACGCACCTTAGAAAGAGCATGGCCAATCCAGGAACATTTGAAGTTAGACAAGGCAGAAGATCTGTTCTCTTGGATCGGAGACTGCATTGCAGAAGTAGTGGCTGAGAGTTTATCCTCAGGTACCATGAGAGATAATGTTCCTCAGGAATTGGATATGGGCATCACATTTAGTTTTCCAATCATGTGAGTGTTACTCGATGAGGATCTAGTCCTGTTAACTAATTGATAACAGGCAAGAATCTCTTGCAGAGGCCACGCTTATGCCAATGGGTAAAGGATTCGCCATCACGTCCGACCTCAACCTTCGTAAGATCTTGTTGAACGGGTATGATAAGCATACGAGGCGCCTAGACGAAGATGACGAACCTTCAAGTAAACGTCGGAAGCTGTTTTCCTTGCCCAGACTTAAGATCGCCGCTATCACAAACGACACAGTCGCCACGTTAGCATCGCTTGCTTATGCTGTGAAATCCCTGCCCAATAGCCGGGTTGCTATGGGCATCATTGTGGGCACAGGGTGCAACGCAACAATCCCTATGAAACTCGATGCTTTGCACGAATCCAAGGCCAAGCACGTACGCTCGACTAGTCCCAAAGCAGAGGAAACTATCGTAAACACAGAGTGGACCATTTCGGGGGCAGCGTCCCCTCTAAAGGAGCTGGATATCATCACCAAATGGGATGCTGATCTGGATCGAGAGTGCGCTCGGCCAGGCTTCCAGCCATTCGAGTACATGACTGGAGGTCGGTATATCGGTGAACTCATCCGGCTTATTCTTTACGACTACACCACGAACCTTGCAGGGATCTCAGAAGACGATCTTCCCGCTACTCTGCTCCAAGCTTACGCTCTCACCACCACCTACATATCCAATAATGTAGCTCGCTCACGGTCCGACCCGGACCTGGCTAATGAACTGAATCACTCCATGCCCCCGCCCGAAAACAGCCAATGGACCTGGGATACGAACACTGCCGGTGTCTTCCGCAAGATCGCCAGAACAGTACAACGACGATCTGCCGGCCTGGTCGCCGCTGCCGTTGTTGGTTTGCTAGCATGTGCGCGGGAGATCGAGTTAAAGGTGGATAGCAAAGAGAACTCGCCGCAGAATTCTCAAGCCACTACGCCAGAATACAATGGCAACGTACATTTGCCCTCCGAGCTAGAAGAAGCTTGCAAAGTTCAAGGCCCAATTGTCCCTGTCCTCACACCAACCCCGGCAGATTGGCAATCGGGCCCGGAGGAATTGGTCGTTGCTTACACGGGTGGTATAATCCAGAACTACCCCAACTTCAAAGAATCATGTCAGCAATATATCGACCGGCTGATAATGAGGACCGGTCCGCAAAAGAGCGGGAAATCAGTGTTTCTGCGAGAAGCATCAGATGGTGGAGTTATTGGTGCTGGGGTGTTGGCTGGGATGGTGGTGGATAGTTAATGTTTTCTTTTTCTTGCTTATTTGTGACGACGTAATGACTATTTATGATGTATGTCTTCGGATACTGACAGCGGTGGTTTCTCTGCTAATGTTTGTTTATGTTTTGGCATAATTCCATGAAAATTGATGATTTAAAGTGTGTCTAAGCTTTCTTGGCTTCTCCGGATCCTTGGTCCCTAGGGTTTAGTATACCAGACTTCCTCAATGACCTAGAGACTTCTACCGTGCACACGTTGATACAAAATGCCAAGAATGACAGCGCAATGTTCCCTGCAGATATTTCTTTCTTATCTGCATAAATAATGCAGATTTCCTTTTTCCACGGCTTCTAGCATAAATAGTGCACATCCTCGGCGTCGGTCTCGGTCTCTGACCGTCTCTGACCGGAATACGGCACCGGAGTTAGTGTCACACTAATCCCGATTGCATTCTTTTCTTTATATTTGACACTCCCTGCCAAATTTTGATCCAAATTATCCAGAATGAAAGAGGAAACTTCCAACCATGCATCAGGGTCGGATACTCCGTCGTCGTTGCCCAGCGATGAACAGCCTGAAGGGGTAGATCTCGAACGGGGCGAGCATCCGGCTGTGAAAAATGACCAGCCGGATAAGGATGAACACGATCCATATCTCGTACGTTCGTTTTGTCCATGTTTTAGGGGCCTATTCTAATTGAGAGCAGGTAACATGGAGCGGCCCTAACGACCCCGAAGATCCCAAGAACTGGTCTTATAGGAAGAAATGGGGCGCCACAATCACAGTCTCTTGTTTCACGTTCATCTCGCCTGTGAGCTCGTCTATGGTAGCGCCGGCACTATCAACAATTGCGGCAGAGTTCAATGTGGATGATGAGATTGTCTCGCAATTGATGCTGTCCATCTTTATTCTGGCATATGCAGTCGGGCCGTTGATCATGGGACCGCTGTCGGAGATCTATGGACGGGTTATTGTGTTGCAGCTTGCGAATTTGATCTATCTGGTGTTTAATATTGCTTGTGGTGTCTCACAAACCAAGGTGCAGATGATTGTGTGTCGATTCTTCTCTGGGCTGGGAGGGAGTGCGCCGCTTGCTGTAGGTCATCCGCATTCATGCTATACATCAGAATTAACAGAGAAATAGATCGGTGCAGGTCTTCTATCTGACTGCTTCAAAGCCGAAGAACGCGGAAAAGGTATTGCAATATATAGCCTCGCCCCCCTCCTAGGCCCAGCCGTGGGCCCAATTATTGGCGGCTTCATCACCGAGAACACAACCTGGCGCTGGGTCTTCTACGCAACCTCCATTGCCGACGGCGTCATCCAAATCGCAGGCCTCTACCTCCTCCGCGAGTCCTATGGTCCTAAAATCCTGCACCAGCGCGCCAAGCGCCTCCGCAAAGAAACAGGCGACAACGCCTACCAAACCGAATCCGAGCGCCAGAGTAAAAACCTCCCCCAACTCCTCCGTGTCTCTCTCGTCCGCCCTTTCCGTATGCTTCTCACCCAGCCCATTGTCCAGGTCATTGCTGTTTACATGGCCTACGTCTACGGCCTCATGTACCTAGTGTTATCAACGTTTCCATCCCTCTGGACAGACCCGGACTACTACAATGAGTCCATAAGCGTCGGCGGCCTAAACTACATCTCCCTAGGCCTAGGCTTCATAATCGGCTCCCAATCCTGCGCACGCACTAACGACCGCATCTACCGGCGTCTAAAGGCCCGCAACAACAACACCGGCAAGCCCGAATTCCGCGTCCCCCTCCTCTACATCAGCTCCTTCCTAATCCCAACCGGGCTCTTCATCTACGGCTGGACAGCGCAGAGCCATACACACTGGATCGCGCCAAACATCGGTGCCTGTCTATTTTCTATAGGAAACATCATTGCCTTCCAATGCATGCAGACGTTCATGGTTGATTCGTATACGCGGTATGCGGCGAGTGCGCTTGGGGCGGCGTCGTTTTTGAGGTCGATTTGTGGGTTTGCATTTCCGTTGTTCGCGCCGTATATGTATCAGGCGTTGGATTATGGGTGGGGGAATAGTTTGCTTGCGTTTGTGGCGATTGGGTTAGGGGTGCCGGCGCCGGTGTTTTTGTGGTTTTATGGGGAGAAGTTGAGGATGATGAGTCCGTATGCTGCTGGGTAGTGGGACTGGACTGGCCTGGGCTGTACATGTGGGTTGACTTAGTACATAGATTAATATGTAATAGGCTATTACTTATAGACTTAATCTTAGGGCATTTAATCACTACACCAAATCACAACTATGTTGAATCTGCAATCCTCTGCCAAAATATATTGGAGATAGCGGGGAAGTGGAGCACTCAGATTCTGTCCCGCTAGTTGTATATCGTTGCATGACTATCACAGAATATTAGCGAGATATTGCACAGAGAGGGGAACAAGCCAAAAATATAAAGGCAGAGCCCTTGCCAATCCACAAGTCACACACTTGTACTGTGTATCTACATGCTACCAACTGAACCCGCCAAAATGTCCACAATACACATTCCCCTCTCCCAATCTACGGTCCAAGTCTCCATAATCGACACCACCCTCGACGCCAATCTCCCAACAGCCCCCTTTATGGGTCCTCCTATCGCCGGCTTCGACCGGTTTCAGCTCATCGACTATGCATTCCTGATAACACACAAAGACCCCACAACAGGCCGAGAGCGCAGAATCATGTTTGACCTCGGTAGTCCAAAGGATCCGGACAAGGACTTTCCTCCAACCACTAACAAGGTCATTAAAAGTTTTGGGGGATATGTGAAAATCGACAAGAATGTCTCCGAGATATTAACTGAGCATGGCGTTGAGTTGGGGAGTATCGAGGCTGTTGTTTGGAGGTAAAGCAGCCCTTCCCATATCCTATGTATGCCATTACTAAAATGAATTGAGAAAAAAAAAAGCCACGCACACTTTGATCATGTTGGCCGCCCCTCGCTCTTTCCCTACTCAACATCCCTCCTCGTTGGACCGGGGGTCAAAAGATCATATTTCCCAGGTTACCCAGTAAACGCAGCATCCCCCATCTTGTCTCGCGAATTCTCAAACCGCGACGTCCAAGAATTAGACTTCAATGCCTCCGACCTTGAAATCGGCTCCTTAAAGGCCATAGATTACTTTAAAGATGGGAGCTTCTATCTCCTTTCTGCGCCGGGACATGCAGTAGGGCATATAAATGCGCTAGCGCGCACAACTGAAGATAGCTTTATCTATCTCGCAGGAGATTCATTCCATCATGCTTCTGAGCTACGGCCGCACGGGGGTGTTGGTGCCTCTCTTTCAGATTCTTTATCTCTAAAATTACCTTCTCTTAGCTGTCCCTGTTCCGGATCGAGGTTTCATTTGATTCACCCGCTCAACGAGCGTTCAAGGATCCCGGAGCACTACCGTGGGTACTATGATCAAGTACCCAATGATCCTGACAGAGTGCCTTTCCATACGCTATCTGAGACTGAGTCTGGGGAGACAATGGCTGTGGATCTGCGTGCAGCAAGGGGTACTGTTGAAGCTATTCAGAGGTTTGATTCGGATCCAAGGGTCTTTGTTATTGCGGCGCACGATACGTCTTTGCGTGGTGTTCTAGAGTATTTCCCAAAGACTGCTAATGAATGGAGGGAGAATGGGTGGAAGGAAGAAGGGTATTGGTTATTTTTGAAGGAGTTTGGTAAGGCTGTCGAGGTGGCTGAGGAAACACAATAGATCAATACTGGAATGAATGACATGATTATTAGATTCAACAGAATCAAGTATACAACTACAAATACGAACGCATATTGGACCAGCCATTGATTTTCTTCACTAAAGCAACTCAAGCATCTTGAGTCTTCAACATAAGCGAAATCTCATTGGCCAGTGTCGCCAAAGTCGACTTCTCTATTGATTTCTATCCTAGATTCCGTAACCGGCTTGCCCTATTCCGCGAATTCAACTCCACCGTCACAGGCGTGTAATCCCTAGGTATTTCTGCATAGTTGCCGGTGGGAAATAATCTTGGGATCAGGACTGTCGATACAACCCCCCTCGTAGAGCACACGCCCAATTTCCACAGCACACTCATGCCACGAAACCTCCTGCCCGTTCTGGCAGAACCAGTACGCATTAGTGGCGACTTGCCCTACCAATGTGCGCTAAGCAAATGCAGCATAGCCATGTATCCATGTGCTAGATCGTTAACATGCACTTGGCTCCATACAGAGAGACCCTCGCCGATTTGGCCCGCATAGCCGTATTTCAAGGAGTATCGGATCAGGGCCGGTAGCTAGATTAATAGCCTGTTATCACGTGTGCCCATGCCGTAGACAAGGGGCGGGATCACAATGCACATTTTAGCATGTGGGCTCAGTTCTTTGCATCTACGTAGGAATGCCTGGTCCACCACACGGCTAAGAGCGGGTTGAGTCAAAGGGCGAGTCTTATTTAGAAATCAGCTATATGAATAATAAGCAATACTGGGTTAGATAGGATGATACAGAGAAGTACTTCGTGCGAGCAAGGTCCAATGCCAAGGGACACCCCGAGAGGAACTGGCTCACAGGTTCGTATTGGTTGGTTGCTCACCGGTGGTTGTCTATTAGCACAGTCTAATTATTTCAAGGCATAAATGACAATTGAAAATATAAATCATGAACGGCAACTGAAATGCGTCGCGGGCAGGCTATCCTAAGCTTATCCAAAGTAAGAAACATAAGTTATTAGCCTCTCAATTACATTCCTTTAAAGCCTCACAGCAACAATCTTAGCCGGTTTAACTGTCTGGCTCATAACAGGGGCAATTTGTGCTCCACTCGTGGCGACGTACAGTACCGTTCGGTCTTTACTCAAGGCAATAGCCGTAGAACCCGCAACAGTAAGCTTGAATTCGTTTCCAGCGACAAGCTGAACTTTCCTCTGCGGCTAGATCTTCAGGAGCTCCTTCTGTGGGTTCGTCGCAATGTATGCAGTTCCGTCCTCGGTAAGCAGGAAATCATCAGCCGTGAATCCGCTGCTGCTGATCTCCATGGGACCAGTGGCGGAAGCATGCTCGTCGACAGGGATCCGTCTGGAGATCTCCCTGGTCGTGCTGGTGAAGTAGACGTAACTGTGCAGCGCCTTAATTCCATTTGCACCTACTTGGACTGGTTGATCCTCTTCTGGAAGCAAGGGTGCATGGGAAAGAGCTTGGGAGTATTCCCCGGTGGTAAGGTCAAGACGCCAAATAACACCCTTTTTTGAATCCGTAATAAGACATAAGTTATTTCCGAACTTTATGATGCCGTTAAGCAGGTGAGCGTCCGGGTTGTACGCGAGATTTTTGTTTTGGGTTGGTTGTCTGAGAACTGGACAGTTCATATCGCGGACGTCCCGGGTACCGGGCTGATGGTGGATATGGAGAGGTTTCCAGTAACAACCGCGTAGATATCCTCGCCAATCTCTGCAATTCCCATTACGCTGCTTTCACGGGGGAACGTGTAAAAAGGATGGCCGGTTTCCGATATAGGTGCTGTACTGATGGACCAGAGCTTGGGTACGTCGATACGAGTTGCAAGGAGGTTTCCTTTTGGCCGTACAGCTAAGTTCTCGAACCAGGCTCCATTGCTTCCAAGTTGAAAAGTTGTCGATATGATTGAGTTTTCCGCCGTCATTCGATTGTGCGGCACACCGAGAAAGGTAGTAAACAGAGAAGACATTAATGTGCCATATTTCATGAGGGTTGAAAAGCAATGCATCTTGTGGTGTCTTGACTAGGCACAAAGCTATTATGGCTTAAAGGATGTATGTAGAAGAATGATAGTGCAACCCAAGGTTCTAGTAAAGCTCTTTATATTTCAATCAAGTAGGGCTATACCGGAAGAGAAATCGGAAGTAACTTTCGTGATTGATCATCACCCGGATGCTATGCTTGGGTAGATGGAGAAAAGCTAAATAGTTCAAACTCCCTCCGGACTGACTTGGCTCTTGCATGGTTCATCATACTTTAACTATCCTGATATGCGATGGTGGGGCTATATCACAACTGATACCTTAGTTCAATGGTTCCGAAAACGTAGTAGTCAATAATCTATAATTGATTTTACACTCCTACTCTTAGAGCGTATCATCTAGTCAAACTCACCCCCTTCCCAATACTCGATGGCGCATGAGATCAGCAGCATTTCGAGTTCCAAACGCCTCAACTACAGTGTTGGAAATGCCACAGTAATAAATTGTAGTTCTTAATTGCAAGACTCCACTAATACCCCTTATGCCCGCTTATGCTTCTATGCCTTTCTTATTTCTGATAGTACAGGCCTTTCGATAATGAGATTGGTTACCCGAAGAGGGATATAAATCTCTCACCATCGCTATTCCTTATCACACTCGCCAGAGGTTGACAGTCTTTTCGTCTATGGTAATTTCCACTTCTATACTCGGTGAATGTGCTAGGAGCGTTGAGCATGAATCCACCCATTACAGTCAGTTAGATATGTCTCTGACTGCAAAGCACTATGATACCTATGGTGTTGATTTAACCTCACTTTCCTCCTAGGAGTGCAATTGGAAAGCAAGTTCTAAACTTTATAATACAGGTTACTTTAAAGTCGCCATATGCTCCGGGTTTGGCTTATCGAACAAAATTTCAGCCGGAGGCAGCCACGGTTTCTTGTACGTCGTCATGTCTTGCTGGGCGAGCTCTAGCCTCTCAGACATGATCTCCTCGTAGTTTGATAGACGGCAATCATGAGATGGCTCTCGCATTTCTTTCTGAGGCACCATCGAGCGCCCGGAGACAGTTATGCTATTTGATTATAAATATCTTAAAAAGAAATTGTAGAGATGTCTATACTATGTATGAGATAACGGATGGAGAGGGTGCTACGTGGGATGGTGATGTTGAGGTGTTGATTTGGGTTTGGGCCATAGCTCGTGAATTGGCCGATGATGTTTAAAGAATTATTTAATCAATTAATGATATCCACGGTATTCTGAATTGGACTTCCTCGCTCGTTGCAGCATGAAACCTCCGAACGACATATTCGAGCCAAACCAACTTCTTGAACTACTCTTGATAGTAGTCACATTAGGATCGAATGCATATATTTATGCTTCGTTCAGAAACTCCATCTTCTACAAGGCCTGCGTAGCTAGATTCGATAAAAGCATCATCCTTAAGCTCAACACCGACGACTCTCCCAGCGAATATTGAAAGCCTGCAACCGCAACTTAGCATCTTTCTGTCAGCGACCTTAGCAAGCTGTACCACAAACGTTCGAATCTACTCCCCACACCGAGTTCGCCACAGTCGTCAGATAAACATTCTCCAAGACTATGTCGTTTTCACCCGCACCCGCGTTGCGAAGGAAGAAATGTTCGAATGGTACAGTCAATGGGTCTCTCCTCACGCGAGTCTCCTTGTCTGCATTCTATGACTGACACTACAATCCGCTGCGTCACGTCAGGCAGTCGTTCGCTCTTTTCCTGTATGGTGAGTCGTGCCACTAGTTCCCACGTCTCGATAATTATCTCCTTGGTAGTTTGATGAACGGCGATAGTCACAGCGGTCTTCACGTCTCCTGCAAATACTACAAGCCACCAGCAGGCATCATCGGCTGGCTTGCTCCTTTCCCCCCAGTTTTCCGACTCAATAAGGTCTGAATACCAGTAGTCTGAGCGGTTGGGCTGGCAAAGTCTTCGAGCGGTACGACTGGTCGGTCTTCTTCCTGCGGCCATTACTCTTTCTCAGTCTGTGCGGTCATGGGAGTTGGAGGTCAAAAACGTTCATGAGAACGAATTTTTGCATAAACATATTATGTAGTGCATCTTGCGCTTGTTCATGCGCTTCAGTCGTCATCTTGTTGAGGGGTGAACCAGGCGTTTGGATATAATCAGTTCATGAACCTGCAAAGTCCTTCAGACAAGTTTGCTCGTTCATGTCAAAAAAGATGATGCACTAGCTTTTATTGCCAGTTTACCCTCTCTCGAGTGCATGGCATTAACTGTCAAGGACCTCGCAGAAACCCTTTTGGCCGAGATACTGATGTTTGCTGGCAGTGGGACTAACGCAGAATAGACGCTGGCGGCCACCTGCCTAGCTACTTTCACTGTCATTTTGTAAGATGGATTGTTCAGGGCAAATTTCAGTGCCTTGATTTGGGATGTTTATGTGTACAATGCTAAGGTTGGTAAATGACTTTATCATTACTCCGTACATTGGGTTGGGTTATTAGGGTTATGCACTACAGCATTGGGCCAAAATGACTTGAAGAATGGCATAGTTATGCTACTGGGGTTAAGATTACAGCTCCTTTAGTAATTACAGTATGTAAACTTTCTAGCTAGCTGCCATTAAGTCATCAGAAACCTGACAAGATACATCCAAATGACCAGACGATCAGATATACCGGAACATGTTGTTCCTGACACTCCGTTTCATGGTATTCGGCTGCCCGTCCTCGTACTCAATTCCAGATGCTCCACCTTCACCCGACATTCGCTCGAGTTTCTCGCGAAGTTCCTCATCGGATTGACCGACGGATTTGGCTTTTTTTTGCTGTTGTTGCGGTTGTTGTTGTTGCTGCTGCTGCTGGGATTGTGTGTTTGCCGAGTCTGATGTTGAACTCTCAGACATGTGCTTGTTTAATTTTTCATTTTGATCTTCTGTGACTGATTAGCATTGCTCGCTGTAGCATGTCAATAACCGAGCATACCTTCCTTGATATTGTCTGATAATGTTTGCATTGTCGATGAGAATGGCCGGGCAGTGTTCTTCAATGCCCACGCCGGTGCGCCTCGCACCAGGGAGCGTGTTTGCGCATTTAATCTCATATTCATCAACATATCTCGAATGTCGTTCGTCTGATCGAAATCCAGAATCGCCGTGGCGTGAATTAACTGATGTCATTATCTGCCCCAGGCATAAGATCACGTGCTATAGGATCACGTGCGATAATCACCGGGGTCCATTTCTCGAACGGCAAGTGCTCCATCATCCTAACACTTCCCCACCACGGTCTTGTCCATCAGCACCGTCACTATGAGCGCGCCAGCATACTATGAGCTCTACCGTGGGAGCAGGTATGTCGTACATCCGATGCGAAGGCGTTAAATACCCTCCATGTTTGGATGTGCAGGGCTGACTTAGATTCCCCATTAGCATCGGTTTGTCCCTCACCGATACGCTCGACGACCTGATCAACGAAGGCCGGATCGAACCCCAGCTCGCGATGAAGATCCTGTCGACGTTCGATCGTGTTATCACCGAGGTGCTGGCGGACAAGGTGCAGGTTAAGCTGTCTTTCAAGGTGCGCTTAGTCTCAGTCGGGGGTGGTCTACAGGATTGACCAGGGTAGAAACAAAGGCTGACATCTATGGCGGAATAGGGACACCTGGACACCTACCGATTCTGCGACGAAGTCTGGACATTCCTTATCAAGGATGTCAACTTCAAACTGGACAACCAGAGCACCGTCTTTGCGGATAAGGTGAAGATCGTCAGCTGCAATAGCAAGAGGCCTGGAGAGGTTTAAACTACAGATACCGTGGCGTTTTCGGTCGTTTCTTTTTCTTATTATTTGGTATTTCTTTTTTTTTTGGTTGAGGCTATGGGTCGCTTGGGACAGATTGATTAGCATAAGGATTCCGTTGGCGTTTTGATCTAGCGTTGTTTTTGCTTTGTTTTATTGTATTCTATTGTATTCTAGTCTTTGAGAAAAACCAGATACCCAGAGTACTTCAGCAACCGTAAAACCGCCCCAACCGCCGCCCATTTCTCAGCTCTGTCCATCCCACTCCTCCCTATACCCTACACTTACCCAGCACTAAACGAGAACCACCATGTCCGGAATCCTTCTCTTCTGCACCGCCCCGGTGCCAGCCTCGGTGTGAACTCCACCACCTTCCCATCCCACCATCGCCACTAACAAGAGCAGAGCAGGTAATCAACCGCCTCATGCAAGACAGCAGTATCCCGAAACACGGGCGAAACATCTTCAGTCTCGTACGCACCCCCGACCAAACAACCCTGGACAACTTCAACTCCAACCCCCCAATCAACCCATTCTCAACCGGATTCCTCAGCACGCCTGACACCGAACTCCGGCGATACACGCGCCAACGGATCAGCGATCTCGAGCGCGAACGATCAATCAGTCTCTCCTCGAAGTGGGTCGCTGTCCTGGACGAACGGTCCGTGACCGATAACACGGTGGTGATACATCGGTACGAGACCAAGTCCGAATGGGAGCAGCTGCAGCGCGAGGCGGAGGAGGAATGGGTTGGGATCCCCGGGACGGCAGAGATTAATGAGGAAGAGGATTCGATCTGGTGGAAATGGCGCGTACCGTTTGATGCGGTCTTTCATCTGTATAATCATGTCGAGACGTTCTCGTGGCGTGGCGTGGCGTTGTGGGCGAGACCGGAGTATTTGGGGGAGGATGGGATTGTTATGGTGAGGTTTCCAGTGGGGATTATCAGTGGGGGGATGGAGGATCCGTTGGGATTAATGTGATTCACAGTATCTCTCTGTATGGGGTGGTTTGAACTCAGTTCTTGCGAGGATGGGAATTGTTTGGGGTGAGAGTTCATGCTGGAGATATAGGAGTAGGAGTAGGAGTAGGAGTAGGGTCGATTCATTTTATGGTCATGGCCAGAGAGTTGTTGGTTGATTCACCCAGATCCCTGGCTCTTAGTGAGATTTAGGTTGATAGAGACAAGACTAGAGAGTAGTATCTGGTTGGGATGCGTAATATACCGCATCGCATTCAACGTGGAGTTCCATGTCGGTCGGATCTGAAGAGGCACGAGTTTCCATCATGATCAAAGGGAAGCGATTTTTGGCTTCTCTCTACAGGTGATGTTCAACAAAGTGTAACAGACATTCAAAACTAGTAACCAGGGACATGAAACTGGGACCTGGTATGGAGGGAAAGCCTGTGGCCATGGGAATATACACATATGATGCCAAGGCAGGTCTTGGTTAGAGAGACTCCGAAAATGGCCGCCGAAGTAGCCCTTTTCAGCTGCCCGCTAACCATCACATCAGTAAATGGAGTATTTAAACAGACGGCAATAAAGAGGGATATAGCATTATAGCAGCTCTTTGTAGACATTTCTCATAACACTTCCTGATTGAGTCATGCGGAGCGGAATGTAATCCGCGGTCCGATTTGATCTTCATCTACCGCGATGCGACAGCTTCATCAATTGTCATTCTACACTACGGAGTACTGCTATGAAATTCACAATGCCACGGACTTTGCCGTGGCTAACTAGTGACAGTGGAAATGGAGGAACGGGAGATGCCAAACGAGCGGTAAAGCCGCAACCAGATTCCGACTCCGACTTGGATCGCACGCCAAAAGCCACTAGAAGGGCTGCTGAGGATATCTTTCGATCCTGTGAGTACCGGTCGCTCCCTTCTGGGCATGCGATGACCTGTTTACTGACGCACTTCCTCAGCTAGTCCTCCCGCACAGCCTATCCGACAATGTCCATCCGAAGAGTGAGCAGCAATGACCAGAACCCGTTGACGATGATCCTTTCTAATAGTGACAACAGATACCTAATCGAAGGCTTCGACAACGACGACATCTACATGATGGTCGAAGACGAATTCTATGCCGTCGCGCAATCCTTCACCAAACATCTCCACTTCGCAGAATACGTCCGACAAGCCAAAGAAGCCAAATCGCAGAACGCATCTAAATTCCAGGACCTCGCGCACCCCACGGACGGAGTCACCCCGATGAGCGACGAAACAAAGAAAAAAGAGGCAGAAAGCCTAGCTGAGAGGCAGAAGAAGGGTCAGGGGATGTTGGAGAATGACGAAAGGTCGCGAAGGGATAAAGAGGAGGGTGACAATGTGCTTCAGGATGATTCTTGGGCGGGGACTTCGCTGTATGATCTTATGATGAGTCCGAGGAGGTCACGGAATTTAGTGGGCGCGCAGAGGATTAAGTCGTCTACGAGGGCAGCTGCTGGGTTTGTGCAGTCGCAGAATTCGAGCGTTGGTGGAATAGCTGTTCCTGGCCTGTCATCATTGCCGCTTAGTAGCAGGGAACAGGATCGTCGGGGTTCTATTCAAGAAACAGCATCTTCAGATGACGATCTGGACGTACAACCGACTACGACAGTCAAGCGAAGAATCGAGGACATCAAAACACCAAAGACTGAAAAGTCAACGGAATCCATTACACCAACACCGAAGCGTTCTATATCGCATGCACCGAATAATTCCATCAAGCCAAAACCAGAAACGGAACCAATACCAACACCAACACCGTCTATCAACACCGCTGGAAACAAAACAAGACCGTCACCGTCACCGCTTAAGCCCAAATCTAAGGGAAGAATGCTTTTTGATGATTTCGACGGGCTACCAGAGCCCGCATCCAATATTTCCATGCAAAAACAAGAAAGAGAGTCGTCGTCGTCGATAGAAAAGAATGCAAGTGGATGTGAGAGCAAGAAAAAGTCGCGACTGAATGAAGTGCCGACGTTCGTGCTGTGAGCTGCTGCGGAGTGAAGGTCGCAGACCTTCTGCTCATGTTTATTGTAATTCGTCGACCGCGTGGAACACCAATTAGAGGTCATCATTCGATCGAGAGAGCCGGCCGCTCATCCGCCGAACGTGGTGCCTGAACTTCTCTCGTGCGGATGGGAGATCGATAGTCTTCATCGCACTGTCATTGTCCGAGCCAAGACTGTGCGATGTCAGCGTGCTGCGACGATGTCAGATCCGTGGTTCCTGTAAAACTATTGTTGAGGACTTACTCGTCATCCGAGAAGAAGACCGGCGTCTTCTCTTTGCGAAAGTTTGTTGGGTGTCCCTGCGATTCATTAGCTACGGTCCTTGAGTTGACTCGAGGCGAGCGACGTACAATCTCCAGTCCTTTCGGTGCTTGCTTGCGCTGGAATGGGGATTTGAGGCAACGGCCGATTTGTCGGAAACACTCCATCTCGGGGTTCGTGTTATGGATATCGTGAAGTCGGTGGTGTTAAAAGATCGTTATAATAGCGAGTGGTGCAAGCCGGTATTTATCAAAACAACCAGGTGAAAACAAGTCAAAGCACAGCTGAAGAGAACGTCTTTATGGATATGATAACTCTGAAACGATGGATATACCAAACGAAGGACAATAGGCTCAAACACCTATGAGAAAGGAACGCAGCAAAAAGAAAGAATATCGAATGTTCTATGACTCAGTCAGGAGGAGAAAAGACACAAACACAGACCGACCTGAGGCCTGGCAATAGATACCTACCTATATACCACCGGTCAGCCAGCCGCCGCCATCCACGATGGGCAAATGACGATCTATGCACGCGCGCGCGTACCATGTACAGATACAGAACATTCGCCGGCCAGGCTAACCCAGCACTGACCAATTGCAGGCCCCTGAGAATCCATCACCAGCCTCGTATGGCCTGTCTCGTCCTGTCAACCCGCCTGATCTTCGTGTCGGAATGCACGTACTGTATTTGCCGGCGCGTGGGTAACAAATTCCTTTTGACCCTTGACACCTTCCCCTGGCGGCTGCACGGCCACTCGGCAAATGAAAGAAAGCAGATCCCCTTAAAAAAGCATTCAGGGTCTCTTTTTGCTTTTTTGGGGTTTCTTTTTTTATCGCGTTCTTTTCTTTGTTCTCTTCGCACCGGTTATTTACAGGTGGGGATCAATGTCGAAAGGCTGTCGCGGGGCTTCAGGCTATTGGCAGCCTCTTCTGCACATCCAGCCGCGCATACTTTCCAAAGAATCCAGACTACCCTCCGTACTCCATATCTACCTGTACTGGAGGCACGGAGTACGGCAGTACAGTACAGGGATACCATGTACATTGCGTCTACGGATTCCTGCGGGTACATAATACGCGCTACTCTATACTAATTCGGGGAATAAAACTGTTTCTTTTTCTGCTGCAGTGGTTGAACGGCAAACGGAGGTGCATCATTAATCAATGCTTTCTTTTTATGGAATAGGTCGCTTTTCTTGTCTTGGAATAGTAGCAATAGCGCCTCGTCTCGGGGCGACTTGCATAGGAGTGCAGCACACTGCCATTTACCAAGGCAATACCCCCTATACAGTGTAAAAAAAGTTTCCAGAACACTGCCGTATTATAAATGTCTTGCAATGGAATTTGATGATCTGTCTCCATTACTCACCTCTGCACACAAGTCTCTATCGCCCCTTGCAGCACAACTATGTCACCTCAGACAGTGCAACAAAGACGCATTCCACAGCCTCCCTGAATAGGAGTAACCTCCTGGCCCTACGAAAAGGGTAAACGGTTCCATTGTGTTAATTCCGAGTTTCACGGCGTACTCCGTACTCTATACGGAGCTCTGTCTCTACAGAGTACATTTAAACCGCTGTGTAACTTTCTTTGTACAGTACTCCTGCTCCTGCGCATCCGTTTTGTTCTCCCCTTAATCTTGCAGGGATACTCGTATACCCCTTAGTTGTAGTAACTTTAGCGATCTGGGAAGATCTCTCGCATACCCCGGACTCTACTGCCTAGAGGCTGGCGTGAAATGGTCGATCACACTTTGAAACCCCATTTTACCTCAAATTAACTGTCAGTGTAAAGTATGGTCCGGGAGACGGGAGGTCCGAAGTTAATAGCTTAATCTTAAGAGAATTGCTATCGCTAACATACTCCATACTCCGTAGAGTACAAGGGCGGTAACTAAATGATCGGTATGCGTCAGATATGTATCCGAGCATTCCTAGTACTGTATTGAAGGTTCGCGTTGTGCTCGCGATGGGCCGGTGACCATGAGGAATGTTGATGTATTTCTGTCTGTCAGTTGGCGATCAGCTGATGTACGCCCGGGGGTTGGTGATATAAATGCATTGCTATCTGCGGAAATTCCCGTTGGATTATCCGAGGGGATCATTTTCCCTCTGGGACTCAATTGTATTTCGATCACAGCTAGCCAGGGAAACTAGGTGGGCAGCCCATTGCTTATGGTACCTATCCCTGAGAAACTGGCCCCGTCAGCATCGGCGTCGTAAAAGTTGCTCTATTCTTCACTCCGTTCTCAGTCTCGTGTGCTCCATTCGCCCTCACTTTCTCTTCATTTGCATTTCCCCCTCTCTTCAATTGGCCATGAAAAGCCGCGGTACACTTATCCGGGTCTCACGTCAAGCCCCTATCCATATCTCTCTCTCTCCTCGCCACTAATCGTTCCATCTCTACTTTTTCTCTCTCATCTAGCAAGTCAACCCTCTCTCCACACCTCAGGGCTCTCAGCAGCCCCAGAAGACCTTGCGTCCACCTTCAATCAGTATATAGCATCAAAAGCAAAACTATGCAGCACAGCACACATGATCCAGAAATCTCCAGTTTCCCAGAACTCCTGCATAGGGCCAGAAAGTCGTGGCCCTCTCTCAACTGTCCCTGTTGGATTGCTGTGTCTTCGCAATTCTTCATCGCAACCAGGGATGTCTTCAGACGATAATCAAAAACTATTGTCCAGTCGTCAATGTCACTTGGCCAGAACTCAGGTTTTTTAATGACTAGCCACCAGGGCGGTGCGTATATGAATTCCCAATCTACCACGCCGACAATCTGCAGACCTTCGTTGAAAGGACATTAGCAGGCCATAGATCATCGCACCAGATCTTGAAAGGTCCATCCCCGGGTGAGGGATTGGTGAGGCATTCGTCCCTAGCGAGTTTATGGAAAAGTCGCCGTACCAGACTTCCGTCGACAGTCATCTACGGACTCCACAGTGTCATTCCTTTGGTGCCAGATGCTCCATATTGGGGTACGCGAGGGCTTCGAGGTATGACGAAGATGTCTCGAATGTAGTGTTTTCATCAGGAAGCCTTGATCGCGGCAACCCCCCTCGTCGCTTAAGATCATTCGTAATCATCGACAAAGGCCGGCGTGTCACATCCCAGGTAAAATCATCGATCTGGCCGAGCGATCCTATCCGAGAAAACGACGGAATGGAAAGTTGAAGCATACTACACACCATCTGCGCATACAGCATCTAAAGCCTTTTCTAGTCGGTGTTCAGAGCATCGTACATTTTCACCCATGCTCAATGTAATTCATCATGATAAATGGGCTCAATTTAAGGGGACTCTCCTTCGTACCCAAATGCAGAATAAACGGAACAGGAATAGACGTCTGGTCTATGAGAAACCGCACAGCAACTTCATTCACAACTTTCTCCTAGGGTATAAAAAACAGCACCATGCCGCGAGAAGCGTATAACAGTCGTGCTTTTCGGTACGTCCATCTGTAGAGATGCTGTAAGAGCCTCTTCTGGGATGGCAAACTCGGTGGCATTACTTCTGTTGTATTTGAGGATGAAGTCTGCAATCGGTTAAGATGTCGAAGTCGAGGAATTGGAGCCAGATGCCGGATGCTTCTTCGGCTTGTTCCTAGGATATATCATCGGGGTTCATTTGCAGTTGCATATTTGCGGGTTGGATTAATGTGCAAGATTTTCCATGGGATAAATCAATGCTGGGTTATTTTCTATGTTATTTAGGAGGCAGGAAAGACGAGGAATACTTCCAAGTGCGCCCTAGACGATAGGCCGGATCTCTCCTAATGTGATGCTGTCAAGCTTAATAGCTCTCATTGTTGTTTCCATTACTATTTTCTAGCCTTGTTTCCATTGAAGTCCGCCTCCGTTTATGCTCCTTAGTTTCATAGCAATGAACGGCCCGAGTCGATGAGGTATCATTTCAAAGGAGCTGTCTATTAGCTTGGTCGGAAAGTAGACATCATGGTACATTGAACTCCGCTATTTCCCTCCCTCTCATAAGCAGTTTATTTGATTAAGGATGAGCCTTGATATGGTGGCTCTTCAACTTGACAAACTGCTCGAACCCGAAGCGACTCAACGTAACGCCCCGTCCGGAATTCTTCCAGCCGGTCCATGCGAGATCCTATACATGTCACGTTAGCTTTTGAAAAATTCTACTCAGTTAGAGAACTATGGGATAATTCTTACCGGGCTAGGATAATCCGACCGATTGATATAAACCGTCCCCGCCTCAACCCGATCAACCAACTTTTCAGCACCCTCAATATCCCTACTCCAAATACTAGCTGTAAGACCAAACTCGCTATCGTTCATATACCGGATAGCCTCATCATCGCCGTCAACCTTCATCACAGGGATAACAGGACCAAAAGTCTCCTGCGTCATAACGTCCATGCCATGGTTGACGCCGGTCAGCAAAGTAGGCTTGACATAATTTCCCTCCGCGGGAGTATTCTCAAAAGTCGCATTAGCAGGAGTCTCGTCCTTCGCACCCTTGCTCACGGCATCCGCAATATGCGCGAGGATAGTCTCCTTCGCACGCTTGGAGATAACAGGACCAACATGCGTCTTGGTATCGAACGGATCACCGACTACATAATTGCTCAACACCTTCTTCACCTCTTCCACGAATGGATCGTAGATATTCTTATGCACATAAACCCGTTCAATAGCACAGCAGCTCTGACCACTGTTGAAAACAGCCCCGTCGACAATCTGCTCCGCCGCCCAGGCGATATCCACATCATCCCGCACATAAGCAGGATCCTTCCCACCAAGCTCCAGTCCAACATTCACAATCCGATCAACAGCAGCCTTCTGTACGGCCAGCCCACCGGCCACAGACCCCGTGAAACAAATATGATCCACCTTCGGCGACTGAATCAACTCCTCCAACAACGAAGGCTCACCGCAATGCACAAACTGAATCACATTCTTCGGAAGACCAGCCTCCTCAAACGCAGACGTAATTTGCTCCACGATAGTCGGTGTCTGCGGCGAGGGTTTAAGAATCACTGCATTTCCAGCCAGAATCGCAGGGATCAGACTGTTGACTAGAATTAACCAGGGATAGTTCCAGGCGAAGATGATAAATGCGACTCCCACAGGCTGGCGCTTGATGAATCGTCTGAAGCCTGCTTCTTCTTCGCCGGGGACGACTTCGTTTAGCACGGTGTTGCTAACGCGGTTGAGGAAGTGGCTGCGCTTGATTGCTGTTGCGATTTCGACGGGAGAGAAGCCAATTGGGCGGCCCATTTGTTCGGTGAGTTCGCGGGCGAGAACATCTTTCTTCTTTTCGAGTATGTTTATGGCACGGGTCACGAGTTCCTGGCGCTGGGCGAGAGTGGTCGACTGCGAGAATGACCGGAAGGCTTCCTGGGCGTCGTCGGCCACTCGCTTCAGGTCATCCGCCGTGACGCCGGCGCGAGTGACGACCGGCTTGTTCGTAGAGGGAGAGGTGGTAGTAATTGTAGACATTGCAGTTCTTTGGTGATCCAATTCTGAGGTGTGTCTAAGTGTACAAAGAGGAGAACGGGAGATATCTAGATAGCCCTCCCGCGGAGCTTCCGCTGTGGCGGGGTAGTGGCGGGGTAGTGGCGGTGGCCGATTGATAAGGCTTGATAAGGCTTGATAAGGACCTACAGCTAGATAGCTAAAAGACACGATTCCGATTCGTAATTCATGATACGGAACGACAGTAGACTAACAGGTAGTCCAGTAAAAACAAAGTTTCAATACAATACAAGACACTTAGATATCGCGCACCAAACGTGCTCCTGCCCAGGCATAGGGGTAATTATGCTGATACCAATTCACACTGCAGCAGCCAGGTTAGTAACCTGCCAGACCTTCAAACACCAGGTAACTTACAAAGTTGTTCTTCCTGCAACTCGGGGATGAGTAGCCCAAGAGCCACCCTGGATAATATTGTGCTTTCCGTCAAAGAAATCCGCTGCTCAAGTTAGCTCATCCCACCACGGGCAAACCGGAAACAAAACACTTACAGGTATATCCAGGATAGATCTCCATGGACTTGAAGCCGTCATGAGGAGCAAGCGGTGTACTGGTCCACTCCCAGACACCTCCCATTTCAGACTGGCCGGCAAGCTTGTCACCGTTCTGAATGACGGGCGTCGGATGCCAGTGCTTGAACCCAACATTGCAACCGTCGAGATCAACATAGACTGGCTGAGAGCTCTTGCTATAGCCGTTTCCATTTGCGACTCCATTAGCCCCATTGCTGTGACCATTTGCCACGTTGTGTCGCCTCTCTTTCTTCAACCGAGTCGCGTAGCTGTAGATGCTCCTAGTCTCCTCAAAAGTCGGGATTCTGCAACCCGTCCACTCAGCATACTTAGAAAGCTCACAGTACGAAGCAATCACCGGCCAGTCCTGGGCGACCTCTAGAGGCACAGAACCATAGACAGTGCGCACTGCAAAGTTGGACATGAAATCCTTCGTGGCAGCGACACTATGTCCGTTGACTGCTTCAGGTATGGGGTAATCCTCATTTCCATGCGTCAGAATCCAAGATGCCGGCATCTCGCGAAGTTCGTTGGCTTGCATGTATTTGGCGTATTCGCCATTTGTCACAGGCCGGCCCTGTGCTTCGAATGCATGTACCCTTGCAATCCGGGAGGGCTTCTCATTGTCCCATCCGAATGAGGCCCGGGGTACTGCGCTCTCATCAGAGTCGTCCAGGCCAATTGTCAGAGTCTGCTCCGGAACAGTGAACCACTTGTTGGGTTTCGCTTCATTCCTGGCATCGAGATACATCTTCCCAAAATCCGGCTGGCCGGCAGCCGGAGGGGGGAGCGTTCTTTCGCTCTGAAGAAGCATGTAAAGGAAGGTTTCAAGGTGCATGATCTCATGCTCAAAGCCAATCCAGAGAGCCTCAGCAAGGCACCTGTTGTAGACCAGATCCCCGCGTTCCAAAACCGACTTAACGCGACTCCTGACTCTCTCTTGGTAATCCAGGATTTCACCCAGTGGGGGCCATTCGTCTGGGATTTCGCTGTGAGAGTGACATTGCTCAGGGTCCTCTACATCGGGGTCGATACCGCGCTCAAAAATCAACTGATAGTTCTTCGGTTCGGTAGGTTTGCTTCGCAGCGCTCGGGTCAAATGGATATCTACCTAAGTTAATCATTACCCTCCCCAGTTTTTTTGCATACAGAAGCCACTTACCCGAAAAGGTAGGAATGTGTCCCAGATAGAAAACTAACGCATTCCGCAGCTTGATAGGTTTGGATAGGAGGTCCTCACGAGGGATCATGGACTTTGTTGCAGTATCCCATGCAGTCCATAATGATTGATAGTCGCTTAAGCTCGGGATTGAGTGTGCAGCATACTGGGAAGGCTGTGTCGGCAAGTCAAGCGCCGCGGATGAAAGTACATGAATATCTGTCAACGAATCATAAGAGTCAGCACAACTATACATTGGGCAATGTATAACAGATTAATTTATGCCAGGCATTCTTGCAGATAACCTGCAGGGCCGCGCACCCCGCTGCGGGGTTTTGAAATGGGAGGTGGCAGGTGGGCTGATTAACTTACGATAGTCATCTGATTTATTCGCCAGTTCTGAACCTTGGATCAGACCAGCAGCTCTCCATAATTGATCTCGCTCCTCAGGGCCATATTTAGTCGCTTCTTCAAAGACAAGCTTTTCGCCTTTGGGTAGTGCAACCCCATTGATGATGACATCCTGGGTAGGGGAGTAGAAAGCCTGGTGTTGTCCTGTGACAGCATCAAAATTGGTCACGATCTTCCACTCAGACGGCTTGAATGCTTCATATCCCAGCACTTTATTTGCATGTACCAGACCGTTCTCATAGAATCGACGAGTGACACCCTCCGAGTCATTATAAGCTTTGTACACTTTGTTCGGGTCCTTGCAGCCATCCAGGCCGATAATCATCACGTCAGATGGCGTCATGAGTTTAGCGAAACGTCCTAGAAACTCGGCCGCTTCTATGCGACTAAAATTCCCAATAGACGAACCCATTGACATAACCGCTGTTGGCCGCATTCGATTCTCGGGGGCGCTTAGCCAAGTGACAGCATCGTCGTAGGTACCATGCAGACCGTGTAATCCCACATGCTCGTATTCTTCGGTTGAGACTTCGGCAAAGGTACGCTGGAGTTCGGACAAGGACAGATCAAGCGCAAAGTAGTCGACATGCTTACCAGCACGCTCGAACTCTTTGAGCAAAATCTCAATTTTCCGGAGATTCCTAGAGATGGTTACTCCGCCTGATCTCTCCTGGGCCGTTGGTGGAGGATAGCTTACCCACTTCCCAACTCCAACAATTGCGCATCATTTGGAATCCTCTCAACGAGCCTTCTCGCATTATTGGTCAAAACCTCAATCTCTGCATTGGTCAAATAGTATTCGTCCAGATAAGTAATGCGCTCAAACAACTTGAGCCCTTCGGCGTCGTAAAGCAGCATGGTGGGCATTGACCGAGGTGTACCCTCGGGGGGGTTAATGCCCTTTTGGATATCATTTGCCAGAGAAAAGCTCACATTGCTCTGGCGGATATCGACAATTGGAACATCCGTTGGGAGGCGTAGTGATGGAGACATTTTCCGGTGCGCGTGTCAATTGAAAGCGAGGGGGGAACGAAGATATTGGAGCTCACAACAGAAGTATTTATGCAATTGGAAAAAAATCCCCTCTTTATACAACACAGAGGACACAGGACAGATGGCTAACTGAAAATTTCGAGTCCAGCTCTTTCATAAAAACAGATAGAGGGGTACAGAAACTCATGCAGCCAATACACAGGCAGCTCCAATCAACGGCAGAAATAGATCCACACGGAATAAAAAAAAAGAAGCCAGAAAGAAGAGAGTTAGATACAAATGAAAAGGGGGGAAATAGAGGAAATGCATTCCGTGCAGGAAGGAGCCATTTCCGGATACAGCCAGCCAACTCCGGCTGCAAACATCATGACACATTTGGACCTTGGTTTGCAACGGGAACTTGTTTTATGAACATCCGGTCCGTTCCTGAAATCTGAAGTGTCAGCTGCGTCAATACAACAATTGCCCCGCAAAATGTTCAGCAGTGGCATTAAAGAATACTACCCTGCCTGGTATCAGATTGGCGGTTGCCGATGCATAGCGGTCGGTGTAGCGTCCGTCCCCAACCGATACAGAAATTAAGACCAGTAAGAGCAGATTAATACGATTTGCCATGTTTCCAGCCCTCAACAAACTTTTCAATGTTCCGCAGGATGGCGCTGGTGGTGAGCTGAATATCAGCACTAGAAGCCAATGACGTTGGGGTTGCGTCGGTTGCGTTATGTTTCTACTGTTTGACTGTGGGGCATTTGTCTGGTTTGACAGCTTTGCTCCTACATTTGCATGCATTGTCGTGTTTGTTTTGTTTGCTAGATTGCTCTGTTTGTAATTCATGGATCGTCCATTTTAAGTTAAGCTTATGTAATTGTTGTAAGTGCAAATAATTATAAACAATTTAACAATTGGCCGGATGGTGTAGTTGGTTATCACGTATCGTTAACAGTTCACTACTGATTCCGATAAGGTCCTGGGATCGAGCCCCAGTCTGGTCATTTCTTTTTTTATTTTTTTATTTAAAAATAAAAAATTTCCTCTCCCTATTCAATTGAACCTCTGCTGCTGGCCTACATCCACAACAAACTAGCAGTCCCCATCCCTCCCAAACTCATCAACCCAGCCATCAACACATTAACCCCATTGTTATCCAACCAATCCCTTCCGCTCTCCACGCGACGACTCTCGTGCTCTTCATCGTGCTCCCGGCCCGGCGATGCTCCAACCGATGACTGTGTAACCCGACTACCCCTCAGGGCTGCGGTGTTGGCGACTGTTTCTGTCTGGCGCAGACGGAGGTTGTCGGATGAGCCTTGTAGGCCTGAAGATGCTTCGCTGGTGCCGCCTGGTAGGGAGGAGGAGGGGTGGACGAGGACCTATACATAGGTTCATCAGTTTTGTCCATGACCTGGAACATGGGGAATTGGTACCTTCTTCCCACCAGTCCCCTCGACAACCTTGCCCGTCCTCTTATCAACAACACTAGCCTGCAATAGTCCCCCCAAAACACTATCGAGAACACTCCCCAGCGCGCCCCATCCCGTCACAGCCAGGATCCACACCAACCGCTCCTTCACATAAAGTCCATCATCACTACCGGGTAAGCGAAACGGCAACAATACCGCAGACGTAACAGCTACCGTAAAAGCCCCCAAAACACCAGCCTGCAGTCCTGTCGCTGTTACACCACCATTTGTCCCCGGCGGTACGACGCGGAGGGAAAGAGAGGTAATCAGGCGCGGGGGAGATTTGGAGAGTATACCTAGTTCGGAGGAGTAGGTGTCTGCAGCGACGGCCGCGTAGTTGCTATACGAAGACACTGTTAGCATATACATAATCCAAACGTCCGGTATGGGTGAGAGGGCCATACGCAACTATCCCAACCATCACCACATCCGCCAAAGGCGTCACCCGTCCAAAACTAAACCCATCAAACCCCTCCCCAGAGCCCTTAAGTATCCAAGTATGCCACATAATCAAAACCGTCGCGACAATCGAGTTCGCCAACACTTGTATGTGATTCCGTTGACTATCGCCGCCCCCACTCCCGGTCGCGGAGAGTGTTTTGCTGGCTTTGATGTCATGTTTCACCTACTCACGTTAACTCTTTTTTGCCTGAGACAGTAGGAAAGACGAGTATCTATACCTTTGTGGCCTTAGTCCCTCCTATATAAAACGCAACGAGTAGGGAAAATGGTGCGGACCAAGGATGGACGGCGTGGGCGACAGCTGTCAGCGCGGCGGTGATGAGGCCCAAGGGTGTGAGAGACTTGCGGGACCAGGCGCGGTGGACGAGGAGGGAGATGGCTGGGATGGCGAGGATAGGTTTCATGTTGTATTTCTGGTGTTATAAGCTAATGGTGTTCAGATTGCCCCGGGGCAGAGAGCTGTAGGAGAGAGGTCGAGAAAATGTGGTGAGATGAGATCAGATTAAGTTATCTGGGGTCCATGCATGTCGTACGGCGCATGCATAGTGGTATGTAGGATACACTTAGGTATATCCATGTTTGTATTCATCTATTCATAACTATATACAGGGGTATCATTCGTAACTCATAATTGATGAACGTGGTAATAATTCATCATTTCGTTGCTGGAAAGCAACGAAAAGGACTCAAACCGCAATCCTCGTTCCACAGCCGGCCTTCCCATCCTTGACAGGGAATCCGTCGCATTCGACACCTGCTTATACCCATCCCACAATGCGCGCCAGTAGCACGCCTCTGCTGCCGGTGTCAGATATCGCTCCCGGAACGTACGCACGTTGTTATCGGCGATGCGCTCAGCAGCCCGGGGATTCTGGAGTAGGTGGTTCATCCTGCTCGGGAGATCGGAGAAGTCGCGCTCGACTTCGACGTAGTTTTGTTGTGGTCCAGACGGGACCAGGAGGTAGTGGTAGTGTTGGATGAATTGGAGTTTATGCGCGAGCACGACGGAGCGACAGGCTTGTCGGTATTTGAGCGAGCCTGAGTAGGAGCGACCTGTTTGAATCAGCTTTCGTCCTAAAATATGACCCAGAGACAAATTTACCTTCAGCGTGCGCAATAAACTTGTACCGACAATGATCCTCCAGCGACATGCAATTCTCTTTATTGCTCCAGTCCAATGCCTTGACATCGCTCCAAGTCTCATTCCGCGCCGTGTCAAGCAACGCCCGTCTCAACTTCGGCGCAAAACTCAACTTCCCCCGCCAGACCAACTTCTTCTCCTTGTCTTCAAAGCCCAGCTGAGATTCCATGTCTCGCACCCGATCAACGGCCTGCGAATACGGCCCGATATGCTGCTTCCAGTGCTCCCAGGACCAGAACCCAAAATCGGGCATTAACCACGCTGACTGCTCAGAGGCTTTCCGCGCAAGCACCCAGATCGGCTGGCTGCCACCGTAGACATCGTCGACGCGATCTTCGACCGAGAAAATGAATTCGATGGTGTCTGTTGCGCGTTCCGGACTGGCTGTTAAAGCGCGATGCATTGACGACAACGCCGCCAGAATCTTGCGACGGTGGTCCTCGTTCTTGGCCCGCGCAGCCACAATATACAACTCTCCATGCTGGATAATCGCGCGCGCCATCCCCGGCTCCAGTGAAACAGCATCCAAGTCCTCCTTCGCAATCCCTCCCTGTGCGCGCCAGTAATCTTTAGCACGGACAACATCCTGAAACAGTCCCGGGAAAGCAGAGTGGCACTGTTGCCGCTCCAGACCCATGTTACGATCGTCGCGGCCGTATTCGAATCTCCATGTCGACAAAGCAGACTGCTGCTGATGCTGGTGCTCATTTTCAGCGGGGGATGGGGCCGAAGACGCCAGACAGTTTAGACAGTCAGCGCATTGGAACGTCGTCGAGGTTTGGCAGGTACAGTGGCCGGCGGGAATCATCTGGGTGATTAAAGGGTGTACGTTGTCGCGATCTGAATTCATGCCGAACCACATGGTGAACATGACGATGCCCCAGAAGCACATCGTGGAGGTCCAAAGCATGCGTTGTAATGACCATGAGTGGCGGGTCGGGTGGCCCGAATCGAAGAGCCGATAGCGTTTCATTGTATACACAAGTATGATACCCTTGGATAGGAAGAAAAGAAAGAAAAAAATTGAAAGAAAAGCAAAACAATCGCGGGGACCCCGTCTTCAAGTAGATATAATTACACGCACACCGATCTACATGGTGGTTTGGCTGTGTGTCGATTTATACTATTTCAAGTATATAGAAACAATGGCTGAGCCGAGCCGCACTGCCAATTAGGGAAGGTGTCTTGCCCCAGCAACGGGTCAGTGACTGTCGGGTGTCGTAATGCCCTTCTTTTAGTTATTCTTATTTTCATGTGGCTCGATCATCCACGGTTCGCTTGACTTAGGGGTTTCTTGGCAATGCGCTTCAATGTGCGTACAACTGGCGAAGACTTTTTAGGCGAACTTGGCGCTTTGCTAAGTTTTGGGGCAGAAATCCCCTACAGACGGCGTTATATAGCATCGCCATAGTGTGGATCTCGATTCTCGCTATTCTATCGCGAAAGGGTAATAATAGCGAACAAGGCTGAACTTGCGATCCTATCAAGAGTGTTCCATCGTATTATGCATATAATATCGGACGTGGTGCCCGCGCTTTGACGCCACCATTCCTGCTCAAGACATTGATTTACATGTGTGACGCGTGGAGGAATTGGAGATATCAGCTCGACTTGTGACGTTCCTGTGGTCCGTGTATATTCAATCTGCAATATCTACTTATGGAAAGAGGACTGGTATAGATACTCCTATTTCTCCTGTAGCAGACCTTCAAACACCGGCTGACTCGACTAATCCTACAGGCGCACCCGCGTCGTGGCCAAATCCAAGCTGCCAATCTCTAATACCGCCCAAATTTAAGCAAATCTACTCCAAAAACCCCTGTATGGCAGCAGATGCGTTCAGATAAGTGCTCTTCGGGCAAACGACAAAACATATCGAACATCGTCCACAGAAAACCCTTGGAGCCGGCAACGAAGGGCAATATTCTCTACCATGAATAGCATTTGATATTTGTCAACGATGCGGAAAAAACCCCATCAGAATTTCGGAGACAATCTGTTTTGAAAATCCACCATTGGTCTTCTCTGCCAAACCTTCGCTCTTCAAGACCTTGATAGCAATCCGTAGAGCGTCAGTCCAACTCAAATGAGAAGAGTCGCTGTCGTAATCTCTCAACAGGCTCTGAGTTGCCGGGACAATGCTACCATCTTCGAGCTCGAGCAGTTTTTCTCAAAATTTGATGAGCAGAAGCAGTCAATCTCCGTACCTCTTCCAGCATCTTCTGCTCCAGAGCAACCTCCAATGCCAAAACCAGGGTCTTTGCCATGACTCCGGCGCAAGCTCGGTATTTTTCATTAATGCTCGCTGGTACTGCCCCCGATATCCCTATATTATGTTGACAATCTCTCTGCCCATATTCTGGCCAATCAGATCGTCAAAGACAGGGACAAAGGTTCGCGTGAATATAGCCATTAGTTCAGGCTTGTTCAATATCACTGCAGCGATGAATGAATTGTTTGGCCTTGTCTTCCCGGCCTTCTTTTAACTATGCTCTTGACTTCAGTATGTACCTGGTTGGTAATTGGTCAGTGGCAAATGTTAGAGCATCGCAATGCCCAACATATTGCCGAAGAATATCCATAGGCGATTCCAATTTAGAGATGAAATGCGCTACTATTTTCATCCACTTCGCAAAATCGCCACAAACCCGCCGCTACAGCAGCGTCTCTCACATTCCCCAACTCCTCATCCTTAACAGCGCGGTTGATCTCCGCATATCTCACCTCTTCTCTCTTCCCGTCCTGTGTATTTTTCAGGACTCGCCTTTTCTTCCCCACATGTGCATCTGGATGGTATTGCTCCATGATATGGACGTATAGATCTTTGGAAACATTCTCTGCCAACCAGCGCATAATTTCACGGCCCTCGTCTTCCTTCCCAGGCATGACAAGATGTCGCAGCAGGACACCCTTCTTCGCGATACCGTCTGATGTAAATGACAAATCTCCAACCTGGTTGTGCATGGCCTTGACGCTCTCCATTGCGGTCGCAGTGTAGTCATCGGCTTTCAGTAGTCGTTTCGATGTGCTATTCTTCCAGACCTTGAAGTCAGGTAGATAGATATCGACAAGGCCATCTAATAGCTCTAGAGATTCGAGCGAGTCGAACGACGAGCTGTTGTATATGATCGGGACCTTGAGGCCCATATCGCGCGCGGCGAGAATCGAGAGCACCACCTGAGGGACGACATGCTCCGGCGTGACAAGATTGATATTATGCACGTTCCCTATCATCTGTAGCTTCATATACCATTCCGCAAGTTCTTCGGGTGTAAGATCAAACCCTTTCCGTTGATGTGCGATGTCCTGACAAACAACCCGTCAGTATGCGCCGACCTAAAAACCACACGAGTGAGGCATACGTGATTCTGACAAAAGACACACCGCAAATTACACCCCGAGAAAAACACCGATCCACTCCCATGATACCCCTGAATACACGGCTCCTCCCCCCGATGCGGCGCAATCACATTCACCTTGGCTGTTTCCGCCCCAATCAAACACACCCCCGTTGTCTCATATCGGTTGACGCCGCACTTTCGCGGACAGAGGTTGCATTCACGGAGGTGCGCGTATGCCCGTGACCGTTTCTTTGATGCGTCGACGGATGTTAGGAGTTGGTAGCGAGGGATGTAGTCATCGAGGAGAAACGCGGGGGGGATGCCGACGAAGCGTTTAGGGATTATGGGCGATAGAGATCGTGAGCGGAGGGTGCGAGCGCGGGAGAGAAATTGGAGTGGTCTACTTATGGTGTTCATGTTGGAAACTGGTGTGAAGCCATTGCAGTTGCGAAATGGAAGAGTAGATAGAGGGTTGCAGTATGAAGCCGGAGTAAAGGAAGCTTATCGCCGAGACGTTGTCGTCATACATATTAGTAAACAGGGTATCATGCATAACACATGTATAAATCTTTGCACTACAGGCTATATGCACTTAGCACGTTTACTGCCACTACAGTAATAATCTCACGAGAAAATATATTCAGGGGCTGTTTGGGCATTGGTGTTGGCGGGCTTGGAAAAGAGAGATTTTGGGAGATAGGGGTAAGTAAACGCATCAATTTCTCGTGTGAGAAGACTCGTTGATTTGGTTTTCTGGGTTATATCTATTTAACATACCAATCTTGTTCTCCTTATAGATGAAGGAGCCTGGGAATAATCAAAAGCTCCGACCCTAGCTGCACATCCAAAGAGACATGTATGAACAGATATCCCGCTAGTTGCTACAGTAGGCATATGCATCTTTGTATCTAATCCCAGGTTGATAATGAGAGTAATTTTGCTTTGGCTGCTGAGTATTCCACGGCGGGTTTGGCGCGGGACTCAACGAAAGCACCATCCGCGGGCTCAATACCGGCGTTTCTGCCAGAAGATCATGGAAAGATGCCTGCATCTTTAACTTGTCAATGCAATGCGCGGCATACTCATCCAGCCAGTCCAGAAGGTGAACATGCGGTGGAAGTTTGCGAAAGGACAGGCTCAGCGCGGAGATAACAGCAAGCTGCGTGTCGAGAGTATCCGGCTTGTTCAAGCCCCTAAAAGGCGCGGTGATCTCGTCGAAAGTCGGGTTGTGGAGATGCGTGGTCAGATAGATGCCGCAGAAGATGTAGAGATGGATGTTCGCAAGTAGTGGATAGTTTTCGATGGTGAGGTCCAACTCTGCCGCAGTGTTTTTCTTTCCGTCGCCCATAATTTCAGCGCCATTCTCCGTCTTCTTGATCTTCTGTTCAATAGGCTTGGTTATTTCCAGAACAGCTGGGATATCACGCGTATGGACCCACTCAATGAAACGAGCCAAGATCTCCTCAGAGGTATCCTTGAATGTATAGGAACCCTTCTGACCTTCTTCGGACATTTCCAATGCCGAGGTGACCATTTTGCACACGGATCCGAGCAGTTTTCGATGGATTTTGAACGACCACTCCGATTTCTCTACATTGAGAAAGATGATGTCCGAGTCGGGAAAACTAGTATTTGGGCAATTCAAGTCTAGAATTCGGGAGAGGAGAGGAGCTCACTCGATGGAAGATAGTGTCTCTTCTTTTGGCATCTTTACCCTCCAGACTTGCGTTGCACTATTTGAATGCTTAGCTAGATAACGGAGACAAGTTTTTTTCATGTTTAAATAAATATCAGACGGCCATGTAAGACAATGGGAAACAGCACTAATCTCAATGGAAACAATTTAATGCATAGGGTTTGTTTGTTTCTCTCCTTTCACCGCTTCAGAGCAGCGAGCTGGTACATTCATTAAATTCATTAACTGTAGGATAACATCCAATCATCACTGCTCATAACCATATCTGAAATCTGCTTAGCAGGCAATACATTCCTCCAACGGCTTCATTGTCACATCCAAATCCGGCGCAACAAACAAAACAGCACTCAATCTCCGCACAGCAGGGACACGGCGGACACGATGTCTAGCTGTGGAAATGCGTCCACCGCTTAGGACGACGGCACACCAGCCTGTTAGGATCATGGTAGCGTCACCGGGCAAGGGGACCCAGGTGCTGAGTGCGTTTGTGCCTTCGAGTTCGAGGCCAAAGGTTCCATCCTGGAAGATTATGGTGAAGGTACCGTAGTCCGTATGCGAGCCGCATCCATTGTCAGATTGCGGGGGCCAAGGTATCGGGGTTGTAATCACATAGCCTCAAGTTCATGGTTCAGTTCTTGTGTGCCTTTCTCGAATATACGCCCGCAACACTAAGCGAGTCCAGCACGTCCGGGACATAGTTCTTACTAACGCTGTCGAAGAAGTCAAAACATCTCATTCAGACCGTGGTCAACCAACGACCTCTGCAGAACCGCTGGGATTTGCGCTTTTCGCTTTTGTGAAAGATAAATGGTGAATTTTGAGGTCGCCTTTCGCATGACACTCATCTCTAGGATGCCGCGGAGGGGGTAGGCTGCGTTCAGCGCGGCGACATCGTTCTGATGAGTGTATAAATAGTCGAAAAGAGCGCGAATAGCCTGCAATTTGGAAGGCCTCAATGGGAGTTGGGACAAGGTTGACGTTCACGGTAGCCATGATGCTTTGTAGAATGTATTCAATGACTGAGAAAGATGAGGGGATGAGCGGATGAGGCGCACTGACATATATTTCTGTCTCTTCCGGCGGCGAGTAACTAGGGCATCCCACTTCCATATTTAGAAAGGAGATTTTTCATAGTCCCCAGACGCAGACAGAGCCTTTTCAAGGCCTAGGAGCTCTAGATGATGTTACGATTGGGAAACGGTTGCAAAAAGAATAAAGTCAGTTACCCCTAGAGCTCAGGTACATATTTATGTAACAGGTGCATATATATACAGGAGGCATTTCAATCAAAGCTATAAAGTACAGTCAAGTGCGTCTCCAAACTCCCATCCGACAAATTCATGCCCTAAATCAGTGGTATCACATCGCAGTATCTAGAAAAGCAAGGAAAGAAGAAGAAAACACAAAATTGAAGCAGAGATGGAGAAATTCTACATCACAACGCTAGCCCCCCACCATCCCCAGACCAGCGATAAAGCGACAAAACATCGCGCCTCCGTTGTTGCTGTTCACCAAAATCCTCCGGTACCCGTCCCCGAACCTGTGCTAGAGCCGATCGCATCACCTTACGGAAGTTTCTCTGCAACTTATTAGCAAGACAAGCACGCAAATAGAAAATCAGGCAATAAAAATAGGAGCAAACTAACCTGATACTCCGTATTCAACGTCACAACGCAAGCCTCATGCGCGCGGACAATAATCTCGCAAGCCCTTACAACGCTAGCGCTAGCATCTCCCTGTAATTTATCCGCCGTCAACAGCAACAAAAAGCTGCCCTGTAGCAGATATATTCCAAAAAAGAATGGCATGAAGCTTAGATCAGGGTCATATTCGAGGATATCCGCCACGGCCTCTGCGCCGCTTACGGCATGGCCAAGGGCCGAGATGAATGAATCGGACGAAATCCAGAGATCATTGTCGTCCAGCAGATTGACAGGATCCCATTTACCCGCTAATAAGATGTGGAGGACGTGCATTATGTGTGTACCGTATGCGACGACTGTCTTCGTGTGCACTATAGACTCGCTAATTCGTGTTCCAACAGCGCTGCTGCTCGATCGGCCGGATGGACTGACGTGGTCAAGATGCGTACCGTCAACTGCTGTGGGTTCTGATTCTGTCCCTAGGACTAGATTGCTGGTATAGCGCGCTTCGAATTCTTTCAGACTGCAGCTGTATCCGTCAAGCTGACGGGTGATCTCTAGTATTTGGGCATTGCATTCGTTGCTGTTGCGGAATGTTGGTCCAAATCGCGGATGATTCCTGGCGTGCTGCAAGTCGACTATTTCGCCCAGTATAGTCATCAAAGGCAGGAAATAGCCGAACATGCTGTGACCGGTACACTCCAATGGCGGTCCTGGCGTACGGTAGGCGTCATTTGTGAAATCTCCCGCCTGCCAGAGGTCATCGTTCATCGGCTGGAGTAGCCTTGAACATTCCGTGTCGAGCAGAGTCAGCGGACGATTATAGCAGAGGGCTAAATGGCGATCAGTTGCATACAACAACCACCAAATCCGTCGACGTTCTTCTCGCTCTTCTTCCGTGATATCCACCGCGTTCACCATCGACGTAACCAGGGGCGGCTGTTGCTGGGAATTTTCTGCCAGATTACCATCTCGCCCCTCTCCGTCCTGCCGTGAGTTAGGACCATTAGGTGGCAACTCACGACCGAGTCTCAGCTCTCGCGCCAACGCCCAAGCTGCAGTCCACCATCGCATACTAGCTGCTTTGTATTCACTCGCAGAAACAACGGTGGCAAGATGTACATAAGTTGCGACATCATCCACGGCACCTGTTGCACTACTCTGTGCACCCAATTGATCCATCGAGACGCCAAACCCGCCTAGAGCAACACCATTGATGACCATGTTGGCAGCATAGTTAGGAGACGTCTCCCCCGCCGCAGGACCGTGTATTAACGGTCGTAGCAATCCAACGGTAAGCTCAAGCAGCTTCTGGCAGATCCTCCCTCGTGCTGAAGGGGGTGATGTCAAAAAAGCAGCGTCGCTCGTCTGCGCGGCTACCCAGAGCATGCTAGCTAAGAGGGCAGGGCTGCACACTCGCGGTTTTGTCGGATGAAGGAACGATTGTTTGCGGAAGACATATCCAACCACATACGGCGATTGGGGCGAAATATGAGAGGAGGAAGAGCTGGTGAAATAAACATCCATAAGGTCACAAGCTAGCGATTGAGGTATTATAGATGCTATATGAGGCAATACTGGTTGTAACACCGGGTATCGTAATGAATTAGGGAACGGATGCATACTGAACGATGGGAAATTGGCGGGAGACGGCGGAGGAAGAGGTAGCCAACCAGGTGATGGAGCAGTAGAAAGCCCCATAAATGGTGCTGATTGGTTCTCTGTTGGGCCGGTGAGACGGAAATGATTGAGAGTCGATGGGTTCGGTTCTTGCGGGTTCATCAGCGGGTATGTACTCTCTGGATCACTGAAGCCATTCGGTGGCAACATGTTTGTCGACGGCGAGCGGGGGTTCGTGTTCGAATGATGTAGCATCTGTAACGGCCTGAGATCAGAGACGGACATAGGCCGACTCGAATCATTCAGGGTACCCTGTAACCCATCCACAGCAGCTCCCAAGTGTGCTTGCTGGGACTGGGCACCTTGTTGAACTGGGTTCGAATTCTGCATCCCAACCATGCCCGACATCTCCGAAGATTGTAAATGCGACTTTGCCGGTATGTTCGCGCTCCGAGCAGCATCAAACGTTGTCGTAGTCTCTCGCGACGAAAACTCATCCTGAGAATTATGTTCCTTCGCCATAATACCATTATTCACTCTATCCGTATCCGTATCGCGATCTGACGATGGATTCGTAGCTCCCGCGGTGGCCACAGCCGCAGCCACAGCAAGATCTTTCTTGGACGCCTTCCCACGTTTCTTGCGCGCTCGAGCATACTCGCACGCAAAGCCAAATTCTGCAATTCATCAGCCAAACAAGTACACCACTAATAAGCCCCCAACCATGAGCAATACTTACCAACGCAATGCGCACACGGATTCTTCCCGTCGCATTTCGTCCTCAACTGATTACATTGATCGCACGCCCTACTAATCCTCTTTCTCACAGGAGCCGAGGCTGACTCCATAGAAGGTCTTTTACGACTCACACCATCAACGAGGTGATCTCGCTGTGACAAATCCCCAGTACCAGACGCACCATTGACGTTGTGCTCGTTATTCCCGGAGAACGACGGGTTCCTGGAGGACTTCCCAAGCGCATATTCCGAGCTCTCGGCGAGGATGTCCAGGCCGGAAGGTGGCGCGGGGGTGTGATTGAACTGTTGGAATGAGGCAGTTGACATTGCCACATGCAACCCAGGGCGGTTCAGAGGGGAAAAGAGGTCATGCTGTTTGTATTGGGTTGAGGGGAGGAAGAGCGCGCACTGCGGCGCAAGTGGTGCGACGGGTAGGCGGAAGTCAGGTCGAGGGTTCAGGTAGGGGAGCAACGAGCATCGTGGGAATGGGCTGCTCGTATATGAAAAGAGGGAAAACCGGAGAGTACAGAATAAGTAAAGATGTTCAAAAACGAATGTACGATTGAACGGGTGGAGTTCAGGAGAAAAAAAGAAAAAGACCCCGAACGGAAGAATGAAATGTGGAGAGAAAAAGGCGGGGAAATTAGATCAAGATATCTCCGAGCTGTCCGTAGGGCAGAATGCATACATACTACGTATCATGTCTGTACGGTTCTTATACTATTTGATTTAATGGATATGGCATTAGACCTTCCCTGTATATAGACCCAGCAATTTAAAGACTTGCGCGCGATTATAACTCAAAAAAACAGTAACATATGTGAAAGATATCAAACGTTCGAAACTAGGATATTGTTCAATGCCATAAAAACAGATCCCAGCAATAGGACAGCTACGATCCCCTCCTCCCGTTTATTCAAATCCTATCAGAAAAAAAGAAAAACGCGCAGAACACCACCCACCGAAACGAAAGACATCAAACTGGTCCAATAAACACGCCACGCACCGAAAAGAAGCAAAGAAAAGGGACAATAGTCGCTGATGGTATGTTATTATCAACAAAGACGCGGTCCACGCCATATTCACGAGACAACAGGTAACCCATGTGTTGGCTCCGTCTTGGTGACATCTGGGTCATGCTGACCCTCATCGCCACGGAGACGTTTGTTCTGGAACTGGCTGTTGGCCATGTAGCTTGGGTCCTCGTTTGGGTGTTTCCGCATTCCCAGGCCAGCGACCGCTATCCGGTTCAGCGAGTTCATATCGTCGTTTGATGCGGCCGCGTTTTGGTGGGGCTGGGGCTGGGGCTGCTGCTGAGGGTTCCCTGTAGGAGCAGAACCGGCAGAGTTCGGGTTGGATACACCCGACGGTATCTGCATTTCCGTCCGGGGCTGGCTCAAATCAATGTTTCCTGGGAGTTCGGGCACTTCACCCTGGGTGTCGAGTAACCGCGATTGCAGGTTGATGATGTATTCTCTGAGCTGGTAGTTCTCGGTTTGTAGTGTTTTAATCCCGTCGGACATGTTTTCAAAGTCTTTCACCTGGTCCTCCAATTTGCGAATGTAGGTTTCCTTTCGTTGACGGAACGCTCTCTGCAGAGACACAAACAAGATCAGCTAGAGGACCAAGAGCACCAATGCAGATACATCTCCCATACCTGCGCAGCACGATTCTGAGCAGCCCGCTTAGATGTCGACAATGGCCGCTTGCTAAAGCTCTTGGGAGACTCGGGACCGGACGGATCCTGCTGGGGAGGTGTCTGGGGGGGAGGACCGGCGAGCATCGAAGCACCGGAAATAGCCGGATCGATGTTGTTCTGATCGCGGGGACTAGCATTCGGCTGCATATGCGGAGGTTGCGCAGGTGGAGGTTGCGGCGGACGGGCCTGGGGATGGGACAGGTGCTGCTGGGCCGCTAGAAGCTGATCATGGAGTACTATCGTGGTATGTTAGTTCTGCAAAGGCATCGGGGCATTGGCTGCTTGGTATATATCGGAGGGAGCGCGTTGTCTCTTATACGAACAATCAGCAAGACGCGACTCACCCTGATCAGCATGGTCCTACAATGAAGTCAGCATCGGCTTAATGGTCAAGTGGCAGTGAAGAACCCCGGCGCGACACCGCCATCGCGTTGCGCAATAAGCATCAACACGTAGAGATCGATGGCAGGGCCACGGTCGCAGAGGGAATCTCTTGAACGGGGAAGAAGGAGATGGTGACGATGACAAACAGCTTACCTGAGCAGAGGTTTGCATGCTTGGATGCGGTGCTGGGGCTAGTGCGGGTTGCATAGTAGCAGTAGGAGTGATCGCAGTGCTATTGAAGAAAGCCAATTCGACGATGACAGCGACCGGCAAGAGCCAGCTGAAATCCTGGGTTCAATAACACAAAAACGCGTGCGAGAAATAGTATAATATCGCGAGATACTCCGCTGTAGATGGCGATGAGGTAAGCCTATACAGCCAAAAGAGAGTGAGTAGTAATGGATTAGGTCAGGCAATGCTGGGAGGATTAGTTAAAATATGACTGTACAGGAGAGGGAAGGAGAGGAGAGTGGCGGCAAGCGAAGTCTTGGCGTGACATGCCATAGTGTCATACTTGTGCACCGCTTAGTCATCTGCATAAATGTACTGTACTACTCCTAATACAGGCTAATACAGGCTGCAAACTAGTCCTCCCAGAATCGTTCATATGCCTGAGTTCCGCTGCTTCCGAATAGTACACAATGTCACTCTACAGTTACAGATGCAGGCAGGAAGACAGGGGTAGCATCGCAGTTCTCACTGTAATCCTGGCATGCCGGTTTCGGAGATTCGGAATACCAATGTACGCTAACCTTATCAGGAGATATCTCTTCACTGCTATATACGAGTACGACAGAACGATACGCTCACTCTAATAATACACAGAACAGCCTCTAATAACAGAGGACCAGCTTACTGCTGCTTCTTACCCTCCTTTCCAACCTGGGCCTGGATAATGCTCTGACCAACCCGCGCAGACTCCAACCATCCCTTCTGTCGTCTCCAGAACCGATCGGCCGGATCCGTCTCATGCAGACTCGACCTCCGAGCGTCATCTTCCAAAGTCTTGACACTGATCTCATCAAGCTCAGAGCCCCGAATATCCTTTTCGTCATCGGGCTCATTGCCCACCACGTCGGTACGCAGCGTCGACTCCAGGTAGCGTTTGCGCATGAGGTAATGGTTTGTGCGGTCCTGGCGGGAGTTGGGCAGTTCTATTTTGTCAATGGCTGCACGAACAGCATACCGCACGATGAGGTAGAGGTGTTCGGAGAAGAAGATGGTCAACAAAAGCGCCCAGCCCTTGATGATAGATGGTTCGCCGTTCGGACCTGGGTGGCCGTTGTTAAACATGTAGATGAGGGCGGAGCTCGTGATGCTGCCGACCCAGGACAAGAAACCTAGGCTCTCGAGCCAGGGGCCAATGGTGTCCGCGCGCAATGGCACAGGCCGGCGACATTCCATGCAGATTTTGAAGAAATCCGAACGGAGCTCGACCCAGTTATTTGCCAGGAAGGAGACAGGAACAAGTGGCCAGACGGGGGAAAAGAGAGCCAGATAGCCAAACTGGATGCACATCTCACGCAAGTCGTCGGTGACATCGTAGTCCGAAAGTTCGGCTTCATTGCGGGCTCGGGTCAGGAATTTGACCTCGTCTACCGGGTCGTCGAAAGAGACAGATTGGTCATTCTCGCTTTCAGAGTCGCTTCCAGTAGTTTCAACCTTGCCCTGCTTCTTCTGATATTCTTTGTACTTGCGCAAAAGGTTTTGCTTGAGATATGGGACGATCGTCTCCATGGCAAAGCCCACAATCTGCGCAGTAACAGTGAAATAGATAACTTGTTTACGTAGACGGTCGGGATCAATGCTAAAATCGGCAGTACGAGCCGTCGTTGCGTGTTCCTTGGACACGAACGGCCGCACCGTGACTTGGAAGATATCTAGATAGGGGACAATAAGGCTGGCGAATGGCACGTAGACAAATGCCGTCAGGAAAACGGGAAGGTAGGATGTGATGAAGTTGATAACGAAGATCTTTTGTGTCAACGCAATGTCATATGCATCCTTGGTCTCGAAGTTTTCGTAGTCATTAAGCTTGGTAGCAACGGCCGTCAGAACAGCGCTCATGGTTGGCACAAGCGAAGAAAGCAGAATCGTGGGGATGAAAACCTAACAATCAGTCTGCTGCAGCATTATAAAAGGATAGCTGACTTACCAGGTATGTTTTAAGAGGCCCGTTATACACCTCCGAGATAAAGATTTCAATCGCAAAGCACGTAGCGATAATCACTCCCAGAGCGACAGTGGACAACAAAGCGAACGGGATCTGGAGAAGCTGGCGATATATCCGCTTCTGTGCCGGAAACACACCCCGAACCTCACCAGTTCCCTCATCGCGAACTTCCTTTTCGGCAATAAACTCACGTCTCTTGGTCCGAACAACGGAGACGCCCTTAGTTTGCCAGCGACAACTGAGATCGACCTCCTGGCGCTTCCAGTATTCGATGAAAATAATACACCACAGGGAGTTGACGACAGTGTAGATAATCGAGAACGATCCGAGCAGCAACCAGCAAGAGAACCCGAATAGGGCCGGGAACACCAAGAATCGAAAGTACGATTGTAGAAATGCAAAATAGAGAGCCACCTGAAGAACCAGTCAGTTCACCTTGCATTGCACTGCAAGCGTAAAATCAACCACACATACACTTTCACCAAATTGACCCCGAATCTGATCCAGGTCCTCTGGAGTCAAGAACGTCTTCCTGCTCCATTCCCTCATACACCGATTGTTTGTCTGCTCGTCGTGCAACGAGAATATCGCATCGATATTCTTCCATTCGCCATGGCCTGGAGATATTCCTGCTCCGCCCTCTTCCTTAGGCACTGTGATCATATGGTAGATTACGCGTAGACGTTCAGCTTCTGTCTGGGCTTCTGCGGTGGACGCTGATTCGGGTTCAGTATTGCGGACGCCATAAAGCCAGTCGCGGACACTATATCAAGTCAGCACCAACCACCTATTGATATAAAACTTGAATAATACTCACCGAGAATGATAAACTCCACGCTTGACACTCTTCTTCGTCGCCCGCACAAACACCAACAGCGTCGATTCGTCCCCCTGACGCACCTCGGTCTGCAATCCTATTTCAACCAGGGTACGCAGCAGCAATTCCAATTGCTTTCCTGATTCGGAGGCATCTGTAATCATCAATATCTATCGTACCTTGTGGTCCGACTGACCATCTTCGAAAATCTGGAAATCTTACCATCACCCCCAAATCGATAACGGATGACGTAGTCCACATCATTGTTGTGGTGCACGGCGTGGTCTGCGGAAGCAGTTGCCATTATTTCAAACACCGTCCACGCTTCAAATACTATAAGAATAAAAAAGCGATACGGCTGTCTAGGAATCGCCGCCAAAAAGAGAAATCATGGGATGGATGAAGTCGGCCACGGGCAAGCTTTGGCCAGGCGCTGGAGCGATGGAGAAGACGTCATCAGGAAAAAGCTTGGCGGGGGTTGTGCCCTAATTTTAGACTCGATAAGGTAGGATCTGTCACTAGTCCCGATAGATCTAGATCGCGTCAGATTCATATTGCTATTGTATGTATACAAATGACAGTTGACACGGTGGATATGGACTTGGATGTAGATACAGTCAATTCTCTACATCAGCACCAACATCCCCGCTAACCGACCCATCCCTTCAACCATCATCTTCACCCACTCCTCCCTCCCCCTCCGCTCCAACCCTCTCATAAAATCAAATACTCATCTCATTCTCCTTCAGCGCACTCCACTCCAGCCTCTCCCCACCAATCTCAACAACTTCGTCGCCAAATACTTCAACAACTTAAACTCATACCTGCCACCCCAGACACTAGACTATACGTAAGGCTGCTCGAGGTGGAAGAGGGCCATGCCGACGGGGCCTGAGTAGGGAGTCTCGGGGGTTGCTGAGGGTGCAATAAGGGCTATGTAGGCGCCGCCGAGTTTGGGGGTCGTTGAGGAAGGAGGGGGTTTTTAGGAGAGAGTCAGGGGTTGCGGTGACTTTGTGGAGGGAGGGTTGGTGGGAGGCTAGGTCGAGGATGAGTTGGTGAATTGTAAGGACGTCTAACGAGTATCTTATTAGTATGTTTGTCCACCGGTGTATTTGATGTGATGCACTCACCCTCTGGCATGGCCAGGTGAATATCTGTTTGATCAGACATGGTTGAAAACTGTCAGGCTCGGTATTTCTCGTGAGACTATCAAGCGATGTACATCTATTGCAAAAAACTTTCTACAGAATCCATTACGCTGGTTTCGAGACATGATGAACCACTGATATAATCGAGTACGCTCCCATGAGCACGGTAAAATATACAGAAGGGCAGCACAACATTAAAGTTACAATAACATCAATAACCGTAAACAGCTCATTTGGACGAAATTGCGGACATCCATCGTTGCTCATCAGTCCTGTTATAGTTAGCTCCCACTGTTTCTAATCCATTGTGATTGCAATAAATCGGACTCACCGATCAAAATGGAGCAGCATCGCCAGAACCGGAATCAATTGTTTCTGGTAATTCTTATCCTTTTGCTCCAAGAACTGTAGAAGCACGTTCTTCAAATAGATGTAGTCGATATTCGGACCAGGCGTCTCAGCCCTCCGAACAGACGGGCTACGATCACTAGAGACAGGCGTCGCAGACGGCCTTCTTGAACCCGAGTCCATTGAAGATCGCGACGACCGCGGCCCTTGTCCCAGACGCGTCTCGTCTACAAGAGCCCGGTTGGATTTACGTAGTTTTTCCAGCCGGTTGTTCGTCTCCTCGACTGACCGACGCAGTTCAGCTTTCTCCTTCTCCAAATCGCGGGCCTGCTTCTCGCTCTCGTCGAGAGAATCGCGCAGGCGTGTCATGGCCTGGCGCATCTCGTTCAATTCGTTTGTCGACCGTTCCCATTGGCCCTCGAGCTCATCACGACGACGTCTGTAGTCTTTCTGGGAGTGTTCCAGTTCTTCCTTGTCGTTTTCGGCAGTGCGCAGGGACTTTTCGGCTTCGCGGACCTTGCTCTTGAGGTCTTCTAATTCTCGGGCCCGGCGGCGACCTTGTATGCTTGCATCCTCTTCAGCGCGGTCCCGTTCCTCAATGGCTGCTTCCATCCGCTCCTTGAAGTCGCGGACCTTTCCCTCAGCGCGGCTTTCGATATCGTTCAGCAAACGGCGCATCGTTTCGCCTTCGCGGGTACGCTCGCTTAGAAGTCGGTGAGCATCAGCTAATTCTTCTTCTAGGCTTTCGCAGCGCTCCCGAGCCTCCTTCATCTGCATGCCCATTTCCGCGCCTTGGTCGCGCATACTATTCATCAAACTTTGGGCGCTGGCATGTTGAGCGGTCTTCAGTTCGATCTCCTCCTTCAAGCTATTGAGTTCTTTACCCAGTTGGGCGGCTTGTCCCTCGACTTCTCGGAGCTTTGTTCGGGCTGATTTTAGTTGATCTTGGGCTTTGGAGAGCTCTGCTGACATCTTCTCCCGCGTCTCCAACGCTTCCTGCTTCTTGCTTTCAGAATACCTTAAGTCTGACTGAGCAACCGACAACCCCTCTTCGGCCTTCAATCGGCTATCAGTCTCTTGTCGGATCTTCTGGTTAAGCGTCTTAATCTCGGAATCTCTGTCGGATATCGTCGACTTGAGGCTCTTCACATCCGCACGCAAACCATCATGCTTGCTTTCCAGAGACTTTAAGTCAGCCGATTTGCGCGAAAGAGTATCCTGCGTAGACTTGAGTTCAGATGATTCGGATCGCAAGTTCCTCAATTCTGGTTGCAGTTTTTGAAGAGTCTCCCGTAGGTCTGTCATATCCTTGAATCGGGTAGCAGCCAACTGCTGTGCCGCAGAGAGGTCAGTTTCGAGCGTTGCAGATCTCGATTTTAGGGTCTCAAATTCTTCCTTCAGGCCCTTGTGCGCCTTCTCAGAGTCTGCTGACTGGGAGGCAGTGCTTGTGCGCACTTCAGTCAGCTCCTTCTCCAGCTTGGAAATAGTCCCCTCCAATGCTGTCTTTTCCGCTGAAAGCTCCTTAATCTTGTCTTTTGATTCAACGTGCTCTTGGCCGATGTTGAGCAGATCGTCGCGTAATGATTCAATCTCCTCTTTCAGGTCTTCCTCGCCCTTGAGCTTGTTGCTGAGACGATCGATGGCCGCTTCCTTTTCTCCCAGTTCACGCGTGAGAGTTTCGATCCTCGCCTCCAGTTCGTTGAGTTTCTTAGAGGTTTCGTCAGAGTCGGATTTGGATGGTTTGATCTCCTCGGGCGCTGGAGCTGCAGCGGCTGGAGCTGGTTTGGGTTCTTCTCCGGCTTTACCGCCCTTCTTCTTCTTTTTGTTGTTCTTCTTCTTTCCACCACCGGTGCTGGGGGCAGAGGCAGCTGGTTGAATAGCCTGGGTCTCTGGCTCTGGGGCCTCTGGGGCGGTTTCAGGTTTCAGTGCCAAGCTCTTTCGGAGCTCCTCAAAGTCCGCCTCTTGACCTTTCGTGATCTTGTCCTTAATCGACTGCCATTTGGCGTTGTCCGCCAAGTTATCATCAAGGAAACTAATGAGATTTTGGAACTTGTTCGACTCTTCCATCTTCTCACTGGTATCGGTCTTGAGACTCGATACGGAAGCTTCGGCTTCCTTGAGCTGGGATTGAAGCTTGTCCACCAGACTTTGCAAGACACCTAGTCGCTTCTCGTGACCCTGCTTTTCTTTCTTGGCTTCTTCAAGTTTGGAGTTGAGTTCTTTCGATTGTTCATCGTTGCCCTCGGACGTCGAGGCTTGCGTGCGAAGATTCTCTATTTCTTCCGTCTTCTGGAACAAATCAGTCTTGAGTTTTTTAACTTCGGCGTTGGCCTTCTCCATCGCAGTCTCCGAGCTTGCAAGTTTATCCTTCAGGGAGTCAATTTCCTCCTTTTTGGACTTCTTGAGTTCTTCAACCTCGGCATCCTGCTTGTCCTTGGCCTCACGCAATTCTCCCAAATCGCGAGTTGCAGTTTCCAAGTTCTGTACCATGCCTTCGGTAGACTCGCGCGCAATAGAAAGGTCACGTTTGAGGTTCTCCGTCTGCGATTTGAGTGTTTCAACCTCCTCCTGTTTCTCCTTCAGCTCGGATTCGATGCGTGGAAGTTCGTTATCGAAGGAAAAGAATTCTTCGGTCTCGCCCTCTTTCGTAGCATCCGCATTTTTGGCAGAATCGCTATTCCCTCCTTCCTTCGACGGTACATTTTCATTCTTTGTAGATTTCTGAGCTTCCTCCAATTTCTTCTTGAAGTCGTCTCTCTCCGTCGTGATTCGCTTGAGCTCCTCCGTAACCATATCTCCCTTCAAAGAAATCTGATTCAAGTACTCTGTGAAGGGTTTCGGCTCGCTGATAGACGTTAACGGGGTATTCTCTCGTAAGGCTGCTTCAAACGGTTCGATCGAAAGGACTCGTGAATGCGCAGTTCGGTAGGCTTTCAAAAGTTCTACATGCATCGCATATCATTAGCCTCATTCTTCTATCCTCATCACCATACAATCAGCCGGTCCATACCATGATACCGCGTCTCCATCTTATCCAACCTCCTCAACTTCGCCCTAACTTCAGGCGCCAATTCCGACGGCGCCTTATTCTGTTCCACCCCCTTCTCACCAGCACCCGCCTCCTTCCCACCTGACTCTACAGCCGCCTGTTTCTCCTCATCATTCTCATCCGCAGCTCCGTCGGCCCCCGTCGCAGGCTCCTGTTGCGGCGTCCCGGATCTAGACGGTGTATCGTCATCACCGATGGCAAAATCTGCTTCAAATTCTTTCGGATCGGGCCCGCGGACGGGCGTTGCGGTGTTGCGGCGAGGGCGCGCAGGTCGTCGGCCGGGGCCTTGGGGGAGACGGGCGGAGCTGGAGCGGGAGAGGGCTTCTTGGTTGGATTTTTGACGGGCTTGTTCTTCTGCGATGCGAGAGTCGATCGCGTCGCGGAGGCGCTGTATTTCATGGGATAATTGTGGTTAGATGGAGCGTCCATGCGGGTTGTACGGCCGTCCGTGGTTGAACTGGCCAACTGTACTGTCCAATAACATACCTGAAACATGACCGTTGCAGGCCTGTGGGCTTCGGCCACAGGAGCACTGTATTAAAGAGAGACTGGTATAAGAGTAAAATGCAAGGGAAATAAAAGAGCGAAAGGAGGTGATAGAGAGGAAAAGAGGGTGTTGGATGGAGCCGCAACGGAGATGTTGTTCCGTCTTGGGACACTCGGCGGCTGCCCGTCGATGAGCGCGGACCAGCTTCTTTCCGTGTAGCGCTGATTATAATCAAGGGTGGTAATTATATTCTAGCTTTTACAATTTAGTTCGCTGGCCTGTTTATCTAGGAATGGTGATTGACATGCTGGTTCTCGGGTTCAGTGACATACGGAGTAAGTAACCAGGCGGAAAATATAGATAGAGTAGGGCACAGCATCGAGCAAATAAAGACAGAGGACAAAAAGACAAGGCGAATCAGACCCGTACAAGGTGACATTGAGCATGTTTGATTAAGGCGATAATCCATGTCACCATAGCCACCTTTCCAATCTACAATAACGTCTCTTCCCGATGCAGACTTGGAGAATGAGAGGCTTCGTCCAAACCTTCTATCAGTAGATCCAAATTCTTCGAAAGCAGTCACGAAGTATAGCATCTATATGGATATGGTATTACATAGCAAAGAGGTTTAGTATAAGTTGTCATCAACTTGTGTATTCGTCACCAAATTCCAGAAACTCCCAACCCAGGCAGCAGCAGCGTATTAAAATAGTGTGGCTCGGTATTATTATACACGGAAGTAAATGAAGGAAAACAGAAATGTTCATATGCATCCACTTGTTGGCTTTCCGTCGTTCCCCTTTCCCATATGTTACTCCTTGTTTGGGTCTCAACCAAATATGCAAGTCGTTAAGTCATGTGTGCTTCGAAGGACTGTACTCCGCATGCGTGATCCTTTCGCCAGCAGACCGATACATCCCTTACATTGGCGCTATCCCAGGTCACGGATGCGGATTGTTCTTCTCATATCCCTTGTTGTCGTCTAGTTGAACGATCATAGCAAACTCACCACGCAGTGTGGCCACCGTCGATGAGCATCGTACTTCCAGTCATGAAGCTGCTGGCATCACTTAGAGTGAAAAGTGCAGCACCCCGAAATTCCTCAGGTGTAGCTAGCCGCCCAAGCATGTTCTCAGCTTCCCAGACAGCTCGCGCAGCGGGGTTCTGTTGGAAGACTTGCTCAACCATGGGGGTGACAATGTGTCCGGGGCACAGACTGTTTACGCGGATACCGTGACGTCCCCATTCCATGGCCAGAGAACGGGAGAGTTGGATAACAGCAGCCTTGGAGGAGTTGTAGACGGGAGAAGTCATGCCCTTGTTGGCGATGAGACCGCTCATGCTAGCAATGAGCAGGATCGAGCCCTTTTGTTGGTAGTTGAACATCTGGCGGGCTGCGGCTGTGGCGGAGTTAAAAACACCGTTATAGTTGATCTGCATGACTTCGTTCAGGGCCGTTTGCGAGTGCTCCAGAGCGCTCTGTAGGTAGTTGATCCCGGCGGCAGCAACCAGACCGTCCAGCCGCTGGTTGTTGCCGGCAATCTCAGAGAAGACGTTGTTGACTTCCGCGTCATTGCGGACATCGAGGCGGCGGTATTCTAGCAGGCCACCGAATTCCCGTTCTCCATGCTCCTTAGCGGCCATGAACTCGGGATCCGGGCTCTCGAGACGGTCCAAGCAGTAGACTGGATTCAAGGAAACCTCAGTTAGCCTTTCTGTCTTGTGTCTTCGAAACTATGGGTGGGATAGTAAGTACCTTTTGCGCCAGCCTCTAAAAGCGCTTCAGCCATTGCAAGACCAAGACCTCTGGCACCACCAGTGATAGCATACACCCGGTCCTGTAGGTCGAACTCTTTGAATCGGTTGCCATTCTTGGATCCTCTCACTGAAGCCAACTTGGTCTGGATGGGACTGTAGGGACCAGGGCCAGTGGAGTGTAGCCGGGTAGAAAGAGAGTAAGAAATGGCAACAGAAGGAAGCTTCGACCGTGCTGGGGCCAGGACACGGGAGATTGCGAAGGACATGGTTATCGGAAGGGGAGTATAGAAGAGAGGTAGCTAGGATAAGGAGTGGAGTATAGGTGATAAAGTAGAAGAAAAGTAAAGAGAAGAATATCAGAAGCTTGGATAAAGAATGATGGCTCTTAACATCCGCATCGGGGGGGGCCTGGGGTTTATAGACCCGGGGCAGGGCAAGGTGTAGGACTGACCTAGCCGAATTCAGCGTGCCCCAGAAAGAACCGATAAGCCAGGGTTAGGGTCAAAAAAAGAAAATAAAATAAAAATAAAGCGTCCGCGTGATATCCTAAAAAGAGTCTAGAACTGTTCTCACAATGACTTCAAGCACCACTTCATATCCAGCATCCACGGAACAAGCATCGTGTACGGGCAGACAGATTCGCAACAAACCGAAAAGGTATGCGCGTTTGAGGGCATCGTGAGATGTTCCGGGTTCCGGTTTTACTTTTTCCGTCCCTTTATCGCCAAAGACGGTAAGAACAAAAGGGTCACTTGACCGAGGAATGACGGCCGATCCTTGGTCGATGGATTATGGAATGGTCCACACTGGAGGAAAACGGGATTCCCGAGTATGGGGGATCCGACAGTTTCGCCAACTGTCCAGTGTACAGAGCGGGTACCGCAAAAGTCGGACAGATCTGAATCTTTTGGTCAGGTGTCCATCGATCCGGCCAGCGGTCTGGCAAGATTGGCATGTCGGAGAATTCTTTTCTTTTATGGGATCCCAGCGATATGCACAAACCCACTTGGTGTCGAATCGAGACTCTATGCAGTATGCGTGTATACGGTATGGGGGCCGAGGGGTTATTCTCTTGTTGCCGCAGTCAACTCAATCCACGAGAACCCCAGAGTGGGCCGTGGGGAGCTTCCCCGGTTTTTGCTCCGTGTCTTCCACCGGAAAGGCCTTCCCTGCCAATGACAGCTTCGGCATCGCGGTCATGGTGTAATCTGAAGGGATACTATTTTTGACACGGAGCAGACCAGAATCTGAGAACCCGTCAAATAGTATTCAAGCCCAATGTATGTAACTCTTTCGTTCCCCGGACTCCTTATTGTACTCCTTACTCCTTCCCCACGCTCCCACATTCATATTCCTTCAACACCCCATATTTTCCGGAATAGTACAGATTAGGACGGTCATGTGTCCATCTGAAAACAAATGTCGGTGGCTTACACAAACCCGTCTATCAAAAAAGTATAACGGGAGGGAAATAGCGATGTTGCCACAAGGAGTCTCGCATTTCCGAAAAGCGACATCCCGGGCGGATGTTGGTGGGGTATCGTGGCCGGAGCATTCCAAGTGTGTCGCAGAATGGAAACGTATGAACATGATTGTAGAGACAGGTGTTTTTGTTCTCCTTGCACCAATGGTAGCAAGAAGTCAGTCAGCTGTTCACAGGCATAGACATTAGCCAACTATCCCAGCCACGTTGGAGATCTAATAGCCGTGTGCTAGACTCTCTTCTGCCTTGCCGGTTTCTCGGGTTTCCTTTTTGGGACACACACGAAGTAACCTTGTTTGTTTTATTTTTATTTTCTTCTGCAGGAGGGGTGATCATGTGTAATATTTTGCTTTTTCGAATGTCCTTCTGGAAGGTCAGTTGAGAATAAGAGATATCTTAGCGGTATGCAGTGGTGATGCTTGGGACTTATGCGAGACGAGTTAGCAGGTCATGTGCTTTCCCTCCTCTTCCTTTCCCTTGCCCATCCCATCTACCTATCTACCCTCTCTTCCTATTTTCGTCTACTTGTGAACTTTCAGTCGTTCTGTTTATGTTTGCTACGAGTCGACAAACTTTCAGTATATCCAAACGGGTGCTGGCATATGAGAAGAATTGTGATTCGAAAATCAACTGGTAATCAAGCCGAGCCTAGCTCTAGGTAAAAAAAAATAATAGGAACACAGGACGGGCGCGCAAGTCCTTTGTGTCCTACATAAGATAGCTACTGACTTAGGCTCAAGACCTGCAGAATAGCTGCAGAGACAAGGAAGCGCAGTACGATCGATGGAACCTGCTGAGATGATCAGGGATCTTGCAGATGCCTTGACTAGACATACAATGTGTTTTGAAAGTAAACATTACATGGTATTCATAACCCGTGGAGTATCCGGTTTCGTGGACTTCATTAAACAAGCCCCTGAATATTGAAAAGGGAAGTGTAATGAGCCAAAAGCCACCGGATCCAAGTTTCTTTTCAGCATCAAATTCTGTCGTCATTAACATTACCAAAATCCAGCTTCATCAGCAACTGATCAACGCCAGCTGCCTTGCGCGGCACATAGTGGTTGGCATTCGGCAACTCAGTGCTCCAAATCCCATTATTAGCATTCAGCGTCAACGACCAGTTTTGATTGGGATTTCTTGCGAGGTCGAACATCCGTCGCCCCTCTCCAGACCGGCTGTCATCGATATCTCTTAGCCGCGCTACAACGTTCTGGATCCCTGCTTTGACCTCTTTCTGTGTGTCGTTAAGTTCTCGTAAGACTTCATGCTCTTCGCTGGCGTAGTCTGCCATGCCATCGACGACACCTTCGTCGGTTTCCAAATCCATGTTGCGCTGGATACTTTCCAGTCGAACTGTAAGGGCGAGGAAACGGTCAACGATCGTGAGAAGAGAACGGAGAGCAGTTGTGAACGGCGCATCGGTTAGGAACAATGACTGAACAAGAGAGGAGAGATGTCGACGGTGTGCAACTGTCAAAGTTTCTGGATCGTGGGCAGATGTATCATATTGTGGGGATTGACTTGAATCACCCAAGGAAGCCGTATGCGTACGTGTGAAGCTGGTCGCTTCCTTTTGCTTCGACGACGATGCCGTACCCGGTCTGGAACTTGCCCTTGATCCCGCGTGAGAAGGACCTTCAATCCATTCACGGAAATGTTGCCAAGAACAATTGATCACTTCTCCTTGGAAGAAGCTTCCGATTTCGGACAGCACATAAAGGGCCGCACTGGTCGTCGCCCAAATCGGTCTCATTTGAACTATTCGTGCATTGTCTCGGTCTCTACCCCTCTTCAGTCGGTTTTGTCCGGCACGGGTACTACTTCGGGGAGGCCCCCACGGGGACGGATGGCTTCTTCGGAGGGATGTGTGTTTCCAAAGATCACTGAGACGTAATTGGGCGCGGCGTATCCCAAGAAGATAGGAGTGGATTTTTGAATAGACGGAAATGTCGGTTGTCGATAGGAACAGATCCATTGGTGGCCGTACTTGGATGGATAGGAATGTGGGAGTAGGGAAAAGCAGGTCAGAGAAGGAGACATTTGAAATCTCATCAGCAAGGCCATTTCCAGCCGTGTCCTGTGAGCGACCGGTCTTCTTTTGATCGTCAATAGATAATTGCAATAGGTCTCGGGCAAGATCAAGCTCATCATCACCCGAATCTTCCGCGTTTTGTAAAGCGTAAAGCTCTGTCCATGCCTTGGCAAGAGTGTTCGCCAAATCTCCTGGTTTGAGCCCAACTAATCCTCCAAGTGCTTTCCCTCTTCGATGTCGCTCACTTGTGCGAGCATCTGCAAGCGCCACGAGAGCAGTTACAAACTCGCCGCGTTGTAACAACATAAAATTATGAAGGACAGATAGCATCTCGAGGATTTTCGGTAGCGGAAGTAGCTTGGAAAGTGTACTCTGCGATAATGCTAGTCGTATAGCATTCACAGCGTTGGATAGCTTCGGGCTCGACATGGGTGACTCTAACGCCGCAAGGCCCTCGATGTGCTCCGCATGCAAAGTGACAGGAGATGTTAGTAGGCTTGTAGACGTGCCTGTTGAAGACGCTTTGCGCTTCGCCCTGATATGATTCAAAGATTTTCCGATAAACAAGATAGATGATGCTGTGCTAGCAGAGACAAATTTCGGTAGTCGGTCTGTATGCATTGCAAATTGCGTTACGCCAAAATCATCACCTTCGCTGGCGTCATCCTCCTGGATGAAAAAGTCGTCCTTGCCAAATGCCGGCAGAGTCCCATGCAATAGCCACATCGACAACTGCCTCATCCATGCCCTTTCTGCTGCCGTAACCAATTGTAACGCCATCTCTTCCAAGTCAGCATATCCAGTTTGTGATTCCGCTCGAAGGTGATCGATCAGCGCAGCGCCTGTGCAGTCTCGATGGGATTTCCTGTGCTCCGGATAGATGAATCGAACTACCTCCCATAACCATTCTAATCGTCGAGTCCACGGGGCAAATTCGCCCACAATCGTCGACAACGGCACGATACCATATCCACCGACATATCCGCTATCCTCCACCAAAATCGCTTTCTCCACCTCGAGTATTTTCTTTTGAAATCCGCCCAGATGTTCCGTAACAATCGTGGTCGATACGGCTCTACAGATAACAGATGGGTGGGATGATGAGATTATCGAAGTATGGTTTCGCAGTCGGACATGCAATCGGCTCAGTCTCGCGAGGGATGCGAGGAGGGCTTTCTCGGGAGGTGCCAGGAGCGGAAAAACATCTTGAGCGACGGCATCCTCTTCACCCTGGAGGGCGAAGAGGGGCGACGGCTGGCCGGAGAGGGAGAGGAGAATCTCGTGGAGCATTCTATGTCCGATTCCCTATCAATTGGCTCCTGTGTTAAATGTCTGGTGCGGTGTACAAACCGGCGACGCAGGACTTACTCCAATGGTAGATTGTTATCTACTTTTGACTTTCGACGCTGCCAGTACAGTAATCCACGACCTATAATTTCGTATCGGCACATATAAAATGGCAGATCGAATATCTGCGTCACGGTTGCCGTTGTCGTTATCGCGTTGTAATGAACGTGTCGGAGATGCGGCGGAGGTCGAGCTGAAAAGGTAATGGCGAATTCCTCTTCACACTAACAGCGCAAACAACTGAGCGATTTTCAATACGGCTCTCATAATGGCGTCCACCTCCCACACCGTCAGCAATCGAGCATATTGTATACAGTAGTAGCAAAAGGTCGGCCTTAACGCTATCGTGGGGCAATTGCCAATCAGCACGTGCCTCGGGCTGAGTCATCACGTAGCAACAGGTCCCTCACTTACGTCGCTGTTCCTTTTTCTCTCGCTCTCCATCGCTTTCTCTCTTCTTTTTGTCATTTTGCCATTTTTGTCGTCTCTGCTTTCACACTTTCCCACTGTTACATCTTGTATAGTATCTTCACTGATCTCGAGTACGCTATAAGGTTGTACCGTTGACCGCTTTTACCCCTCTTCGTTCCGGTGCTTCGAATAGCTCCCCCGGGAAGCTACAACTAAATATACATCCCTCTTTCGTAACGCCAGTTGGAAAGTCTTGCTTGGAGGCGAGACTTTCAACCGAAAAAGTCGTTCACCATTCCTTCCAGTATCCCTGTTCGTGAAGCTTCGCAGCTGGGAAAGCGAAGAGCATCGGGCGACAACACGGCAGCTACACCAGAGACGAAGAAAGTCATGACGGTATGATGGGCGGCCTACTTAGTATCAGACGACCTAGGGCTGACGATATGGTAGGACGCTAAGATGCAGGTGGACAACTCAAAGGAAACTGTGGAGGCAATCAAGCACGGGGAGATCGACGAGTCTCTTTACAGTCGGCAGCTGTAAGTGTCTGGAAACTCCTCGTGGCGGGAAGAATCAGTTACTGATGGGTTTTCGCTGTAGGTACGTACTTGGCCATGAGGCTATGAAACGTATGGGCTCTTCGAACGTCCTCATTGTCGGCTTGAAGGGTCTGGGTGTTGAGATCGGTAAGTCGTCATACAACATTAAGCTTTAATAACATGTTCTAATAATCCGAATGCAGCGAAGAACATTGCTCTCGCTGGTGTCAAGTCCCTTACCGTCTACGACCCCGCTCCCGTTGCCATCTCGGACCTCTCCTCCCAGTTCTTCCTGCAGCCCCAAGATGTCGGCAAGCCGCGCGCCGAAGCGACTGCTCCAAGAGTAGCAGAATTGAATTCTTACGTTCCCGTCACGGTCCATGAAGGCGAAAAACTCTCAGACAACCTCGAACAACTTAAGCGTTACCAAGCAGTGGTTCTCACTTTGACGCCTCTGAAGGAACAGCTTGCGATTGCCGACTTCTGCCACAAGAATGGTATCTACCTTACGATCGCAGACACATTCGGTCTATTTGGATATCTTTTCAATGATTTCGGCAAGAACTTCACCGTCGGCGATCCCACCGGTGAAGAACCCGTGAGCGGAATTGTGGCGGACATTGCTGAGGATGGTCTGGTGTCGGCACTGGATGAGAGTAGACACGGCCTCGAAGATGGAGATTTCGTCACTTTTACCGAAGTCAAGGGCTTTGAGGGCTTGAACAGCTCTGACCCTCGGAAGGTGACTGTCAAGGGTCCCTACACGTTCAGCATCGGTGATGTTTCAGGCCTTGGCTCGTACCAGGGCGGCGGTATCTTTACGCAAGTCAAGATGCCCAGGTTTGTTGACTTTGAGCCGCTTGATCAGCAAATCAAAAAGCCTGAGCTCATGATTTCCGACTTCGCCAAATTCGATCGGCCACAGCAGCTGCACATTGGCATCCAAGCCCTGCATAAATTCGCAGAGAACCATGGTGGTCAGCTTCCTCAACCTCACAACGAGAATGACGCTCAGGAAGTTATCAAGATCGCAAATAATCTCGCATCAAGCCAGGAGGACAAAGTGGAATTGGATGACAAAGTTATCAAAGAACTGGCCTATCAAGCCCGTGGTGACCTGAATCCCTTGGCTGCGCTGTTTGGAGGTCTTGTTGCTCAGGAAATTCTCAAGGCTGTGTCAGGCAAATTCAACCCAGTCAGCCAATGGCTCTACTTTGACTCTTTGGAATCGCTCCCTGCATCTACTACTCGATCCGAAGAGAGCTGCAAACCACTTGGAACCCGCTATGATGGACAGATCGCCGTTTTTGGAAAGGAATTCCAGGAGAAGATTGCCAACACCAAGCAGTTCCTTGTTGGCGCAGGAGCCATTGGGTGCGAAACTTTGAAGAATTGGGCTATGCAGGGTCTGGGAACTGGTCCCAACGGCAAGATATTTGTTACTGATATGGATCAAATTGAGAAGAGTAACCTCAACCGACAATTCCTTTTCCGTACCAAGGATGTCGGAAGATTGAAGAGTGAATGCGCTTCTGCTGCCGTTCAGGCCATGAACCCTGAGCTTGAAGGGAAGATTGTTACACTCCGGGACCGCGTTGGGCCAGACACTGAGCACATCTTCAACGAAAAATTCTGGGAGGGTCTCGATGGCATTACCAATGCTCTGGACAACGTCGACGCAAGAACTTACGTTGACCGTCGCTGCGTCTTCTTCCGGAAACCCCTGCTCGAGAGTGGAACCCTCGGCACCAAAGGCAACACTCAGGTTGTCCTTCCCCGGATCACCGAGTCTTACTCGAGCTCCCAGGACCCTCCGGAGAAGACCTTCCCCATGTGTACTTTGAAGAGTTTCCCTAACCGAATCGAGCACACTATTGCCTGGTCTCGGGATCTTTTCCAGACTTACTTTGTCGGGCCACCGGAGGCTGTCAACCTCTATCTATCTCAGCCCAATTACATCGAGCAGACGCTCAAGCAGGCTGGCAATGAGAAGCAGACGCTTGAAAACCTCCGTGATTTCCTGGTTACCGACAAACCATTGACCTTCGATGACTGCATTATTTGGGCTCGCCACCAGTTCGAGGCTCAATACAACAATGCGATTCAGCAATTGTTGCATAACTTCCCCAAAGACTCAAAGACGTCTACCGGCCAGCCTTTCTGGTCTGGGCCTAAGCGCGCGCCGACGCCACTGAAGTTTGACAGCACGAACCCCACCCATTTCGGCTTTGTCGTTGCGGCCGCGAACCTCCACGCCTTCAACTACGGCATCAAGAACCCGGGTGCGGACAAGGGATACTACCGCAAGATTGTGGATAACATGATTATCCCCGAATTCACACCTAGCTCCAGCGTCAAGATTCAGGCCGACGAGAACGATCCCGATCCGAATGCTCAGCCCGCTGGACCCAGCGATGACAACGACGAAATTCAGAAACTCGTCTCCTCTCTCCCATCGCCCAAGTCACTTGCCGGTTTCCGTCTCACCCCGGTAGAATTCGAGAAGGATGATGACACTAACCATCACATCGACTTCATTACGGCAGCTAGCAACCTCCGTGCGGATAACTACGAAATTCCTCAGGCGGACCGGCACAAGACCAAGTTTATCGCGGGTAAGATCATCCCTGCTATTGCGACGGCCACTGCGCTCGTTACTGGATTGGTCTCCCTGGAGAACTACAAGATCATCGACGGCAAGGACGATATTGAGCAGTACAAGAACGGTTTCGTAAATATTGCTCTTCCTTTCCTTGGCTTCAGTGAGCCCATCGGCAGTCCCAAGGGTAAGTACATGGGTAAGCAGGGTGAGGTGTCCATTGACCAGATCTGGGATCGCTTTGAGGTCGATGATATTCCGTTGCAGGACTTCCTCAAGTACTTCTCTGATCTAGGCTTGGAAGTGAGCATGGTTAGCTCAGGTGTCAGCTTGCTCTACGCCAGCTTCTACCCTCCCTCGAAATTGAAGGACCGTCTTCCTTTGCCGTATGTATCCCTCATTTTTCTTTCATTGATTTAAACTCTGGCTAACATCAATTTCTATAGGATGAGCAAGCTGGTAGAGACCATCAGCAAGAAGCCCGTCCCTGAACACCAGAAGAACGTCATTTTCGAGGTGACGGCTGAGGATCAGAACGAGGAGGATGTTGAGATTCCGTATGTGATGGTGAAGCTGAGAAAGTAAAACGAACGCGCTACAGTTGAACGCGTATTAATGTAACGGGTCTCCGACGTTCTATGAGTTTTGTCATGTTATTATAAGTACATAGCAATTATTATATTTGAAGTTCCTGATAAATCCAATACCCCGTAGTTATCAGTGGAGACCCTGCTTTGTCAGGGTTATGCGATCTCTCCGTAATCAACGTCATCGCCTCCCCCGCCGCATTTATTTCAATCCTCAATCCCCGGCCAGATTGGACTACGTATTCCTAGCTTTCTTTTATTTCTCATGTTCTCTGCACTTCTTCGAACCCAGCAGGTTTCTCGTCACGTCACACATCCCCGGGTTTTCTCTGCAGGGTTCCTTGTTTTATCTCCGACTCGCTCCGTCACCCCTCAGTTCATTTCACCAACACGCAAAATGGCAGTAGGTTCCTACACTTTGCGGAAATTCAGTTAAATCAGTTACAGATGCTAAACTTCTCAATCGCACCGTATAGTCCGGAACTTCCGGCAAGATCACAGACTGGGTAAACCCCAACGACAAGTCCGGCGAATTCAAGCGCCAGCAGTCCGTGTTCCGAAACTGGATCTCCAGAGAATCCGGCGCGGAATTTCCCCCTGAGAAGGGCCGTTACCATCTCTATGTCTCTTATGCTTGTCCTTGGGGTATGCATCCTTAAAACAATGCAAAAGGAAAACAGCGACGCTAACGTGCCACAGCGCACCGGACATTGATCACAAGAAAGCTCAAGGGTCTCGAAGACTTCATTTCATTTACCTCTGTGCATTGGCATCTGGGAGAGAAGGGCTGGCGCTTCGTAACTCCTGATGAGAAACTGCCCGGAGCGAACACCACCCCAGATCCATTACATGCCGATGTCTCGCACCTCCGCGACATCTACTTCGCGCAGGACCCGGAATATGCGGGCCGATTCACAGTTCCCGTACTCTATGACAAGAAGGCCAAGAAGATCGTGAGCAACGAGGTATGTTTCTCCACACAAAACCATCATAGTAAGATAACTGATCCCAACAGAGCTCCGAAATCATCCGCATGCTCTACTACGAATTCGACGACCTCCTCCCCACCCAGTACAAATCCCTCGACCTCTACCCCACCCACCTGCGCCCCCAGATCGAATCCACAAACGAATGGACCTACAACGACGTCAACAACGGCGTCTACAAATCCGGCTTCGCAACAACCCAAGAAGCCTACGAGCGCGCCGTAAAAACCCTCTTCTCCTCCCTCGACAAAATCGAATCCCACCTTTCATCCTCGCTTACTCCCGAAAAGCCCTTCTATTTCGGGTCCAATATCACAGAGGCGGATATTCGGTTGTTCACGACGATTATCCGGTTTGACCCTGTGTATGTACAGCATTTTAAGTGTAATATTCGGGACATTCGCTCGGGATACCCGGCTATTCATCGCTGGGTGAGGGGGTTGTATTGGGATGTTCCCGCGTTCCAGGAGACGACGGATTTCGAGCATATCAAGTTTCATTATACGAAGAGTCATAAGCAGATTAATCAGTTTAGTATTACTCCTGTTGGGCCGGTGCCGGATATTTTACCCAAGGATGAGGAGGTTAAAGCGGTTACTGCGGAGTAATTAGGATTAGAATTAGGATTCGGATAAGTTGTCTATGTTTGAGGATGTGATGCTCGAACTGATCGATTGTTTTTTGAATTTCTATTTACATAGCTCTATCTGGGTGGATGCTGCCGCACAGCAATCCTGAATAAGTACAATACATACATCTCAAACAGAGACAAACCAACCATCCTCCTGAAGTTTTACAAGAAAATTAAAAAACAAATACCAAAACACGAAGATGTCAAGAGTATAAACAAGAGGGCAAAGAAACTCCGCAGCATGCATGCATTCATTCCCACACGACGCCTCGCCATGCTAGTGTGGTGGTCAGCGTTTTGAACTTTTTTTTTTTTTTCAAGATGTTTTCGAGGAACCAGTCGGGTTAGTGTTGATATATTATAGATTTCAAGATGAATGCCCATGACATGATGGTGATGCGGAGCTCACGGGATGTCGAACGCAAACAGAAGGGGAAACATGTCGTGGATCGTCAGTTGTTGCCAAATGGGCTTAATGGGTATCTTGACGAGAATAATCAAGGTTCAGAACAAAGTATGAAACAGAAGAGAAAGATAAAAAAAAAAAAAAAAAAAAAAAAAAAAAAAAAACTCCGGTTCTGTGCAAGAATAATGTAGAGGCAGAATTCTGTATCAGTGACACAATGACTGACCAGTTCCTTTCAAGAAACTGAAGCTTGAGCGCTGGTTATCACTTCAAGCCGAGGAATCTCTTCGAGTTCTCGTATACAACGTAGCTGATCGAAACTGCCGGTACAACCTTCAGAAGGTTGGGTGTAATTCCCTTGTAGAGTCCTCGTAGACCTTCTGTTTGGATCGTTTTACGAGCGACATCGCCAATGCTGTCATAGGTAACAGGATGCAGGATTGTTCCCTGGGCTTGTAGTCTCGTACGGAGAACATTAAGTGGATAGACGACGGATGCACCGAATGCTCCACTGAATGCGCCAATGGCTCCTGTCATGAAGTTGTTCAGAGGAACATCGTCCTCGTGGCAGTGATTAAGACGGGCTTTTCGGGCGACTAGGCCCCGTTTTAGGTATTCGAATGTGGTTAAGTCGATCGCGGCGTAGGGAAACATGCCCACAAGGCCGAGAGGCAGTCCACGGAAGAATCCGAGTATGCCGTTTTTACTAATCACTTTTCTTGCCGTCACTGCTATTAAGCGGTTTCCTTTCGGACCACCTTCGACCGTTTCGCATTGCATCCGACTACAGGATAATTAGATATGAATTCGAAAGGGTGAGTTGTAATGGCGGGGTAGAACTTACAACTTTAATGTGTCAAGAGGGTAGACGAAGCATCTACAAACTATCAGACCATGATGCAATTGCCAATATGGCGCGAACTTACTGAGCGACCATCCCACCACACCCTCCTGACAAGAATTGCGACACCGGCATGAGCTTCTTAGGGTCATTGTGACCTTCAAGTCGAGCAAATGCGCGTTTTGCAGACTATTATATGTTAGTTTACCGTATTCAGAGGATGTTCATTCTTTGGATGGCAATCAGACCTCATAGGCCCCAAACTTGATAGCCGATTCGGGCATGACCTTGGCCACGTTCAACCCGTTTCCTACCCATCATCAGCATATTCATCTAACTCAACAGGTTGGCACACGTTGAAACTAACCTGCGAACAAACTCCGGATTCCACCTGCACGCCACAGCTCCTTCATCGCATCAACGAGCGTCTTTGATGCACTGCCCGCCGCTTGCAGTGGAGCACCTTCTTTCGCCGCACGCACGGCCGTTGATTTCACGCCCGTCTGGGCAATGAGATAGACTTTGAGTCGGTCCAAAGGCGCGGTGGCTGTTCTCGACACAACGCCTGCGATTCCGCCCGCAACGAAGTAACCTAATTGAGGAGTGTTTTCGGTCAACTTCCGTTCATAATATCGAAAGGACATCCACATGGCGACACTCCTGGGTATGGGTAGCCATTCCAGCTCGAACTCATTGTCTAGAGGAACAGAGACATCTTTCAATGCGACCGTTGACTTTGAGATCTCGCTGGATTCCGCGTGGGCTATTGGGATGAGGGCTGCCAAAGCGTGCAGAGGAAAGATATTGTACAAAAGGTTCTTGATGGCCAAAAAATAACGTCTAGGAAACAAGTGGTCTGTACCTAAACCCTGCAGATCATTGATGTTGACATCTCCTTCCGGGTTTAGATTTCCCGTAGCCGTATAGTATGAGAGGATGGCGCGTAGGTCGGGAGATGAGTGAGAGGGCATAAAGAGCAAGAAATCCCTAGTCCCCATCAATCGTTTTTAGCCAATGTCGAACAATCGTTTGGAAGAGTCCGGTATCTACCCACCTCCATTCCTCATAGGTTATAACACCATCTTTGTTCTTATCCACATCCCAGAAGAACTCGTTCAATTTGGCGCTCGAGACGGTCACCCCGGACTTGGAAAATGCAGCCTTGAGATCGGCTTCATCGATTTTGCCGTTGTTATTGCGATCGATGCTCTGGAAAAGTTTCCATAGTCCGCTCTCCGTATGGTCGACAAAGGCACGGAATTCTGAGGAAAATTAGGTGGATAAGGAAAAACTGGCTGGAAGGCCAGTTACGCTCGCAAAGCGACAAAGAACAGCGTGGTGACCTTACCAGAGAAGTCAATGTGTCCATCCCCGTTGGTATCGACGGCCACTAGAATACTCCGTAACATATCATCCGCATTTTTTAGTGCTGAAGGAAAAGAACGGCCGAGTCAGTCAGCCTGGCAACAGATGTCGGAAATCATGACGGCGAAGCTCACGGTGATCGATCTTCTTCAGCCCCCTTTTCAGTCCATTGAGATCAATAAGCCCTTCTTTCTGGGCGCCCAAGGTCTCCCACAGCTTATCAACTCTCTGATCACGGTCATTTTTCGATTCGTTGGGTGCCATATTCGATAATGAAGCTTTTCCGATGTTTGCTTATCACACGCCCGTCATTATTTTTCTCGGGAGGAAGGATCACGGTTTCACGATCGGAGAGGAAGTCCCTGTCGCAGCAGGGGAGATCCGGGAGCGGTGTGATAATGAACTGTGCATCGAATCCGAATCACTGAAGTCGACAAGAAGGGAGGATCTGCTTATCCCAACTGCACCCCGGAAGTTTCCCTGAGAAATCAAGCCGCGATGATTTGCTTTGCGCTTGACGACATACCCGGAAAAACTGTAGTCGCCGGGCCGGCGGCACGGGAACTGGAGGGCCCAGCCCTACTATTCCCGATCGGGCAGGTCTCGAGAGCCGCCCGATCACCGCTCGCTGGCGTACATGTGGCTGTCTGGCGATAAACACACGTCTATGAAAGAATATCATGGTTGAATTAGCCCTGGAGGCTTTTGTGGTATTTTTCTGAGCAATGTGAGTATATTTTTCTGCCATTCCCATGCCATGAATCTGACGGAGAATGTCTAGACCGCTTATTCCGTGATTTTCCGGGGTATACCTCCATTATCATGAATGGATCCATGCTCCCTATTTGAGACTGTTGAAAGCATACACGGTCTCTGTTACCATTATGGCTGCCAACTACTGGGCGTCGACCCAACGTCGACACTGGCTATTCACCCGAGAGAAGTTGGCAGAAGTGCGCGACAAACAACGAGAAAAAGACATGGTTGCGCATACGCAGTTCCCTTTGCCGGATCAAAGGATGCTTAACATTTATTTCAGTCAACGTGGGTTCTGACAAAATTATGCTGAGTCTCAGGTTGAAACTAATGCTCGACAGAACTTACGAAGCTTGGGAAGAAGACGTCAACCAGGCAGCAAGCCCTAGCCACGGCCCAAATCTACATCAAACGATTCTACACGAAGAATGAAATACGACATACGAACCCTTATCTTGTGCTCGCTACTGCGTTTTACCTCGCCTGTAAAATGGAGGAGTGCCCCCAACACATTCGACTCGTAGTGGGCGAGGCTCGAAGTCTCTGGCCAGGTATGTATTTCTTTGTCTTCATTCACAAGAGACTGTCACTGACTATCAATAGATTTCATCGCCCCAGATGTCTCCAAAGTAGGAGAATGCGAATTCTTCTTGATATCCGAAATGAGCTCACAGATGATCGTGCATCATCCATACCGAACCCTTACCGAGCTCCAACGAGAACTAGCTCTCACCTCAGACGAAGTCGCCCTCGCATGGTCAGTAATCAATGACCACTATCTCACTGACCTCCCATTACTCCACGCGCCCCATGTCATCGCAGTCATGGCTATCATCGTTGCCGTCGTGTTCAAACCCAGTCAAGCCGGTTTTCACGGCTCTGCAGCACCAGCTTTAGCCGGAGCTATGAGGGATGGTGGTGTTAATATGCTCACGGCACTGAATGATAAAAATGGCGGTGGTCCTCCGCCCCGAGTTCAGAAGCTTATCGGTTGGCTTGCTGAGAGCGAAGTTGATATTCATGCTGTTGTTGAGTGTACGCAGGAGCTAGTATCTCTTTATGAGGTTTGGGAGCAATATAGCGAGAAGAACTGCAAGGAACTTCTTTCAAGGATGGTCAGGACGCAGCGCCTGGATAAGTGAAACATGAGCAGATTGGTGATTACGGATCAAGGATTGAATAGCCAGATTCGATTCCTGGTTTAATCCGTGTCTCGAACTGTCATTACGCCACTTTCGTCTCTTTCATTTCGAGCGGCGCAGTTCAACAATTCAGGCTATATTTATGATCAAGTCATGTTGTGGAGCACCGTCCACGAATATCCTAATTCATCAGCTCCAAACTTCATGAAGGATGGTTTCTCTCATTCTTTCCAACATTATACGGCACCAAACAATCATTATCATCTAGATAGGTTTTCCACAAGGAATTAGAAGTCTCACAAGGCCTTGAGATAATTATACTATTCCCCGAACGGAAAATGGTATTGTGGGGCATGTTTTGCAGGATAGGGTTTAGCGTTATCAATTACCCCACATGTATAACCCGTTTGAGTAACATGCATTTCTTTCACGGTTCCCAGCCATCAGAATAGTAGTAACCATCTGTACGACTCAAGATGCTTTATGAATTTCAATATTACCGCCCGTTCCGAGAGGAAAAAAAAAAAAAAAAAAGGACAGAAAGAGAGAGAGACAAATAATGCACCATAAGGCTGGGCAAAAAGTATATCTTTGGGGTATCAAACAAATTTCAAGTTCATAATGCGCTGGCAATGTTGTTGTCACGGATTGCTTTCCTATACGTTGGCAGTGTGTTGTAGTTTTCTCTTCAAACTGTGATTGTAAAATAAATGTGTTACTCTAGTTACACTGGACTGAACACGACATATACTGTAGTTTGTTTGCGAACATGTCCACATAATCAAGCCACGCACCACTTGCATGTAACATTCTTGGTTCATTCGAATAAAGACAGCATCAAGTCGAGGCCCTTCGAGTATCCACAACCCCACTGGCTCTCCCCACAGCCAGCATCGCCAGCGTTGAAGTTTCGGGCCTTACTGCACTGCACTGCATTGTGCCGAATTTCCACAAAGGGCGAATCGAATCATCTTGGTTATTTTGTGGGGAATCGGCGGCTATCCTAAGAATAGAATGTTTTATTCGATGAATGAACTTTGTTCATTGAGGATAGCTACAGGGAACTTGCATTGACGCTATCTTGAAGGTGTTCAATCTTGGGGTGGCAGGAAGATGAAACCGTGCGGAGGTGATTTCAAACAGGCTGATGGGCTTTTTGGTTCCTGTTAGCATTGAGCTCAGCGCTGTGGTCTTCTTACTTGGACTTGTCAGATAATCTTACTCAGCGGCTACAACATTGGCTGCAATTGAGGAGAAGTAGACCCGTTTTGGAAATGGACTACACATGAAAGCGGCAATATCGACTAAAACACTGGCCCATAAGAATAAAAAAAAAGGAAAAATAAGCAAAACGTTATGCTTCTAGTATGGGATAGAGAAATAAAAATGCGTTGCAGTGTACTCCGAAGTATGTTGAACAGCATACGACGCTCCGGATATATATAGACAGCCCCTGAGTACGAATACGAATACGTAATTGGACCATATCAACCCATCAAAACATCAGGACGAACCAACCCATGTGGTGGTCCCATAGCGATTCCGTGTAAGCTATACAATACGAAGTACGGATATTCCGCAGAAAATCATATTGCATCGACACATCGCTGCGGGCGACTGCAAGATCACTTTACGGCGTACTCCGTGCTAACTACACGGATACATCATTAGAGCGCTTCCTGAAACACTAAACTCTTAACGCCTATATCAGCGGCGTTTGCATCTGTGCAATGCTTGTGCTTGACTATTGAGATTCAGATGTATGCGTCTTCATGTAGACATATACTTGAGACGGGCATTGCAGAATCCGATACGTGTAGCGGTGTTGTGATTGGACTGGTCTAGCGCTTATGCACGTATCTTATGTCAAGGACCCTGATGATAGTAATTGAATTCGGGACATCCCTTATCGAATGTGATCCTTACGAGGGGTCAGCGGCTTGTCCGTAATATCAGATACAGGTAGGGAGATCGATAGCGGAAGAATAGATCTTCCTACCCCTATCACGGGACAAAGATTGAGTTCAACTAATCCGGTAATCTTCGAACATCAAAAGAGCGGTGACATGAGCGGATGACATGCGCAGGACACACCAGGAACAACTCGTCGAAAACGCCACCGTTGCATGGTCATGAATCATGGGGCCATGTATGCCCTATACAGAGGATTTGGAGAAGGATTATGCATGAGGCGACATTTTGGTAACCGGGCCTCCGGTCCAATCAGGGTCCACGGAGATCTCCAGACGGAATCGACTCCATTTCTGCATTCCAGCCTTTCCAGGCCCATTCCATATTGCAAATGGTACTCTGTAGTAACAATTAGGTTGTCCCAAGGTGCCACCTCGCCTACAGACTATGTACTCTGGAGTACTCGTGGCTGATGTCTCCTCCTGTTTCATCTGTTGATCATAATGTCTGGGGAAATGGTTCAACGCCCGGACACATTGTGAACCAAGCAACTCCTTAACTGCATCTGTAGAGCACTCCGGGAAGACCGGCCCTCCGTTGACGCTGAGAAATGTCCGAATTCGGATCAAAGCAGCACCGGTTCCTGATTCGACAGGGTTAAGATGCCTGACAGTCTCGCCACACTACTTTTTGGGAGGGAGGCGCTGCAAGGCGTGCAGAGATCTGCTGATCCAAGCGCCGTCATTGGCTGTGGAGAGCAGGGCCAAGTGGCACGATGATTTGGAACGAGTCCGGCGGGGTGTACTAGCCACTTGCGTACTATCTAGTCTGCCCTGCCACTTTTTACTGCCCTCCTACATAATGTACAGTGGGCAGGGCATACGTGGAAGCATGCCGATTCTCGGAATAATGTGACATGCCAGGTCAACACCACTACCCTACATAGTACACTGTACAAGGACTTTTTGTACTCCGTTCTCCGTACGGAGTGTAGATAGGATTAGTTATTGAAGACATGTCTCCGTAATAAGGCTCATATTGCAGTCGTATTATAATCTCCACTGTCAATCCAGACTAGTAATGCTAGTACATAGTACGGGAGAGGACGGAGAGTATCGTCATTTCAGGGGCGAGGCACCTACCAGACTAGTCAACGGCCGTAAACAACACCCTGCATGACAAGACAATACATGGATGCTGACGCTAGCGGGCATCGACCGACAGCGACTAGTCCTCGATTAAAAAAAGTCCTGCCCCCATCAACGTCATTAATTACCACTAAAGTAGCCGCCAGAACTCCACTTTGCATCAGTCGGTTTCCTCATTGGTAGCCTGATGATGAACTTGCCACAAAGGCAGCCGCTGTCTGAACCATGATTGGCCACTATTTTGCTCCTAAAACTGGTTGAATACCTTAGCGCAGAACACACATCAGACAAGAGTGGAGATCAAATGACAATACAATACCCACTTTTAAGGAGACATCAGAATGAAAGACAGGCAGAAGGGACAGGAGGGTGACGGTAAGGTATGGTAACGTGCTGGTCATATTCCTTGCTGGGATCCACAGGCGACTCCGCCCCAGCCGAAAGAATAACAGCATTACCAGCAGCCCCTCTTGCTCTGTTCTTTTCCTTTTCGCTTCTTTTCTGTTGGTCCCGCCATTTTCTTCTTAATTCGTACGATCTCCATCCCACAACGCTGTTCTTCATCTCTTCCTCTTTCTTCTCTTTTTCTTACTCATTTCACTCCTCGAATTCCATCCTTTCCATCCTTCGCTTATCCATCTCCTTTTGTTCTAATTCTTCATTTTCTCGAACGCTTCTCCTTTTCTTGCAAATATCTTTCCGTATATTCAAACGTCGTTGTTCTCCCGCTGTATCTTCTCCCCATTACTTCGCCTTTTAACGCTCTACCACTTTACAAATCTTCAATATGTCGACTTTCTTCTACGGCCAACAGCACCAGCACCCTCATGTCGCTCACATGCAAAATAACCACCATGGGGGCCGCTCCCGGAGAGGACCCAAGATGGCCGCCCAGAACACTCAGCAGCGCCAGTTCCGCGGAGTCAAGAGCATGAGAGAACTAGCTGAGGCTCCTGCAGTATCTGCCTTCCGGGCCAGATTTGAAGCTGGGCGGTCTTTTGATTTGGATGACGACTTGGAATTTTGCCCGGGTCTCCTGACCGAGGACGATGTATGTGCTTCACCGCTCGGGATTGCGCCCCCGCCCCCTACATTTTTTTGAGAATGGTTCCCTTAACCCTTTAAGGGGATGTAAACAAAGGAAATTGGTGAAACAGATTATTGACATTTGTTTTGCAGCTGCATTCCATCCACTCCGCATCTTCCGACCGCTCATCGCTGTCTAGCGGCTCTCCTGACACCTCTCCCCTCCAGCACCAGATCCAGCCTGTCCAGCAGCAGGTCACTCCTTCCATCTCCTTGTCTCCTGCTTCCGCCAACTCCTACGTCCACTCGGGTGTTACTGGTAACCCCGCTCAAATGAACTTCCAGCAGCCATCTTCCGCCAGGACCCGCAAGGTTATCCCGATCGTCAATCCTGCCACTGGAATGACCTTGACTAGTCCTCCCACCTCCATCTCTCCATCCATGATGCACAACCAGCGTCGGTGGTGAGAGCGTTCTAGGTGCTAGCATCAAGCCGGCTTCTGGCCGGGGACATATCCTGCCCTTGTCTCGCCTCCTATATCATCGGGTTCCATCAACCACGGGTCTTGTTTTTCGTTTTATTGATTTTGTTTCAGTCGACATAAATGTCTCACTATACCACGATTTGACCGACAGATTACTTTCGCCCTCGTTTTTCACGAAAAAAAGGATAAAGCAGTGTTTCATTGTATATACACCATTCTATTCCGGATGACGACCTCTTTCTTCGCATTAGATTATCTGCGATATCTCGGCTTTCTGCGAGCGACGGCGCCTGCGACTTTCGATTTTGCTGCATTACTCAAACTCAGTGATACCTTTTTTTTTTTTTTTTTTTTCCCGGCTGGCAACCTTGTTTTTCTTTTTCGTCCTCTTTTGTTTTTTGACCTCGAGGATTACCGCGATGATGCTTGGAGCGTGTGACAGTGCTGGGCGCATATATCCTTGGCTTGGAGTTGTTTTGTGCTCTCTGGCTGGTCATCATTTTACGATTCTTTGCTAAATATTCTTTGGATATTGGGTTATTTTACTTGGGCGGAGTGGATTTTGTTTCTTTTTGCATTGGGAGATATCTAGAAAGGCGGAAACGATATACGTCTGCATTGCTTTGGGATGTGTTGACCTTTTTGACTTTTGCTATTCTTGCTTTTGCTTTGCATACCTTTTTGATTTGATTGTTTCATGTATATGGATTGGAGATGGGTGACTACGATTGCTCATTACTTTTCCTGCCACCGGTTCCGTGGCAGATGGGTCTGGTTTGTTGTGAGAAAATCCCGGTTGGATGCGGAGTTGATTGATGTCTTTTGGGGGTCGCTCGTTAATCGCGAGTTTCGACCATTTGCACTAAAATTGTGTTGTTTCAATTTGATGTGTCGTTGGTCGACCATCTCTTTCGATTCGTCTTCCGCGTTGACTCGTTTGGATTCTTATGGTATTATTTTGTCTATTATTTTTTTTTTCTTCTGGGAACTCCCGGGGAGTACGATGCAGTGTATGATTTTTTTATTTATTCTTGGGAAATCTGTCATTCTCATTGCTTCTCTTTTGTTTATATTGCTTTTTCTCTGAAATATGAATACATAGTCGTCCACCACTGAAGTAATTATATCAAGCGGAATTGCTTTGATCAGGTCGGTGCACATTGCCCTCGTCCACTTGTCCCTCTCGTGGTCGACTATCATCCTGTTTTCTCGTGTTCAAAAAACGGTGAACCTGGAGGATCCTTGAACAATATCTACCGCTGAGTGTCGATTGTGACCAAGAGCCCGCGGCTGGGGGCTATGGCTGATTGGTCCCGTCATTTTCCGGCTACAGCGATGTTCTTTTGATGGCCATTTTCTGGGTTGATTGGGAAATTGATGGAGGAGAATCGTCACCATCGGAGATATACCATGGAACTGGTGCAAAAGTGAGACTGATCCCGCTGGATACGGTACTGAAGTGTGCTGCTTGAAGCTAAACCAGCTACCACTCGTCATAGACGCCTGGCCAACAAAAATGCACGGAAAGACTTTCTGACCAAGATAATCGAGGCCCGGGAATATCCCAATATCTCAAACATACAGATTGCAGCGCATTCATCTTACTTCGTGTTCGTCTCCTGATCTCATGTCCTTGGACTTATCCAGCTAATTTCCGTCGATGAGATAGGATTGCCGGTAGCGAGACAACTGCCACGACATTAGCCTGCGTGACCTACTATCTCTTGCGAAACCCGGACATCCTAGACCGTTTGAAAAAAGAAATCCGGACGGTGCTCATTCGATATGAGGATATTGATGCGGTGAACACCAATTCTCTTTCCTATCTGCGAGCAGTTACTCAGGAGCCATGCGTGTTTCCCCCACTGCCATTTGCATCACCGCGTGTGGTCCCAGTTGGCGGCAGCACAGTGGATGGTCATTATTTGCCTGGGGGTGTATGTAATCTGCACTGCCTATTTGCATTTGATCTTCTAGCATAATGAAGAGAACCTGATTATTTGAGCAGAGCATTGTATCCACGAGCCCACTCGCGGCCAGCATGTCGCCTACCAATTTAAGGATCCATGGGATTTCAATCCGGAACGATGGTTGGGACAGAATGTGACCGACAATCTCGAGGCCAGTCATTTATTCTCGCTGGGCACACGGTCATGCATGGGTCGAAGGTAAAGAATCCGTTGATATTTCGTCATGTCGAAGGTGATGAAAATGATTGATATTCTGTTGATACGGTCCGGGTTGATGGAGCTGCAAACTATCATGGCTAAGACGTTGTTTCGATATGCTTTTGAAATGGTGAATAAGTAACTGGATTGTCATCGGGATTCACGGATGCATACTTTGTGGGAGAAGTCGTCCTTGCTGACGCGAGTGTTGCCTCGACGGGAGTGATAGATATCTTCGAGAGGAACTATCCATATCATATTCTACCAGCTTCGCCACCACATTTTATCCATCGTCTACATCTGACTATGCATATGCCCAAAAAACCCTCCAGCACGATTCAGAATTTAGCATTGCATGCATTAGAGATGAATCAATATGAGTCATTATGAATCGTTCCCTGATGCCTTTCTGAGTCTAAACCAAAAGGAGAGATGGCTGATGTGCATTATAAATGTATCACTAGACTGTAATCTCATCTAAAAATTACCTACCATGGAGGCAATCAGTAAAATTCGTCTCTTCCCATCATCTCGTCCATCACGGCCCATTTCAACTCCGCTTTCCATCCTCGATGCCACTGTTGCTCGGTTCTCCGCCACGGGTGCGATATGGCTCTTCGATCACATCCCTGACGGAATTTACGAACATGATTTTCTCGACCGTCTGCGTTCGTCATTGGTGAATGTCCTCAGCGACTTTCCGCACTGGTCTGGCCAGTTGCAATGGGCACCGGTGCGACAAGGGGAATCGCACATCGAACGCTCCAACCGGCTCATCATCGTTTATGGTAGTGAAACTGATCCCGGCGTCGAATGGAGCGTTGTCCGACATGTCTCTGTGTCGGTGCAGTTGTTGGTGCCAAACGCTCCAGAACGCGCATCCGGCGATGGACTTTGGACGGGAGATGAATTCACGCAGGAACTGTTCCTGTCTGATACATTGCTGCCATTGCACGATCTACGCGAGTTTGAATGTCTCCCCGCCATGCAGGTCCAGCTCAACCTGTTCAATGACGGTGGATACGGCATTGGCATCAAAATGGCACACCCCCTAGCTGATGCACAGACGTTAATGGTGTTTGTCCATCACTGGGCGGCGAAATGTCGCGAATCATTCCATTCCATCAATATGCCTTCTCTAATGAGTGCTCCCGTCTTCAATCCAACACTCCTAGACACATGTGCTGCAGGAGACATCGATGGACCAGCAGCCAATCCTATGTGCGTCTCCATGGCGCGTCAGCTCCCTCTACACCGGTTTGACTGGTGGTGTGTTGACGACCCCGGGTATCCGCCGTTTTTGATCCCAACGACAGAAAATTCCAAGCCGCCACCGGAGGTTCTCGCCCAGGTCGAATTATCGCCTTCTACCTCCAGTCCTTGGACGACATGGGACTTTTCACGCCCGGTACGGTACACGCAGCTGCACTATCCAGGACCCGAACTCAGTCTACTTAAGGAACAGGCCCGCACAGATGGTCGTCCGGACGTATCCCGGCTTGACGTGTTGCTGGCTCATATCTGGGCAGCGGTCAACCGGGCTCGAGGCCATGGCGATTCGTCTGACAAGGTTTTTCTTAACCTCACGCTGGGAGCACGAAGCCGCGTATCGCCCCCGTTGTCCGATTCCTTCATCGGGTCGCCGCTGTTCCTCACGCATATCCAAACATCAGGAACTGCCGCCTGTTCTTCAAGCGTGGGCAGAACAGCGAGCCAAATCAGGCAGACAATGCTGCGTTTCACACCTGAAGCAATGGGCGCCATGTTGCATGATGCCGCGCATGAGGTCTCGCCCCAGCGATTGTGGCAGGCATTTTTGGGCACGCAGCATACATTGGTAACGTCTTGGTTGCGGCTCCATGTGTACCAGGTGGACTTTGTGGGTTCTGGGCAAAAGCCACGATATGTGCACGCGGTGATGCCTAAGATGGATGGTTGTCTTCAGGTGATGGATCCGGGGGTGGATGATGGGGGCATCGATATCGCTTTGTATCTGGATGCAGGGGCGATGAAAAGACTTCTAGTGGATAGAAAGTTACATCTTCAATCAGATTAGACTCAAGCATGCTATACAGATGATTTCGAAATCAGTTTCCATGTCAAAGACTTCGGAATAAATTCCAAACCCTACATGCCAGGGGACGCTAAACCGTATATGACACGCATAAATTTATGATTGAATGGGTAATATGTCATGTATGGTAAACGGCAAATCCAACAACCAATGCCACTTGTGATTTTGCCACGTTCTTTAGACGACTAGAAGGAGGTAGACACGTGGTTTGATAGGATGAAATGCTTTATATACCTTGTTCATCCCGGGCCCTCCTTTTAGAAAGAGATTAGAATATAAAGAACAGTGGAAGCAGGAATCTTGGGCAATGCTCAGACAGAACTCAAAAAATGTAACACGTCCAGATGCATGCCCCATGACAAGCATGCCATTTCGGGCTACCACACAGGCTGGTCGATAGGTTTTAGGTAGCCAGAGGAGTTTCCTACCCTGTATAGTCACCCAATTATCATCCATAATATGGATCTCGATTTTGGTCGGATGAACAGGATTATCATTGACAAATGATGGTGGTAAATTGAATATTCCCAAGTTGGTTTCCAGGCATGAACTGTCTTCTGTGAAGCTCAGTCTATATACAATTTTATGGCTCTCGAGAGTGTGGTGCAGCACGCCGCTGGCCGGGTCCCAGAGCTTGACTGTCTCGTCAAAGGACGCCGACGCCAGCAGTCGCCCGTCCATCGAGAACGCCACCGAGTTGACCCTGTGAGAATGGCCCTCGAGGGTGTGGCGCAGCGCGCCGCTGGCCGGGTCCCAGAGCTTGACTGTCTTGTCAAAGGACGCCGACGCCAGCAGTCGCCCGTCCATCGAGAACGCCACCGAGTTGACCCTGTGAGAATGGCCCTCGAGGGTGTGGCGCAGCGCGCCGCTGGCCGGGTCCCAGAGCTTGACTGTCTTGTCAAAGGACGCCGACGCCAGCAGTCGCCCGTCCATCGAGAACGCCACCGAGTTGACCCCGTGAGAATGGCCCTCGAGGGTCTCCAACTCCGCACTCCAATATTGTTCGACTTCTGGCAATCTGTATAACCAACCGGGGATGTTTCTCTTGAAAGTTTCTCGTATAATTGATTCAATAGGAGCAAAGATAAGCCCTGAAGAATACAATTGAAGAGGCACGGTGTCAGCGATATGTCTAGTTTTGAGGATAAACGGTCTTGCGTCCTGGAGAAATGCACACAATTCAGAATATTCATTATCCTTCATCTATTAGCATCGCATTGAATATTAAAAAATCAAACACTATTCTATGATTACTTACTGGTATGAGTTGCCGCGTCGTGTCAACCATTCCCACTAATTCAGATGCCAACCCGAGGATGCTCATTGCTTCCATCCAGTAAAGGAAGTGCTTTTTGAGAAATAAATAAACATCATGCATCCTTTTCATGGGGTCTTCGCATTTCTCTAGATGCTGTACCCAGTAACGACATGAGTATTGCAGTTCTGGTGGTATGGACTTGTTGATCAAACATCGGTCAATCTCGGTCCGTTGTGTACCAAGTTCCAATTTGCATGGATTTTTTCTTAAACCTTCGCACATGACTCTTAGGCATTGCGCTATAACCTTTTGGTGGATTTTTTTCTCCTCTATCCAGAATCGCTTGTCTTTAATCTTTGGGTCCAGAAGGAAGTCCCGAAATGAAAGATGTAAGACCCTCACTGGTATATCATGATCCTCCGGTATATTGAGCACTGAGCGAAAGGAATTTAATCGAGAACTGACATCACGTGCCCCAGCATCAAGAAGTCGAGCAAGCGCATTAACTGAGAGTGGAGTAGCCAGCAGGATAATCACACCAATAATATCCTTGAACTCTTGGGCTAATTGCTTTGACTCCCATTCATCTTGACCGGTAAGAAGTTGCATTAGGATTGGTAGGTATGTGTTATCCATCTTGGTTACATAGTTGATTTGGTTATTGAGAATGGCAGTGAGACGCGTCTCTGGGTTCCATTTCTCATCACCAACAAATCGACATATTGTTGCAGCAGAGATGAATAATGGTTTTGTCCTCTCTACTAGGACCTGAATGCTATCATTTCCAGGCCAGCTTTCTGGGAGCGAGTGTATTTGTCGTATATATGAGAGCCTGTCTTTAAGAAATAAGGTGATATCGCGACTGATAAATTTTTCAGCAATCTCATGGAGTATTAAATTCTGGTGTCCCTCGTTGCCAATCTTCTGAAAGCCAAGATGGATTGGTGATTCTGGCCTGCTGGTCAGAAAGATCCGTAGGTGTATTGAAGTTGGCTTCTGTAATTGTGGCAGGAGTTCCAGGATGACTCGTATATCATCCTGTCTGTCACACTCATCTAATGCGTCGATCACCAACACCATCTTTATAGCAGACTGGTTCTGACACAAAGTGTGGATTGGTTGGAGGAGAAGTTTATTGAACTGTTCCCTGAGCGACTTGATGGAAATATCAGGGTCATCATTAATAGCCTTTAAGACGCAAGGTTCAAGTTGAGGGGTGGCCGTGATAAGCTGTCTGGTGATTGTTGAAAAGAATCTGTTTGCATTTCCACGGTCACCTCCACCTCTTTTAAAAAAGAAGCTTGCTCCTAGTTTTCCTTCTTCTTTGAACAAAGTTGCCACTGTTCGCGAGATAGTTGATTTTCCGGTCCCTGCCATTCCATTCAACCAGAAGATATCTTGTCCTTGGTCAGAGCTTTCCCATTCCTTTATCTGCTGAATAAGTTCTGCTCTGGTTCCATCAAGGCACCTATCTTCATGTTGGTTCATGATTGAGTCGAATGAAGCGCCTTCAGCAATCCGTAGGTTGGAGCGATCGAGTTTCTGGTCAACTTGTTGGACTAACATAATCGCCTCATCGATTCGGTCTAGCATGACTTCTGCACTCTTTCGATGCTGAAGATGCTCATTCTGCTGGACCCAATGGTGTAGGGCTTGCTCATCATTTTTGATGGAAGACTCAATTTGTATGATTGGGTGATTAGACGCTGCAGGAACACTCTCTATCATCCTCTTTCCTAAGTTCACTTTGTGCTGTTTTTGTACTCGCGCTGAATAAGACAATGTACTAGTATAAACCTGAACAAGTGCTTTTTCAATCTTGTCTTTGGTTTCAGATTGATTGTTGCGGTAATGGGTTTTCTCAATGAAGGCGCACCGAGCAAGGACATCCGCTAAGAACTCAGAGGATCTGAACAGGGCGTTTCGAATATCAATATGGTTCTTCGTCATCTGGATTTATTTTTTGATTAGCTTTCCATTTCTTGTATATTAACTCAGTACACATACTGTCAATCCAAGTGACACAATTGCCCAAGCACTTGATGCATGGTTGGTAGGATCAAAAACTGCAATGGCGCTGATGATGTCCTTGGATGATAATGTAGCATCCAGTATTCTGTGCGCAGCATCTCGGATGTTGATGTCTTCTTTGCCAGATCCCCGTGTGATCTTCAAGCCTCTATTTTGGTAGTCCTCATATTGCTGCTCTGTCAATCGGATAACTTCGTCCAATTTTCCCAGTATTTCTGTATCCTTCCCGTGCTCAGTTGTTGGAGTTGATTGCAAAGAGGGTCGGTCGGCCGATAAAATTTCTTGGTCCTCATTACTTAGCTTCTTGTAGGCAATCTGCCACAAGTCTTTTGGTCCAGTATCTCTCTTCTGCTCATTTGGCTCGTGTGGTTTTTCTGAATAACTTGCAAGAGCTGATGATTCAGCATGAGCAGAAGAGCTTCTTTTGTATTGATCTGAGTTAAATGAGTCTTTGCTGTCTGTGTTTTGAGGCCGGTTGTCTCGATGTTTTATCTTCTCCCATTTTTTTCTGAAGTATAGTCTCATGGTTGACAGCCCGAGGAATTATGTTCAGCGCCTGGTTTTGACTTTGAAAGTGGTGGATAGAAGCTATTAGCTTGACTTGGTTGTAGGAAAGAGAACACTACGGACTTGTTGAGTGACAGTGGATGAGCTGAGCTGGCGGAGCTAAGCTGGCGCGGCTGAATGGTGGTAAACTGATCATCATCCATTTATACTCAGTACAGAGATTACAAGCTTACAAACTGAGTGACGACCTTTTAAACATTAACTAACTTAACTAACTAGTTATAATGAGGTGATTAGCTAACATGCCGCCATGAAAATCCATTCCTGCCTCCCTCCGGAAAAGCCTCCCTCCGAGCCCGAAAGCGCCTCTATCCAAATGCAAGTCAAAAAGACCTCCGTGAATGGTTTGAATCTGAATATAACCATACCCTCTCATCCGGTCTCATCTCCGATATCCTATACAGCAAATATAGTCATCTTGATAATGACAAACCACCCCGAGATTTAAAGCGCCAACGTCGCGAGAATTGGCCGGAGCTGGAGAATGCCTTATATGATTGGACAACACGTGTTGAAGGACAAATATCTGTATCTGCAGAGATCATACGGCATAAAGCAGAGATCTTTTGGGATTCCATTTATCCTGGAATGGAGAAGCCTACATTCAGCAATGGCTGGCTCCATCGGTTCCAAGCCCGGAGAACTATCAAATGGCGTGAGCAGCATGGAGAAGCTGGTGGTGTCCCAGAGCAGGCAGAGCAAAAAATGGTGATGATTCGGCAGGCTCTGGGTGCTTATAGCCTCAAGGATCAGTTTAATTGTGATGAAACAGCACTTCTTTGGAAGCAAACTCCAGTCCGAAGCCTCTCAACACGGCAGCTTCCTGGTCGGAGAAAGGAGAAAGCAAGGATCTCTGCTCTATTCTGCTGCAATGCAGATGTCACTGAGAAACTAGAACCCTGGTTTATTGGAACTGCTCGGAATCCACATGCTTTTAGAGCTGCAGGCATAAATATTCGGAATTTCAATTTAATCTGGCGGAGTAATCAAAAGGCCTGGATGACTTCCCAAAAATTCATTGAGTTTCTTCGCTGGTTTGATGTGAAAATGAATGGACGAAAAGTTGCTCTTATGGATAACTAACTTCTCTGCTCATCAGGCAGCAGCAGCAGATATACTAGCAAGTCAACAACCGCTTCAAAATACACTTATTATATGGCTTCCTGCAAACTCAACAAGCCGATATCAGCCACTTGATCAAGGGATCATCCACTGTTGGAAAGCATACTGGAAGCGGTACTGGGTCAAATACATCCTGTGTGAATTTGAAACCAATCGAAACCCTGTTCTTACAATGAATGTTCTAAAAGCCATCCGATGGGGCTTGCAAGGCTGGGAGTATGGAGTTTCTGGGCGAGCTATTCAGAACTGCTTTCAAAAAGCTCTTGACCCTCAAATACAGTATCAAGAACCTGTGGATCCTGCAGTAATGGACGACATCCAGGCTTCCTTCTCTCAGCTTCGGCTATCTACGCCAATTCAAGATCTAATGGATATAAAAGCTTTCCTAAATCCCGCAGAGGAGGCCGTCCAGGACTCTCCTGATGATATTGAAAGCCGGGTTTTGGCTCAATATATGCCGGAGATTGAGGAAGATCCTGAAGAGCTAGAAATTTTACCAAAGGTGTCTGCGGAGGAAGCAATTGCAGCCATTCAAAGACTCCGTATGTATGAAGAGCAGCAAGTGGAAGGAAGTCCTGCCTTTATACGTGAGGTGGAGAGGCATGAGCGTATTATATGGCGTCGGAAGTTGAATTTGCAAAGTCAGCGTGATATTAGAAGCTATTTTTCATATTAGTAGGCATTTTTGGGCTCCGAATATATAGATTGCTATCAGAGGCTGTTTTTCTGCTTGAGTATCTATTACCTCGCTATAGCGAGAACCCTGTTTTAACGAGATAATTAAGCTTCCTCCTTTATCTCCTTATAGCGAGGTTTTACAGTATCTGATAAGGTTATCTGTGGGTCCGCGGGTAGACTAGCCATGTTTTAGTGTCTGCGCTAGTCCAAGTTTATTTTCTATCTACTGCTCTGTAGCACTAACCACGCAAGACCCCCAGAAATCTCCTCTTCACCTCCGCTTTCAATGCTTGGTGTTCCGAATCCGTCCGTGCCACCGCATCCTGGTTCTCCATTGCCCGTCTCACGAGATACTGCAGACATTCTCCCAGACTTCCCCACGTCAAGCACTTGTAAACTCCCGGGGACGTATTATTATGGCCCTTGACTTGCAATAGCCCGTAACTCACACCATCTGCCATTCCCATTAACTGCCCGTACTCCACCTTGACGGTGGGGAGCTGTGCACTCATCCGAGACTGGTGCAGGTGATGAGCAGCCATGACGCTCTTGTAATTATGAGATGCCAGGAATAAATCCGTATGCGGGAACGCCTTTTCGTTCTCCCCACCAAAACCCTTGAACCGTTTCGACAGCACACTCTTCACGATAGTATCATACGCCATATCAGTCTCTTCTTTCGTATCATGGATCAAATGCCTCGGGTCCGAGCCCATGTACGCCCCGCGAACCAGCTTCAACCCGAGAATGAATCCCTCGTTTCCGGCAGCCTGCATGTGTGCAGAAATAACGTCTGGCGTAGCTTTAAGATAAGCCTGGTAAGTGTTGTATACGACTGCCCTGCCATCTCGATTGTACTTGCGCATCAGGTCGAGTGTCCATGAGTAGATCCCGTCGAGGAAGGCGCGTTGTTCAGCGTCCATTAGAATCCGGGCATTCTTTTGTACGACGCGGCGGCATATTTCGTCGAGGGCTTCAATCATTTGGGGTGGTGGGGGTGTGTTGGTGGTTAAGGCTTGGTTGACTTGGGGGCCGGCTCCAGTCAACCTGCTATTGTTAGCAAGGCGTTAGGACTAGAAGGGGATAGGGGAGACTTACTTGAGTGCTAGGTAATCACCTTCGCCAATCATCTCTATTGTCCTCAGCACGCCATCCGTCCAGCCCTGGATCATTTCGTCCCTTTCCAGTGCTTCCACCTTTTCATTGCTCTCTTCCTTTTGTTTTGCAACACGGTCATCCCGTGTAGTCTCCCGTGCATAAGTCAAGATAACACCCCGTAGCCCTGTATCCTTAAGTTGTCGTATAGTATCTCGCACCTGGCCTTCCACCTCACCCGCACAGAAATGGTCATATAGAGTCCTCTTCAGAAAGCCATGGATGAACGGGTTTCTATCCACATTGAAAAGAGGACCTTTTGCTTTTGCGAGTAACATTAGAATCGACAAAGACGGGACGCGGAGGATCCAATTGGAGGATATTGTGGTGACTAAAAGTGAGCGTAGTAACACGTTGGTCGGGATGATAGAGTGTGCAGGTAGTTTGGTTTTCTGGTCGATTGCTGAAGGCTTGGATGTTTTGTGCGGAAGACCTGCTCCTGGTATCAAGGGGGATGCAGTCGAGCCCCGACGAACTTGGAATCTTGATACATGGTTTCTGATGGCTGTAAAAGCGGCTGCAATTTTGTTTCTGAGCATGTTGTCGTGTTGTTGAATAGACAATGGATGGAATCAAGATGGCCGGGTGAGGAAGGGCTCTTTTCAATGTATAGTTCCCATACGTGCTGCGGGGTACATAGAAACTAGACTAGGCGACAAGGCGTTGCATTGCAGCACTAGGGTACGTATGATAGCAGTGATAATCACATTAATCCTGGTGTATCAGGGATGGGGTCCGACTCCAGTTGTGCCTCGGATTCGCTCCCGAGGGAACGTTCGCTCTCTGGCGGACACTGAGGGGGTCGATACTCCATAGTGTCACTGATAACGGATTCCTTTGGTGGTGGGACTGGTTCCGATACGGGAGCTTACGCCGAGTTTAGGGTCATCTGGAGATGGGATTGATATCCTGATAAGGAAAATGATGAGAGTTCGAGAACACCTTGATGTCATATACCATCTGTATCTAGTCTAGACAGAGAAATCTAGACAGAGAGTAAGACTGGAGCAGTAAGATGGATCAGTGTAAAGTGCCTCCGTATAGATCAGGATACCTGATTCGGTTAGTGCAACCCCGCACATGACCACGATAAGTTAAGAAATTCCACAGCAATGCTGTTCACTTTTCCGTTACATGCACAGTAACATCAATCGCTATCAGGTAATATCAATTATTTATCATGAAGTTGCGCAGTCGAACCGGTTGCTTGGCCTGCAAGAGTATGTACAGTCCACGATATCAATAGTCCTTTCTGACAGATGACAGGTAGAAAGCGTCGATGCGATGGTATAGCTGTCCCTTGCTAGCGTCGGCTATACTGAACCAGACTGACCACTTGAACTAGAGGAGCGGCCTTCTTGCAGGAACTGTCTGGTGCGAGGGGTCGTCTGTCCGTATCTCACTGAGCCGGCGCAGTCGATCTCGCTACGATTCAAGATTAGCGGATGTATGCATCTTTATGTTTGCTTAGTTTGTATCAGCAGCTGATGTGTTCTAGGCGATGTTCGGTGGAAGTCACGTCGGGGAGATCTACCCTGGCATTTCTTAAATGTTTCGTCTCAGGATATAGACTTGTTCTCTACCGAGCACACTCTGTCATTAAAGGATGGGTCTGAGGTCGACGATGTCTCTCGAAATTTTATTGACTCTCTCAGGCCTGGGCTTTCGATAAGCCCGTTGAGAGCATGCAGCAGTCTTGAGAAGCAGCTTTTTCAATATTGTATGGAGGCCAAAGGATATATGCAGAAACAAACTAACTAGTTTGCAGATTTAGAGGTTATCTGCAAGGTACGAGTTTTCCAGGATGATCAAAGCAATCACTTTCGATCACTGGTTATCCCGTTGTGCTACGGACAACGGCCGTTGCTATACGCCGTTCTTTCCTTAAGCGCCAACGACCGTCGCGCAGAGACATACGTCGATTACGAGAAAGTCTCATTATCGTACAAATCCCAAGCTCTCTGCTTACTTCGTGAGACATTGGCCGATATACATTATGCCAACGAAGCCCTTATGACATGTGTTATTCTGTGCTCTCTGGAAATCGCCTCAGGTTGTCGGCCAGACTGGGTCCAACATGCACAAGGCGCCTTTGCTATCATCGATAGTTTCGCCAACCTCATTGACTCACAGATACTCTTCTTCGTGTATAGCTACTTCCGCTTCCGAGCTGTTTTCTTCCTGACGACAAGTTCTCGCGAGCAGGCTGATGACGACTCACACAACATGTCCGCGTTACAATGTCCTCCAGAAATAGGACTGAACGTTGATCTAAGCTCGGGCATCCGGGATAAAATTCAGCCTCATATGGGCTGCTCCCTCAGTTTACTAGACATAATAGCAAAGACGACCCGCCTGGTTCAACGGAAACGGCATCTACGCCAGAGTGGTCACAGTTCGCTAACCTGCGAGGAAGATTTACGATGCCAGGCTATGTCCATCCGCAGCCAACTGGACTCACTGACCGAGGAGAATCCCTCTGCTAGTGACTACCTGGCGACATGTGCTGAATGTTTCCGCATGGCAGCGGATCTGTTTCTACAGCTGGCGTGTGATATTCCGCCATGTCAGTTAGCGCTGCAAGAGCAACTTGACCGCTTGCTAGGTCGTATTGGGCGAGTGATACACGAGGGCCAGGAGAGACAGTTGTTTCCTATGTGGCCGCTATTTCTGGCAGGATGTCTATCAACTACAGATGAGGATAGATTGCGGGTTCTGGACTACTTTTCTGTTCTTTTACACCAATGGCCTATCAGTAACATTCCTATGGTACGCGAGGCTACAGAGACAATCTGGAAGTCGCGAGATTTGAATGTGGAAGAGGACCAGAGCAAGAATGGCTTCGATTGGCAGATAATCATCGAACAGATGAACTGGAAACTAGCGTTATCATAAACAAATCAAATAAACAATCTTCCAACCCAAACCAAGCACGGGAAGCATCACAGCTTAGACAACTTCTTAATATCCGCAAACTCCCTCGTCTCTCCAAGCCGCCAACTAACATCCCCCTTCCCATCATCCTGCCCCCTCCCCTCCTTCCACCGCCACCTAGCAACCCCCTGGCCTCCCTCCTCCACCAGCCTCTTCACCCATCCACCCGCAATCGGCAACATCTTAAACAAATGCCCTGAATCCCCCGACAACATCACAACAGACCCCTCCATTCCAGGCACGTAATCGATCACAAACTCCGAATCCTTCGTATCCGCAAACCAGCACAACTTCTTGCCCACAAGCTCCCTCCCCTCCAACCCCGGCAACGCCTCCCTCAACAATCGCCGAATCCGCCCCTCATCCTCAACCGGCAAAACATCGCTCTCCACGAGTGTCTTGGGCGGCAATGATCGTCCAGACACGGGATCGGTGTTAACATATCCCCCGCCCATGGGGCAGATCTTTAGCCAGTTGGTAACTGGATCCGGTTCGAAAAAGAAGCCCAGGTCGCGGGCGTAGGTTACGGGGATGTTGCGCAGGGCGGAGGTTTCATCGTCGGTTAGGTGGATGTGTGCTAGGGACCAGGATTTCGCGACGATTTGTGACGCTGCGTTGGGGATGAGGGTTGCTGCTGCGGCGCCGGTGGCGACGATTGTGAGGGTTGTTGGGATTGTGGCGCCAGAGTGCGTGCGGAGGGCTGTTATCTTTTTAGTGTTGGGGTCTTTGATTAGTTCGGTAATCCAACCGCGGTCCTTGCCGAGAATGAATTTGACGCCGTTTGCGGCGGCAGCCTTATATACCGCGAGCAAAGCATTAGATGCATGGGCGTAGCCCGCTTGGCGGTTAAAGTAGCCTTTCCAGCCGGGGAATTGGCCGTCGTATTGCCAGGCTATGTTGCGGATGTCCTCGCGGGTAGCGACATCTTGGATCTGGCCTTTGTATTTGGGGTGGTCTCGAACTGTTGCGAGAAAGCGTGTAAGCGTATCAACTGCTTTCTGAGGAGCGGAGCCGGAGACTAGATGGAGGAATCCGGTCTGGTGGTAGTGAGGTGCGTAGAGAGGTGTTTTCCAAGCTTCGATTGCTTTCTGCACATATACAGCGTTAGCATAACTAAAACGACGCCTCAATAAGAAGAAAGTAAGAATACGTACGATCGTCAACTCAGTATACCACGGGTCCTCATACTCAGCCCGCACGATCTTATTAAGATCAAACCCGGCCGACGAGCGAGGCGGAATCTGTTCATCTTTTTCGTAAACAGTGATATTCGTATATCCGTCACTGGCAAGTTGGAGGGCAGTGGATAGGCCGAAGACGCCTGCGCCAATGATGGCGATAGGAGCAGATTTAGAAATGGGCATTGCGACTGTATATCAGAATAGATTGAATGGATTGTGGGTTCTGTATTTAATGGGAAAGGAATTGGTCTTTATATGTACGTTTAGTTAGATCACACCATACACAAAGGTTAGCTCGGTTCCAGTATCCGGGTGATGATATCCATCGCGCAAGTTGCGGTGGGAGGATAGTCTATGCGACGCATTCCACGATGTGGGGGTGCAACGTTGTCTATGCGGAGGATCAGATTGATTAGCCGGATAGGCAATTTGCGGTTAGATTATGCGATGAGATAGCTATTGGCTGGTTATAACTATTTTTACCCGATAGGGATGGAATGAAGCTATACAAATAAAAAAATAACGACTGACAATTGCATTGAACTGTTTGCTTCTATGTACACCTTATTGTTTATCCTACGCTAGCTAGTTACTCATTGCTAGGGTACTTGTATCCATTCAGCGGGAAAAATTCCTCCTTAATCGTCCGAGGACTTGCGAATCGCAAGAGAGCATTCGGGCTACCGGCCTTGTCATTTGTTCCACTGGCGCGGCTTCCACCAAACGTTTGCTGTCCGATAAGTGCGGCAGTCGTTTTGCAGTCTACAAGTGTTAGGACGAGATAGTCGAAAGAAGAGGGGAAGATAAACTCACTGATATAGAAGTTTCCTGCCGAATAGCGCAGTGTGTCCTCAGCCTCTCGGACGGCTTTCCGATCCGCCGCAAAGACAGCACCCGTTAGGGCAAATCCGCCGCCGCTCTTATCAATCTTTTGCAGGATAGACGACCACTGGCTATCCGGGTAGACGTACACTGACAGGACTGGTCCGAAGATCTCTGTATTAAACAGTGCGTGGTCGACGTTTTTGGCCCGGTAGACAGTCGGGTGCACGTAGAAGCCCGTCGAGTCATCGTAAGTCCCGCCCGTGATCAATTCCAAAGATGGATCCTTGTTACTGGCGTCGATAACGCCCTTGATCTTCTCAAAAGAGCCCCGGTGGATGACAGGTCCCATAAACGCATCCAAGTCCTTATCGGGAGATCCAATGGTGATAGTCTTAGTTTGCTCCTTGAGCTTGGACAAGAATTCCTGAGCCCGCGACTCAGGCAGATACAGCCGCGATGTAGCTGAGCATTTCTGTCCCTGGTACTCAAATGCACCCCGGATTGTGTGGTAGACGGCGCTGTCGACGTCAGCTGTCGGATGGACGAGGTGGAAGTTCTTGCCGCTGGTTTCGCCAACCAGGCGAGGGTAGTCGCGGTAGACCTTCTTGCCGATATTCTGACCGACCTGGCTGTACAGCGAGCGGAAGACGTCTGAGGAGCCTGTGAAGTTTAAGCCTGCAAATTCGCGGTGGGAGAGAACTGTGTTGGTGATTTGTTCGGCGTCGCCTGTGACGAACTGAATCACATTGGGGGGCAGGCCAGCTTCGAGAAGAATCTTGTAGACCAGTGTGCTGGCGTAGACGTTGGATGGGGAAGGCTTCCAGACCACGACGTTGCCCATAAGTGCGGGGCCAGAGACTAGGTTACCTCCAATGGCTGTGAAGTTGAATGGCGAGATGGCGTAGACGAATCCTTCGAGGGGTCGGTAATCCACGCGTCTGGGTCAATTAGCGCCATATATTCGTTAGAGTAGAGATAAAAGGGACTTACGTCCACATCCCCTCACTTCCACGATCCGGCTGCTTCTCCAACAACTCAGCGGCCAAATTGCAGTTCAAACGGAAGAAATCCGCCAATTCAGCCGCAGCATCAATCTCTCCCTGCCAGATGTTCTTTCCCTGTCCCAGCATCGTCGCAGCAATAAGGTCATATCGGTATTTTCCAGTTACAAGCTCCGCAGCTCGCTGAAAGATAGCGACTCGATCGACGAAAGGCGTGTTCTCCCATTCCTTCTTAGCACCCAGCGCTGATTCAATCGACGCATTGACTTGTTCCGGAGTCGCAAGCGGATAGTTGGTGAACGTGGTAGCGTGCTCGGATGGAATTGGCTGCCCGATGGTATTTGAAGCGGATTGCGCTTTGCCGTTGACGAAGAATGGGCTTTCGAGTGGTAATTGAGACTTGAGGGTTTTGAGGGATTTCTCTAGCTGGGCTCTTTCGGGTGATCCTTTGATAAAATCAAGCTGTGCTGGTTAGCTCTCCTCCTCTCTGACCTTATAATTATACTCACGTTTGGTTCGTTTCTGGCCGCTGGTAGTCGAAAAGGCACGGTTGCGACACTTCGTGCCTGGATTGAGGGCAGGCGCAATGTGCGCGCAATTGGCAACTTAGCAGGAATTCTGGGCAACATTATTGAGTATACCGTGGGCTACTTGAATGTAAGAAGAAAAAAGACAATTTGATACATTCAAATCGCAGCAGCAGCTCTAATATAGCGAGCCATGCAATCGCATAAACTAACCACGGCTGATCAGATCCGCTAGATAAGATACATGTGGGGTGTTCGGGTAGTCCAACCGAGAATCCACCAACGGCATTCTTGCGGATGGCTTTCCGTCACGGATGACCTTCCGGAATGGAATCCTCGACAGTGTTCTTTCAATGCCACAGGTCATAGCTTCTCCGCAGAGTACTTCCCAGCATAGATTGTCCGAACCCCAGGTGCTACAAAGAGGGGAAGCGTTCGGGACCAATGCAACAATCATGACACATTGAAATCAAGATCAGTCATATCTGCAGCGTAGTGTTGCGTTAGTGAAAGCTCACAGAGCACGATAAGACGTACATGCTTCTTTGGCTGCTCGGTACAATATGCGCGGCCATCTTGGAAAGCTGCAGGCGCAGGAAGTCGACCTGGAAAATGGAGCATAAACACTTTGGACATGACTTCCGTGAACAGGCTGTTCATGTCAGATGATAACAGCAGCTACTTTATATATAGTCGTTCTCCATTATGATCCCGGTTCTCATCCCCAGCATATTCACACTGGCTCGATTTGGGCACCACCAAGAAAGCAGTAGCCATGTAGTTTGCTGGTTTCTTGTACCAGGGCCTATTGGGAAAGCACAGCCATCATTCTATGCCCCGGCCCGATGAAAGACTTGATAGTATGAAGCCGATCGTTGAGTGTCTCTCAAACCCAAGTCTCTTGTAGGGCCTTGGAGATATCTGGCTGTCAACAACATAAACACATAGGCTGTGGTGCTCGGAAAGCGCGGGGGCTTTTTTAATGTATCCATAAATTTGATAGCGCTCTTGGGTTTCCCAGTATGGTAGCATCCATGAATTTCAGTTGCTGAAGACATGTCCAACTGGCGATATAGCAGCAAGGATCGTCCACTCTACGAAAGCATAGAAGCTAAAGAGAAAACCCAAGGTGCAGTATCTAGCATGGTGAGGCGCTTCCAGGTGCAAAAGCACTTGCTGATACAGCTACAAAAATGGTATAATTTATAATAATCGTGAATTATTTTCATAACACATGGCGGATGTGGAACCCACGCTCATACCTCAAGATATGAACACTTGGTCTACAGAACGTCATGAGAAGCCCCATATAAATATAACAGGCCAAGTCAATCGTAAAACGACAATCAAATCTATTCACGTCGTATATGTTCTCCCTGACCATCTCCCCCACTATTATTCTCGGCCATAGATTGATGATGTCATGCTTCTGGGCGGCCTTAACCTCCAGCAGAACAATAAGCCGCAATTCACTTATCCTCGAGGGAAATCAGGGGTAACCTAGGTATAATTGAAGCTTTGCTTAACATAGTGTTAGCGATAATAGCCGAAAAGGAAGAAAATCGCATACAAATAGACGTTCAATGGCGAAGAACTCCGTCTGCCCGGCGCCGGTTGAGTATGTCTGACGTCATGCTTGACACCACGGCGATGATTCGTAATAATCGACTTTCTCCTGGTTGACCTTGGATCTTTTCTACTTTAAATTGGACTCTTCGCAGAAACATACTTGTTGCTATCTCAGTACATACAAAGCCACCCGAAAAAATACTATTGTTGGTATGTCATGACCAACCCATCTGGTCTATACGAAGCCGGAACTAACCAGACACCACCAAGTAGATCTGAAACGTTTTAATACCCTTCCAACAACCGCGATGTCTTTCCTCGCCTCTACTCGCGCAACTCTCGGTCCCCGTCTCACTTTTCGACCTGTTCCTGCGTCCCTCTCTGCCCTGCATACCTCTCCGGCGCGGTTCTCCTTGAAGGAGTCGGATACCAGTGAGTCGAACACCTGACGCGATTGCACAGCAAGAAAGGAAGAAGTAGATTCTAACAACAAGTGCTAGACCGCGATGATATGAGCAGCGTCTACGAAGCTGAAAAGGAGCATCAGAGCAAAGATCGGAAGGAGGGAAAGGCACACTGGAAGCAGGAATTGGCCAGTAATAGTGAAGCTTCGGTATGTGCTTTCCTACATATGCTATTGGCTGTGAATACAAGAAGGATATGTGCTAACAATGCGCAGGTCAAAGCGGACCGTGAAGAAACCCAGACCGATGCCGAGAACATGGAGAAGCTACAGCAGCGTACAAAGGATTCCCCCAGAAGTGCCCATGGCCCTTGAGTTTGAATAATTAGGGGTGGTGGTTATTTTATTATTGTATTATAGTTCTGTTCTTACTGGGTCGGTCAGACTGGCATTTTTCTTAGGAGTCTGAGGTTTAATATCTACGGTTTTCTGCAAAGACTGTCTTGGTAGCGTAATATCGTATGTTGACCTTGTAAAAGCGAAGTATCAGTGGCGTGGTAAGGAGAGTGTCAGCAAATGACCATGGCAGCATAACATTCCCAACGCCTATATATCCCATAAATAACCTCTTCGGAATGAACAAACAGAACGAACGGACAATTCTTAACGCCATACCCCCCATCCGGAATCATAAACTAGTTCGTATCATCAAGGAGCCCCAGACACGGAACTCACTTCAGAATAACAATCAGGATAATCAGAATGATAATCAGACCAACGATTGTCATCAGACTCCAATTGTCTCCTGCGCTTCTCCGGACTTTGTCCAGCCCTTTTCTCGCACGGTCCAGCCGGGTCTGATGCCTATTTACACCTTCGTCGACCTCATCCAACAATGCGATATGTCCATCCAGCTCATCACCAATCTGAATACTCAATTGATGCTGTCGTCCGATCGATTCCCCCAGGCGGTCTAATTGGTCATCCTGGTCACGAAGCACTTGCGAGTGGTACGCATGTACCTGCTGGTTATCCATATTAGACTGATCAACACCCGGGGGGGATGGCGAGTCACGGTATGGCTGGAATAGATTGCGACGGTTGGGATCCTCATCCTCATCTGCGCCGGCGGCCATGAATTGAACGTTCTTGGTAGGCGGATGCTGTGGAACGGGCTGTTTCAGATCGGGCGATGTATTATTCGCCCTAGCAAAGTCGGAAGCCAAGGCCGGGTCATTGGGTGAGCTCAATGTGGCACCAGCACTACCCTCGCCGTGAAATTGGATGGACAAGTCGCGGAATTGAATGTGCAACTGATCGAGTTGGTCTTTCCAGTCCGCCGCGTCCTCATCACCTGCCTTCTCCAAGCGCCGTTGTTCTGCCTCCGCTGCTTCGATTCCTTCTCGTAGAGATTCTAATGAGCGGGAGATCTCTCCATCTTGGCTATTGGGCTCAAGGCTTAGCGAAATGGCCCGTTGTCGTTCTAGAAGCGAAAGTTTGATATGATCTGCGAGGAGAAAGAGCTGGGAGGGGTTCATCATCGCGTAGCCTCAGTATCGTAGGTTGGCAGGCAGAATTTGTATGCGACAGGTGAAAAAGGGTTGGGTTTGTGATGGCTCAAATCGCACTGGGCAGCGATGTGCGCGGTAAGGCTCCGATGCAGCAGAAGAACAAGGGATGGCGATCGTTGGCAAAGGGATACGTCGAACAGTCAGAAGTGTGTATAGAATATGTCCTCTGGCAGTAAGCAACAAATAACGGGTGTAACCGATGATTCTATGGAGAAATGAGATGGTGAAGATGACGCCGGAGATGATGCAGTGCCGGCGACGGTGATAAAGCCGCGATGATTGGCCGGGGATTGATCTGCCGCCTTCCGCTTCCGCCGCCGCCAAAACCCCCCGCAAGAGACCAGAAATGCTCCATCTTCCCGACTAACTCACCAACGACACTCTACTGCAAAGTTGCTGCACGAACAGGGGTCTTGCAGAAGTACGCCTTGTATGCCTCGTTTTGGGTCTTCTGGGTGTTTATGATCTTGTGTTGGTCTCCGCCACCAGTCTTCAGCGCCCCTTCAATATAGATATCGACTACACAACAACAGACGGACTTCTATCTGAGCAACAGCCGGGATTTCAGAAACCCGATTAACATCTCAACACCGGACCCGTGACGATGGATCTCGAAGAACTCCTCTTGGTGGAGTCGAGCTGCACCGACGAAGAGATCGTAGATCTCCGTGCATTGGACTACGTCTCCGGCTATAACACTCATCTCATGTGTCCGATATGCCACTGCGCCTTAATACGCCCAGTACGCTTACAGTGTGATCATGTGTTTTGCCAGAGATGTCTGAGCTCCGCCGTTACCAGTTCCTCCTCTGGCACAAATGATTTTACATGCCCGACTTGCCGCACACCGACACAAACTGTCTACACGGATGTACCTCGACTTTTGACCAACATGTGTGATGACCTTCGGGTGAAGTGCCCATTTTTAAGGGAGGGGTGTACGGAAATCATGGCCAGGGGCCACGTCGAGTCACATGTTGACAAGTATTGCGGTTACAAACTTCTAGATTGTCCGAGTAAGACTTGCGATAAGAAGACTCGGAAAAAGGACCTCGACTCGGATTTGAAATGCGTGCATGAGCTCCTCCAGTGCTCTCATTGTGAAGAGGAAGTCATGGAGCAAGATTACGAGGTGCGTCATACTCTTGTAACGAACTCCCTTTGTATCTGGTACTGACGAAAATTTTCGGGATTTAGGACCACTTAAACAAGAATTGCCTGCGTTTCAAAACGATGTGTCCACACTGTCAAGTCATGACATTGCAGAAGGACTTGAGAAAGCATATCGACGCCTGCCCAGATGCTATCCATTCCTGCACGGCGTCGAAATATGGATGCCCTGTCAAAATCAAACGAGCCGATATCACCGTGCATGAACAAGCATGTCCGTTGATTGCGATGGGGCCATATTTCGAAACTCAGAACTCGCGACTTAACTCTCTTGAGTTAACGATGCGACATCTACAGCAACGAAACGAGATTTTCGAGGACGGATTTGCCAACATCCGCTCTACCTTGGTCGACGCTTCTCGTGCTACGTCTGGACAAGCTAACATAGAAATTTCGGCTGAAGGTCAAACGGAATCGTCCGACTCACAGGAAGTATCCAATGACGGCTCTCAGTCTAGCAACCCAACAACCTATCTCCTCTCCCTTCATGAATCCCTCCGAGAAGAGGTCGGACAGCTATCGCACGCAATCACCGACCTTGACGCACGCGCCAGCATGGCAATCATGAACGAATGTCTACGAATCAAAGAGGACATGGCACATACCAACGCCGCTGTCAACAGCATGCGGATGCAAGTTCAATGGCTCATGAACCCGCGTCTCCACCAGGGAGAGCGAACATCTAGCGTACGCACCAACGATACGAACGATTCCAGGACTGGGCAGCTGGGCTCGTCCACTGCATCTGCTACATCTGCCTCGCCCATACCCGGGCCGAGTAATACATCCAGGCCGGGTCTTCGACCGCGGAGACTTAGCGATAGCGCACGGGAGGGGACTAAGCTCTAGTATCACTTCTATTTGCATGTTTGCTTTGCTTTGTTTGTCTACGACACCTCATGATTTACGACGATGTATACGATAGATGGCGGATCCCTAGGTCGGGAGTAATCATGGCATATTGTACGTTACGGATCGGGTTTGACACAAATTTGTGTCTGTATATATGTTGGCGGTCTTGGTATATTGCAATGAGATATGGTCATTCATTAGGATACAAACATACGACAGTGTCCCAGTTCCATAGTGTCAACAGTGATCATTAGTGGGTGGCAGCTGACAGCTGATAAACTTAAACTTCCAAATATATAAATATTTGTCGCAGTAGTCCCAAGTCCAACTAATTTCTTCCTATAACCAATTCGACGAAACATAAAATCCCCGCCATCAAGAACAAGGAAAGAAAGAACAATAAAAAAGAGAAAGAGAAAAAAAAAAAAAACCATCACGATCACAAAGAGCACAAAAACAAACCGCAAAAAAAATGATCAATCGTGATCGTCTTCTGAAGAAGCCGAACGCGGGGGTCGAACCCGCAACCTTGAGATTAAGAGTCTCACGCTCTACCGATTGAGCTAGCCCGGCTGGGCTTGTTGAAAGTAGTTTTATTGTAGTGCATAATAAGCCCATAGAGAGCTGGACAAAGTTTGGATTGGTGGGATTGTACCAGATATTGAACAATGATTAAATGAGTTAAAATGAATGAAGTAGTTATTAGCGAATATCTCGTATATCTCGTACTTGCTATAAGTACAACTACATACATACATACATAACATACAACATGCGGGTCATCATATCTGTATACATGCCAGCCAGTCATTTCATGCCGTCGTCAGGCCAAAGCCAACATAAGTAAGCCAACATATCAGTAAATCACTCAGCCGCCCAGTTCATAACATAACATCCTCATCGACCTATTTACTGTACCAGATACATCGCCAAAACTAAATACCAAAAATCCAAAAAAAAAAAAATAATACCCAAAGAGACATCATCAGGTCATCCAACATCAACCAAGCAGAAAGTAGGAAGCAAAAAATGAGCATTCACGGCAAAGGATTAATATCCATACCCGCTATATCCACCACCGCCATAACCCGAACCATGATGACGGCTATGGGAGGGATCGTGGCTGGACTGGTAGTAGCCCTGCGAATGTCCGTGGCTGGGCTGATGGTGGGAGTGCGAGTGGCGAGAGTATTCATGGCCATGGCTATGTCCCGAATTGTGGCTGTGTGAGTGGCTGCTGTAGCCGTCGTATCCTCCATGAGCACTGTGGGAGCTGTGGGAACTGGGGTGGCCACCGCTGGAGCCGTAATATGACGACGATTTCCCGTGGGAATTGTGCGACGGAGTGTGATGGCTGCTGCTGGACTCGGAGTACGAAGGTTCGTTCCTTGTTTCCCTAGTCGATCCACCCGGGATGAAGTTTGAGAACTTGCTCAGGTTCGAGATACCCGGGATGGGGAGTTTGGAGATTGAGTCCCAGGGCATAGAGGAGCCACCACCCCCACCGCTAGATTGATGCTGCTGCGGTGCCGAGTAGTGTTGCTGCTGTTGGTGGTGAACACCGGAATTCTGGCCTTCCATAACAGGGAATCCACCAGATCCGTGTGAATGGCCACCAGAGCCGTGGGAATGACCGACTTGCCCGCCGTTGTTCTTACCAGACTTCACACCCTCGGAGCTGAGAATATCGTTCAGGCTCCTGCCTCTGTCCTTCCGGGAGTTGACCCAGGATTCCACAGCCTCGAACATGGTGCGATGAGCATCGTTGCGCATGTCCCGGATAGCAGGGTGGTGGAACACACTCAGACAGTCGTGGATGACTTCCTGCTCAGAAACGTTGGGGTGCTCCCAGGCGTACAAGACACGAGGAGCGACATACTTCACAATCGCAGCCGCGACATGACCGGCAGGTTCGTTGAGAATGTTGGAGAAGTGGTCCTTGGAGAGGAGCGAGTGCGTAGGGTCGGTACACATGGGGTCGGTCCAGGGTTCGTACTGGTGCTTTCCCGATGCATCGATGACGCTTGCAGATCCAGTCTGGAGCGAGTTGGAAGCGGCGCTGATGAGCGGGCGAACGAACGGAGCCAATAGGGACATGACGAAGACGGTGAGCGTATCTGAAATCTTCTCCACTGCGGCTTCCAGGCCGGGGATCTTCTCTATGATCGAGGTGAGCTTGCGCACGACCTTGTCCCGGAATGCGAGGATGGGATAGATCTGGGCGATCGTCTTGTTGGGGTCGAAGTCTGACAGCACCGAGGAGCTGCCACCAGATGAAGATTGTTGGGTTGGCTCCGATCTGCTCGTCTCTCCGAGATCCCGGGACGAGTAACCAGAACGGGACCCCCGGCTTCGGTTGGAAGTCTCCTGCGCATCTGACTGACGCTTGAGGTTCTCAGCCTCCGAGACGAGTTCCCTCGTTCCAGGGATTTTGCCCAGAAGTCCCGTGAACGCACCCAAGGAACCACCCGACGAGTTCGTCTGCGCATCACCCAGCGCGATGTCCATCTCATTCACCTCCGACTGGGTGAAATGATCGGTAGCCTCTCCAAGCACAGAGTGGAAGAAATCCACCATACCAAAGGTACCAGTCACAAGCGGAAAAACACGACGACCATGGAGGTTAATCTCAGTGCGAACACCCGTATGCGGGAAAACATTATGGAATCCCATCTCACGCAGCGCAAGCTCGCAGTAGTTCGTGTGTGCGCCAAAGTCCTCCAACGTATGGAGAGCCTGGCCCATGCAGCGCAGCGCCTCAGAAAGATCATCCTCGTTTCCCTTGCGCCCAGAACTGGTATAGAGCCGTCCGTAGTGAATGCTGCGAGACAAGCTGTGCTTGATGTAGGCGCTACTTGTATCCCAATCGCCGCGCTCGTTGGCGATGTAGTTCTTCATTCCGGTCTTTGGGTCAATGTCGAGTTCAACCTGGCGCACGGGAGGACGGAGACGCTTGTCGTACTGGCGGGCATCCATGTTATCGGCGTAGTCTTTGGGGTTGCTGTAGGCAGATAATGTCAACGACAGTCTTTAATTCGTAGGAAGTGTAGGGACGCACTCAATATGCTCCTCCGGGCGATACACCCCCAACCTATCCGATGTAACCTCAAACTCGCCTGTTGCAAACCGAAACGACATAAACGAAAGAATCCAAACAAGAATCCGAATCGTATCCGCGGGAAGACTCTTGAGCGTGCCGACATCCATAGCCTGCGAGCTGTAAAGCGTCTTGTCAGCATCGCATACTCAAACCAGCACAAGCTGAAAGTGACGTACTAGTCCCTCAGCCAATTTCCAAAATACACCCTCTTGATCATAATCGACGTCCACTCATGGCCTTTAATAAAGGCGACGGTCTTAAGCACATCTTCAATATCACCATGGCGCCAGTTCTTGCCCTCGACGGCGGAGATGGAAGCGATGTCTGCATTATTAGCACAGCTATTATGGACTTGTCGCAAGAGAATACTTACTGCCAGCGCCAAAAGCATGGACCTGCGCGGGGAGAACGACCAGCAAGAGGCCCAGAATGAGCAGGGCGTTGAGGGCCGAGTTGGCCATGTTCGGTTTTTGTTCTTTGTGTTGTAAAGCTCGGCTGTATGTAGTCTGGGAACGCGATCGGAGATGAGTGTATTATTGGAGGTATGCAGGAGCCAAAAGACGACGATGTAAGAGACGCTACTAAGACTCGATCTGCAAATGAAAAATACAAACAGACATCATCAGATCAACAGCAGCCCTACTAAGTGTGGTATTACATACCATACGTTACCGGTAAGTAACAAAATGGTATATACACATTACATAAATTACATACAATTGTATACACGTAAAGTACATACAATACATATACAAAAGTCAAGTGAACATCAAAAATAGAATGACAACTATCGACCAGAGATTACTCTGGGAGGGGGCGTTACTGAATAAATAAAAAAGCTCGAATTCCCTATTTCGATCGACAACCTACGAATTATTTTTGGTAGTGTGCCCTCAGTCCCTGATCTATATTTAACACGGTAATATCCGGGCTGTTGATCATTATGAGCGAACATAGCAGTCTGTCATAAGAGCAGAGCATAGCTATCGAGTACATCCGTATCGAGTATTGAGGAACCCATAGTTTGCGGAGTCGGATTTATATGAGTAGAAGTACGCGTAAATAAGGGTTCAGGAGGCAAGTTAAACCACGGGAGCGCTTCTCCTGTCTACCTGTCCATGAGACGCATTGATGCTCATCCATGGATCGCCATGACCTCTCACTTACTCTATTAAGATGGACTCGAGTCATTGCGATGTCCTTGATTGACAGTAAGTATTAATAGCATATGACGACGATAATACTGCTAATTGTGAATGCCACTGACTCTCATAACTAACTATGTACGGAGTACTCTGTAGTATGAATTACCCCTGGATCACTAATTGACTATTTTGGGCGATACCCCGCCATGTCGCGGGGTAGACCAGTTACTGATAGCTATGGGCATGTCTACGCGATAGAGCACTCTGGATACCAGCAGTATCGGCTATCAGCGGTACACAAGTAGACATAATTCACATAGAGTAGTATCCAATTGTCAGATCATCCATTCCCCTCAACAGAGTTACAATTACACCCCCTCTCAGCCTTCAGCCTTGTAGATATAATAAACCGCACCCTGACTTCATCCTCACCACCATCAACAATACCAACCACCTCAACATTCCACATCTACTCCATAACCAGAACCCATAAAAAATAAATAAGAGGAAAAAAAAAAAAAAAGTCCACAATGACAAACAAATACCTCTCCTCCCTCCAACGCGACGGCTACGTCCTCATCCCGTCCCTCTTCGCCCCCACCGAAATCACCAACCTCCGCAATACCGCCTCCCGCGCCGCAAGCCTCGCCCGCACTGGCTCATGGCCGCACTTCCGTACCGTCCCTAAGCAATTTCCTCCATGGCCAAAGGAGCCCCCACCGGCCGAGGAGGGCGGTATTTGGGGCGTGCAGCATCTGCTGCATCCTGAGGTTGAGGGGCGGAGTGAGTTTGCGGGTGTATACTTTTCGGAAAAGGTGTTGGGGATTGTGGAGAAGTTGCTCTTACCGGACGGCGATAAGGGAGAAGGGGAGGCGCTTGTTATGGAGTTATTTAATATGCTCGTCGCGCCTGAAGCGAGGGATTTTGAACTGCGCTGGCACAGAGATGATATCCCCGAAACTGCATCGGCGGAGGAAGAAGAGCGTTTGCTTCAGGCTAAATCCCCGCAGGGCAGACAATCGCATGCGCAATATAACCTTGCGCTCTGTCCCGATGCCTCCCTAGTCGTCGTGCCGGGTTCCCATCGCCGGGTACGCACTGAAACCGAGCGTAACGCCGCGCCCTATGAGCCCTCTCTACCCGGACAGAAGATCGTGGAGCTGCAGCCTGGCGATGCTGTGTTTTATGATAGTAATATCCTGCATCGCGGGGTGTATAAGGGCAAGCTGGCTGGGGGTGCGGAGACGCGGTTGACGCTGCATGGGAGTGTTGGGTTGAAGGCTGCTGGGGGCCAGAAGGTGAGGGCGACGGCGGTGTTGCAGCATGGTGTTGGCGCGTGGGTGTATCGGGAGGATGCGGCGTTTGGGGTGGGTGAGAGAGCTGAGCGGATGAGGGCGAATCTGGTGGCTATGGGGACAGGGGAGGGCGTTGGGTATTCGTTGCAAGGGTAGCTTACTGTCTAGAACCTGAATATATGATGAGCCATGAATGCATTGATTCAATTCTACCAGACAGCAGCCGGGGTATAAGCAACAACAATCAACCAACAACCAAAAAAGGGTCTGTATCCCAGTCAAAATCGCTAAAACTATAAATATCAAAACCATGGAGTCGTAATTCGTAAGTCAGAAGAAGAGAAAGCAGTAGCAGTCACCCATCCATTGGTCGCTGCGCATATACATAATGGAACATCACATGGGTATGCAACGAGGTATTGAGCAACTCCGCCCGAACCTGGTCCACCCATTCCTGAGCTTCCTGAGAGGAATAACCCAGAACCCGTGTCCACAAAGCCAGTGTATAAGGCTCAATGGCGTCGTATAGTGTCACCTTGCCCACCCGTCCGATCTCTTTCAAACGAGGGTTCTTGGGCCATGAACCAACGGGGCACTGACACAATTAGAAACCTGCAAATAGCAACAACATATAGTCTATAGTTTGCACACCTTGTAAATGTCATCCGTCACATTGGTAAACCCCGTTTCCCGCATCCATCCGGCAAGAGCAGGCGCTATATTCATGCGCCTCCCAAACATCTGACTGGAGCTATCCAGTAGTTTCTGCCACTCCTGAAGCTTCACAGCCCTCTCATGCGTCCCATCATCCGACCACACCCAAGCATCATACTCCTGCATCTCCACCCACCCTCCCGGTTTGAGGTGACTGTACGCCTGCTGCAGGAACTGCTTCCAGTCCCCAATGCCCCCACACAAAGCCCGCACATGGATATAATCAAACGCCTCGTCCTGCGTAAACGTCCAATCGCTCTCTGCATCATCAACAAAAAACCGGCAATTCGGCGGCGTGAAGTTCGGCTGGATGGGACTTAGATCCGTCCCTACAATCTCAGCGTCGGGGAAATCCTCCGCCATTTCTAGGGCCCAGACACCCGTTCCCGTGCCGATGTCGAGGATGCGTCTTGGCCGCCGGTCACGGGTGATCGGAGCACGGTATAAGTCACCGCCTGTTAGCAGACGGAAGAGATGGTGGATGAAGGCGAGTCGGTCCTGTTCTTCTTCGTCGTTGGGTAGGGGGTATAGGCCTTGGCGGTAGGCGTGGTATCGACGGCCATTTTCGTAGTAGTAGTCGCGGACGGAGGATGTGATGGAGAGTGTGGAATCAGCGATAGAGTCTGCGTCGCATACGGAATCCTCATCGCTTGTCTGGAAAGAATTGTCAGTAACATTTTCCCCCCTTCTTGCTTCAATGTGTGTTGTATAGATTAGCAGCAACAAGACAGACCAGATCAGAACACATACGAGCCAGTATAGAATAAGAACAGCAAAGTAAATACAGAATAAGAGGATCAATCAATTAATATAGTACAGCCATGGAGCAACTCCAAACGTCAGTATCAACATCATCATATCTTCCCCTGGTCTCAGCTCCTGCAGCTAGATAACAAGGAAAAAACAAATCATTGATCATCGTGATTCATATCCTTTGATTCAACTGGCATTGCATGACAGGGGAATTAATGACATAAAAAAAATAGAAGAAAGAAAGGTGCGTATCTTACATCCACTTGGATCCGTTCATTGGGATTGGGCTGGGACATGCTCGAACAAATAGAGCCACTGAAGAAAGAGAGATGAGATGGCTGTAATGATAACAGCAGAGTAAACGATTGAAAGAGATACAGATAAAGAACGCGAAAAAAAA